ACACGTATTGCGTTCCTCCTGCTGCGTCCTGATTGGCTGAGGGACTCCTGTCTCCTCTACAGTACAGAATGTGCTCAGCTGCCAAATTTAAATACATGTTCAATCTGTATCAGTGTGCTTCTGAAGTGCTGTATGTCTGCAAGTTTTCTCTCCGACAAAATCCACAACGTCGACGAAACGTTCTGCACTGACAAAGTCTCCTGCGCTCACACCCAAAAGGCAGAGGAAGATGCAACCATCACACAAAAAGTTGGACTTCTGGACATGTTGAAGGAAGGTAGAAGTTACGCGCTGTAGCAGAGTTTTGCACCGGGTCTTGTACCCGCAAATATTTGCTGAAATCAGGACCGTGAGCCCGAGCAGCAGGGTCCATAAAGAGCAAATGGGGCGACAGCCGCTCTTACCTCCATGAGGTGCGGAGCAAAGCCGGTCCTTTCTCCTGCGGTCACCTTCGAGCCGGTCCCGACAGTGAGTCCTGTTTTAGTCCAAGTTCAGTTCTGGTTTAGTCCTCCTCTTCAGTCCTGGAATCAGTCTGAGGTTAGTCCTGTTATAGTCCTGGTTTAGTCCTGGTTCAGCTCTGGTTTAGTCCTGGTTTAGACGTTGTTTAGTCCTGGTTTAGTCCATATCCGACTCAAAAGTTCAGCTTTTTCGCAGTTATTTTGGTGACAGTAACTTAAAGTAATGCAATAGTAATGTAATGCCTTACATTTTAAATACATTAATATTGTAATGTAACGAATTACTTTGAAATGACAGTAATAAGTAATAAATAACACATTACAGTTTTAAAGTAACTTGCCCAACAGTGTCAATAGCAAAGTGTACGACCACCCCAGTGTATTTTGTTTTGTGTATGATGACATGACCCGCTCTTCTGTACTGTAATCCCAGGCTGTGTGAGGCCAGCGCCGCCGGCTGTTGACAAGCATGTTCCCCATTGATTTCTTATACGTCACTGTTCACAATATGGAAGTCCAGTCACAGTATTCAGATGTTATACTTTGTGCGTATTAGTCGCAGCTGAATATGAAAACGTCCCACTCTATAGGCCTGTGTTTCACGATTTCGCAAATTTCGATAATACTGACACCAAACTATAAAGCAGAATTATACACAGAAGTATTCTAAATGTAAGATACTGTTAAGTGTTGTTAAACTTACTCAACTTAAAGGCGCACTGTGCAACTTTTCTGGTAGAGGGCTGTTATTGCTTTGCCTGGAATGTTTCACAGTGTGGCATTAAACCTTTCTATCTTCACGGAGACCAAACCAGTTCAAGTTACAGGTCAGATCTGTGGAGAGACGACCCCGCTCACACTCAGAATGCCTGTTTTTCTTGGTATTTGTGAGCTATAAAATCACCTGTAATTGAATAAATTTTTATTTTATTATTTTATTTTTTTATTTATTCAATATTTTACCAGGTAAGTCAGTTGAGAACACCTTCTTATTTGCACTGACGACCTGGCCAAGAGGCAGTATAAAAAACAAACAGAAAACACTTACACATCAACCATAACATGAAACAGTGAACAGAGATATAAGACAGTGAAACATTTGCACATTAAAGATATAAAAGTGTTAAAAACATGTGCAATTATCCTGTAAAATACTCTGGATGGAGTTTTTAAAAATCAACAGAGGTAAAAACAAACTAAGTTTTAAAGTCTGTTGAAGGTTTTTCCAGTCACTTGCTACAGAAAACTGAAAATTTAAGGTTGATCTGTTTAATGCCATAATGTGGAACATTCTAAACCCGAATGATAACAATATAACAATAATAACAATAACATAACCATAAATTGAAAAATGATTCTTTCTTTTGTAATATACTGAAGGAAAGTCGATATAGTAATTATCATGACAAGCCTGCCACTAAAGAATACTAAGAGTCAGTGTCGATTACTTTATTTATTTATTTATTTATTTATTTAGTTGATTGGGACAGAGCATGTTCATGGACAAACATGACACAACATGAATGTAAACACTCCGGATTGTAGCCCAGAATACAAATATTCATTATATAACACTAGCAATAAATACACTAGACCCAAACACATCTGTTTCAATTCTGCCTGACAAAAAAAAAAAAAAAAAAGAACTAAAACTGAAAATTGCCTTTTAAACTTTGGATTCTGGGACAACAAGGAATCGTAAAAACAACATGAGACCATCACGTGTGCAAAATGTGGTGCAGATAAAACAAAATATGTAAATTTTAGGCTGTTTTTAGTAGGAAATCCTGTACCAATCTGGATCCCATGTGCCTTCCATGTGCCATTTGGCATCATGAGATTTTGTCAGAATTCCTCAGTCGTCCAGTAGGTTCCACAGGGGTCCATGGGCGCATACTAGTCTTTGTGCTCTTCTTGTTCTGATACAGCTCAAGATCTTAAAAATGTTTGTTCTATAACATTAGCAATAAATACACTAGACTCAAACACAACCCTTTCGAGTCCGCCTGACACAAAATATAAAATTAAAACTAAAAATTGCCTTTTAAACTATGGCTATATCTTCTGTGAAAACAAGGAATTGTATAAACAACATGAGGCCATCACTTGTGCAAAATGTGGTGCAGATAAAACAAAATATGTACATTTTAGACTCATTTTAGTTGGAAAAAGTTCAGGTGTCCTGTGCCAGTCAATTTTGTCAGAATCCCTCAATCATCCAGTAGTTTCCAAAGTGGTCCATTGGTGTTTTCTAGTCCATGTGCTCTGATACTTGTTCTGATACAGCTCAAGATCTTAAAACGATTCAGGGAAGGTTAATTTCTGTCTTGTGAATGTGACTTTTTTGCATATCGATACCTGCTCGAATCAGTCTGTAGTTTCGATACTAGTTTTAACATCGATTCGTGTCTGATTTTCGATACTTTTGACCACCTTGGTGCATAAGCAGGGAGAGTGCAGTGCAGTCTGTAGTCCATTCATATTTAATAGGCCATAGTTCAGGCTAACACATCCTCATAGCAGTCAGGCCTATTAGCAGGATAGATCTTTTCCACCCACAAAGGCTCTAGCTTCGAGGGGAAAAAATCAGTTTTGAAAGATGAACCAATAGGAAGGAGGATTTTTACCTGGAATACATCATTGTCATGTCAGTTTTTAATTTTATCTAAAGAAAGGGGGAAGTAATTGGATCTAATTTTGCCATAGCCGTCTGAAATTTATGTGCACAGCAGTCCTGGAGCTGGTTTCATTATCTCACCCACTTCCGGAGACTTCACCACCACACCCTCCTCTGGCCTCTCTCTTTGAATTAGCTCATTTGACAGTGAACAGGTCTTCTCACATTACAATGCTCTGTGCTTGATAAAAGACAAAGGCATGTATAGATTCGTGGAACTTGGAAATTATCTTAGAAAAACTCCTCAGATTATGAAACAACAATGAACAAATATTTAATTTATTTGTTTGGGTAATTTTGCTGTATGCATTTTATTGTTTTTATGAGAAATATCTAAAGAAAAAGAAATTATGAGAGAGCACATACTGAAGGGCCCATGTTATGCTATTTTTTTTTTCTTTTTTATCTTTGTTATAATGTTGTTTCCTCATCACAACAACAACAAACAAACCTGGAGTTGTGTTTTGTTTCATTCACAGGTGTTTAACCTGTTAAGCCCTAAGGAAAGGAAAAGTACTTATAAACTGAGGGTTTCCTCGTCCTGTACATGGCCCACATGGATGATCTTAGTGTCTAAGTGAAGCTAAGACTTAGTCAAGTGTTAAATAATGACATTATTTAACATTTGCAATAAATACACTACACTCAAACACAACCCTTTCAGTTCCACCTGACAAAAAATACAAAATTAAAGCTGAGAATTGCCTTTTAAACTTTGGCTGTACCTTCTGTGAGCAAAGAAATTGTAAAAACAACATGAAACCATCATTTGTATAAAATGTGGTGCAGCTAAAACAAAATATGTAAATTTTACTCTGTTTTTAGTAGGAAAAAGTGTGCCATTGTCATCATCAGATTTTGTCAGAATAAATAATTTATTGAGATAAAAGAAAATTTTGACACACAAAGACAGTAAATTAAACATTTTCAAACAATTAATGTCATAATTTGACCCACAGTAAAGCTGGTTTGAGTTGTGTAAATCAATTAAATAAAAATATATAAAAAGTTACATTATAATAATGTTAATGATCAAATTTTCCTTATTTCCATATTTCTGGGGCCACAGGGGCTGGGCGGGGCCATAAGATGAAAACAATATCAGAGTATCTCAAACTGTGGTCAATATTATTTATATACCTGATTTAAACAAAACAATGAGTTTTAAGTCTGGGGAAGCAACTTTCAATGGAATAACAGCAAAGGGGAAACATTTTTTTTAAAGTTATAATTAAATTTTGTGCCTATTTTGACTGTATATGTTGACTTCTGCACAGTGCACCTTTAATGCTCTTGGATGTGTTTAAATTGTGCCATGTGAGAGGAAAGAGTGCAGATGCTTCAGAACAGTATTATTCAAGTAGAAACATAAAGCAGTGGGCCAAGAAATTTGTCAAGTATTTGGTTAGAGGTGCACTATGTAACTTTCCGGTTGAAGGTCTGTCACCTGCTTGTTTCTATGGATACGTCATTGTTTTATAATATGATGTTAAGCAGCTCAAAGCAGCTTTTTAATAGCTCAAAAATACTTAGTAAAACATATTCTGACTGTGAGCAGAGTCCTATACCTTGCTTGATCTAATTTGGTCTCCATGAAGATAGAAAAGTTTAATGTCATACGGTGAAATATTCCAGACAAAGCAATAACATCTCCACCAGAAACGTTACCCAATGCACCTTTAAGTGTCATTGTGTCAGTCTATATTTTTATATTTTTAAGCTCTTCATTGGACTTGCACGACTTGAATTGCAATAAATAAATGTGTTGATGATGACAGGTCTAAAAGGTCTAATCATTTTGTTCTTCCACAGGGGATTCTCATGCTGGAGGTCAGCTGTCCACTCTGAAGGTGCAGGATGAAAAGATGGACCAGCTGCTTGTGCCACCAGGACCAGATAGCTTCCGCCCATTCACCCGGGAGTCCCTCAAAGCCATCGAGAACCGGATCGCCGAGGAGAGAGCCAAGAGGCCAAAGGGTGAGAAGAAGAAGGACGATGAGGAGAACCGCCTTGAGCCCAACAGGGACCTGGAGGCGGGGAAACCTCTGCCTATGCTCTATGGAGACACCCCCAAGGGCATGGTGTCCACTCCGCTGGAAGATCTGGACCCGTACTACAGCAATCAGAAAGTATGTTTGATCTTTTATCATATGTTTTGTGTCTTTCTTTTGTTTTTTGGTGCTGAAGCTACCCAAAACCAGACTTGTCAAACATTTCTGCACATTTAAAGCTCATGTATTATGCAAAAATTGACTTCAGTGAGATTTAAGTCATGTTATAATGTTGTTACTCCATCAGAAAAACACTTTGAATTCTGTTTCGTTTCATTCACACATGCTTGAGTAACCCTTTATTATTAGTCTATCCACATCTCCAAATCTCAAAATGCTCTGTTCCACCTTGTGATGTCACGAAGCTCTAGTTTTCAGCTACATTTTACCTTTTGTTCAGTAGAGATTGGCAATTCCATGACTGAAATCATCCAAATGATTCCAGTAAAGTTGTATGGAGTTTTCAGACTGTAGCCTGAAGTGACCCAAATCTGATTTTTTTTGGCCACTATGCGACCAATATCTGGATATGTGCTCCTAAAACCAATACATATCCAATCTTTTGACATGTGAGTTCCAATCCAATCCAGTTTATTTCTATGGCACATTTTACAAACAAACAGTTTCCAAAGTGCTGCACAAATACAGAATAATAACAACAATTAGATGATAAAATAAACTACTAAAATAATACTAGTCTTAAAATAATAAAACCAGTAAAATAAAATAAAACCAGCAAATTAAAATAAAAACTAAATCATAGAATAGAAATAAATAAACCAATAAATAAAATAAATCAATAAAAACACATAAAAATAAATAAAAAACACAGAGGACCACACAACTCGCGCGGTGTTAAAAGCCAGAGAATAAAAGTGGGTCTCAAGACTTGAGTCTGAACGGCCAGGTCACATTCATCCCACCAACACGTCAGGCTCGGAGTCTAGTCAATGGAGGGAAAGCGAGGTTAATGAGTTTATTACTATTTGGGGGGATTGTTGTATTCAGGCCAAACTGGAGGAGTCTTATCAGAACCAGGCGGTTTCTGAAAGGATTACCAAAGAAATGTCTGAGCGCGGCTACAGTCGGTCCTGGCTCCAATGTTAACGAAAAATAAAGAGCCTGCGAAACAAAAACAAGGAGGCTAAAAACTCAAACAAACGAAGCAGCCGTGGACGTTTAACCTGTCCATTTTACGAAGAACTGGACCGTATTTTGGGAGACAAGCCCAGCATTTAGGCAAACCGTAAACACTGAGCACTATCGCTGTATGTGTGGAACACTTTTGGGGCATTTAAAGTTCACACTGGAGATCACAAACAAGTTGCATTTAATTGGAAATATGAACGACCTCGCGAAAAAATCGGATTTCACCAAAAAATCCGAATTGAGCATTAAGCCCTGCAGTCTGAACGTAGCCTAAAAATCTTGTATTACACATGACATAACAAGGTAGAATAAAGTGTGTTTTGTTTGTGAAAATAACTCAGCTTATGTATGTTTTTGAAGAGGAAACAACATTATAACATCGATTAGAAAATAGAGTAATACAGGCCCTTTAATCTATTACGCAAAATAAATGGGTGCAGCTCCTTTTAGTTTCAATACACCATTCTTTTTTTGGGTCTCTCTCTGTCATTTTAAGCACTAACTTTGTAATTTCCTGTCTTTTATTTCAGACCTTTATGGTGTTAAACAAAGGAAAGGTAATTTTTCGCTTCAATGCCACTCCTGCCTTGTACCTGCTGAGCCCCTTTAACCCCCTCAGAAGAATATCGATCTGGATTTTAGTTCATTCATATCCTTTTTACAAGATACATACGTTATTTTGTTTTATCGAACTCTTGCTAAACAGTGTGTGTGTGATCGAGGCCTGTCACGATAATTACTATACAGACTTATCGTTCAATATAAACTAGATGGAGAGAAAGAGAATGGGAGGGCAGGGGAGAGAGGGGAATGAGGTATACCACGGCTACAAACTGAAATCACTCAACTATGAATCTGAAAAACTTGTCCACAGTCTGTAAACGTGTCAAATATCATGTTATTTCAGTGTTTTAAATGAATCTAGTCCCTGCATGCTACTCAGAGCAGTTGAGGATGTGGTTACCCGTTGCTACAGTGATGTCATGGCGATGGCCTCGGAGCAGTGATATAGAGCAGTGATTTGGTTGTGGCCGGAACTACTTGTGTGTTGTGCAATATTAGTGATCACATTATTTTGTTAATTTTTAATCTATGTTTGTGTATCTGTCTCTATCCAAATGAACAATAAATACTACTACTACTACTACTACAATAACTACTACTACTAATACTACTACTACTACTAGCAACTACTACTAGTACAACTACTACTGCACCTACTACTAACAACTACTACTTCTACAGCTACTACTACAGCAACTACAACTACTACTATTACTACAACAACTACTAATACAACTACAACTACTACTACTACTACTACCACTGCTACTACTACTACAGTACTACAAGTACTACTACCACTACTACAACTACTACTACTACTCCTACTACTATGACTACAACAACGCCAACAACTACTACTACTACAACTACAACTACTACTACTACAAGTACTACTACCACTACTACAACTACTACTACTACTCCTGCTACTACTACTACAACTACAACTACTACTACAGCAACTACTACTGCTACTACAACTCCAGCTACTACTACTACAACTACAACTACTATTACTACAAAAACAACTATTACTACTACGACTACAACTACTTTGGAGTGCATTATGTATCGTGGGTACATTTTCTTTGCAAAAGAGGGGAGATTTTTGTTATTTTAATTGTAATATGATCAGATCTGAGATGTCAAGTGTTAAGTAAGTCACTTCTAAGGCCAATTATTGCTTTATTCTGCTATTTATTTGTTGCAGCTCAAGCCTTTTATGATACTGTCTATTTAAAAATGGTTTACTGGGACAATCCTGCTTTATTTTAATTGAGTGAATGGTATAAATGTAGTCTCAATATTATCACTTATCTCAATATTTATCTGTATAGCAATATATCGTGCTTCGAAATATCTTATTGTGACAGGTCCAGTTCTATCTTTGTGATTTTTTTCCTTAACTCAGACTGCACATTGTTCAGCATTGTAATCATGTGCACTATCATCACCAACTGTGCATTTATGACCCTGAATAAGGTCCCGGAATGGGCCAAAAATGTAGAGTAAGTTTCTATTGAATTAATATGATAAAAATATATATATATAATGTTGGCTTTAAAGGTTCACTATGTATTTTCGTTGTCATGAATGCTCCACAATAATGTTTCCATCGAGACATACCTTACATGCATCTTTAAATAACTGTATTATGTCACAATTCCAATTATTTCATGTTGATCGAAAAGTTTGGGGTCCATGATGTACTTGTTTCTGTGGATATGCCGTTGCTCTGCCTGGAATGTTCCACAATATGACATTAAACAGCTCTACACTGCAAAAAACAATATCTAGCCAAGTTAAGATGACTTGAATTAAGAAAGTTTTATCTTGATTTGAGTAAATTTCACTTGACAAGTAAAATGATCTGCCAGTAGAACAAGACTTTTTGTACTTAAAATATGAAAATACATCTTGCTACACTTAAAAAAAAAAGAAAAATAACAACTTTTTGCACTTAAAATACGAAACAAAATCAAATGTTGCTTGAATTAAGAAAAACACACTTATTCCATTGGCAGATCATTTTAATTACTCAAGTTAAATCTGCTCAAATAAAGTCAAATGTTCTTAATTTAAGTCATTTTAACTTACCTAGATATTGTTTTTTTCCAGTGTACCTTACATTTTGTGGTTTTATCGCTCAAAAATACCTAGAATAACAGGCATTCTGACTGTGAGTGGGGTTGCCTCTCCACAGATCTGACCTGTTACTTGGTCTGGTTTGGTCTCCAAGATAGAAAAGTTTAATGCCATCTTGTGAAACATTCCAGGCAAAGCAATAACACATCTATGAAGAAAAAAATCATTTGACAGACGGAAGTTACACAATGCACCTTTAAAGCCAACATACTCTTGTAGTTGAGTGTATTTTTCAATATAAATGTTTTTATTATGTCCCTTGTACACATACAGGTACACATTTACTGCAATCTACACTTTTGAATCTCTGGTGAAGATTCTGGCTCGAGGATTCTGTATAGGAAAGTTTACATTCCTACGAGATCCATGGAACTGGCTGGACTTCTGTGTCATTGTCATGGCGTGAGTAGAACTTTGACTTTTGGAAAACAGCATTAAAAATATTTTCACAAACTAGCCCTTAAACCTTCAAAGCTCTAAAAGAATGAAATCTTGTGTGGTGAAGCAAGAGAAAAATGTGCCATCTTTGTCACAATCAGGCAAAATAAAACCCACAAAATCCCCCCATAGTCTAAAATTCTCCGCCATAATCTAAAAACAACCCATATAGGCATAATGAAATTATACTTTCTTTCTCATTATATTACCATAAACTTATTAAAGAGACCACACTGGCCAAAAATGACTTCTACATTTCAGAAAATTTACTCTTGTGAGCTTAAAGTCATGTTATAATGATGTAACCTCCTCAAAAACAGACCTGAAATTGTGTTTTGTTGAGTATTGTATTGTTATTGTATGAGTAATCCTTTATTATTAGTCTCTCTATATCTCCAAAGCTCAAAATGTCCCACTTTGTGATGTCATGTAGTGGTAGTTAACAGTGACCTTTTATATTTAGTTTAGTAGAGGTTGGAAATTCCAGGGCTGAAATTATCCAAATGATTCAAGTGGAGGTGTGTGGCGTTTAAAAACACAGTGGAGTCTTCGTGTATCACCACATGACATCACAAGGTGGAACTGAGTGTTTTCTGTTTGAGAAAAGAACTCAGCTAAAATATGCAGGGTTTGTGTGTTAAACATGTGAATGAAACAAAACACAACTCCAGGTCTGTTTTTGATAAGGAAACAACATTATAACACAGATCAGAAAATACTGTAACATGGGCCTTTTAAAGATTTAATATTGGCAGTGCGTGACATTTATACTTTTATATATACAGACATTAAAATTAAAATAATTTGTGCACCCATGATCTTTGGGAAACACTGCATAGGCTGAACCTGAATTTCTGTAGTTTTATTGAGTCACTAGTCTGGGATGGCTCTCACTGAAAACAAACAGAACCAATGATCAGAACGTTCAAACAAAAATGTGTTTATGCTGATTGGTGGGGGGTCTGTCACCTGCTTCTTTCTATGGATATGTCACTGCTTTGTTTGGAATGTTCCACAGTGTGACATTAAACAGCTCTACTTTACATTTATTCAATTACAAGTGGTTTTATAGCTCAAATATACCTAAAAAACAAAACAAAACAGGCATTCTGAGTTGGGTCACCTCTCCACAGATCTGACCTGTAACTTGGTTTGGTTTGGTCTCCATGATGCTAGAAAGATTTAATGCCATACTGTGAAACATTCCGGACAAAGTAATAACAACTCCATGAAGAAAAGCATTTGACAGGCCTTCCACCAGAAAAGTTTTTTGTTTTGTTTTTCGGGTTTTGAGATCTCCAAGGGTAAATGTTAGTTTTTCATTATTATAATTGAAAAACATCATAAAAAATATTCTAAAAAATGTATATAGATTTTCTCTCAATTCTTTGGATTATATTTTTCAATAATGAACAGACCAATGAATATTTACCCCCGTAGATCTCAGCAAAAAAAAGGAAAAAGCACAGAAAACTTCAGCTTTTTTATCTTTGTATTTGAGATTGATCCCTACACTGAAGAGCACCAAAAGGACAATTTTTAACAATCTCTACACATCCAAAGAAGCACTCCATCCCCCTAAAGTTTTACATCATTTGTCATGTTTTGTTTGCCATACAATATAAATAATAAAACTCTTTTTCAGTTATGTTACAGAGTTCGCAAAATTAGGAAACTTCTCAGCACTTCGCACATTCAGGGTGTTGAGAGCTTTCAAAGCAATTTCAGTAATTCCAGGTAAGCCTTTTTTTATTCATACAACAGTTTTGTACAATGGTTCTTTTTCATTGAATGTTATATTTGTGATCCCCAGGACTAAAAACCATTGTGGGTGCCTTGTTCCAGTCCGTAAAGAGACTGTCAGATGTGATGATTCTCACTGTGTTCTGCCTCAGTGTCTTTGCGTTGATTGGCTTACAGCTGTTCAGAGGAAACCTGAAGCAAAAGTGCATCATCACTCCGCCCAACGGAACCATCGGCTCACCGGAGTGGGCCAACTACTCCAGCAACACAAGTGAGAAAAATATCAAAATGCTTTTTGTGTTTTTGTGTTTATTTGTTTTATTTTATTTTATTTTTTTTGTGTGTCTTTGTTTGTTTTATGTTTTTTTATTTGTTTGTTTTTTGTATCTTTGTTTTTTATTTATTTGTTAGTTTGTTTTATTTATTTATTTTTTTGTATCTTTGTTTGTTTTATGTTTTTTTATTTGTTTATTTTTTGTAGCTTTGTTTTTTATTTATTTGTTAGTTAGTTTCTCTGTTTGTTTTTTTTTGTATCTTTGGTTGTTTTTGTTTGTTTTATTTTTTGTGTCTTTGTTGTTTTTAAAAAAAAAAAACTTTTTATTTAATTGTATCTTTGTTTTTTTGTTTGTGTTTTTATTTGTTTATTTGTTTTATTTTTTGTATCTTTGTTACACAGTGCACCTTTAATATTTAAAGGTGCACTGTGTAACTTTTCTGATGAACGGGGTTGCCTCCACACAGATCTGACCTGTAACTCGGTCTGGTTTGGTCTCCATGAAGCTAGAAAGGTTTAATAGCATACTGTGAAACATTCCAGGTGAAGCAATAACATCTCCATGGAGAAAAGCATTTGACGGCCCCTCCACAATGCACCTTTAATAATATTCTGTTCAAAGTTCACCTTTTCAACTCATACCAAATGATACAGAATTGACAAAATGACTAAAATAAGAACTGACTAATGCAAGAAACACATTTCAAAACATGCAAAACTACAGTGTTAGCAGTTTTTATATTTCAAAAGTTGTAGTCTTTGCTGATTGAAGATTTCAATCGCAATTAATCTTGTAGTCCTACTTACTACACTCACACTTCCTGGTTTGGTGCTTGTCTGATACTGCTTTAGTCCTTATGTAGATTTCCTGTTTTTTAATCCCAATTTGCATGTGTTGTGTCGGTGCCAGATTTGTACTTGGATTTGCTCAAAAAAGCAATTCCAATCAAACTCCAGATCACTTAAACACACTCTTTTCTGATCTATGTTATAATGTTGTTTCTTCATCACAAACAGACCTGGAGTTATGCTGTGTTATTTTCATTCACACATGTTTAACACATAAATCCGGCATGTTAAGAATGAGTTCTTCTCTCAAACAGAAAACACTGCTGCACCTTGTGATGTCGTGGTGATAAAGGAAGTGCTCCACTGTGTTTTTAAACCCCATACACCTTCACTTGAATCATTTGGATAATTTCAAGTAATGTCATTGTCCATTTCTACGAGGGCTCACTATCATTAAGAACTAGTCGATTCGAAACATACCTCGATACACAGGCCACAATACGATACATAGCTTTCAATTTTATACGATATATTTAAAATCGATTTTATACGGTAATATAAAACAATCCATCCTCAAAATTGTGAAAATGTCAAATGTGTTGCATAAATGAGTTTCCATCCTCTGAACAAGCAACAAAACTGTAGCGCTGTAACAAAATACTTTGGTAAAATGTACAAAAAAATATACAAAAAATGGCCTGTGGAGTCGCCTCTCCACAGATCTGACCTGTAACTTCACTTGCATCACTTGCTTAAATGGATATGTTTAATGCTGTGCTGTAGAAAATTCTAGACGAAACGAAGACATCTCCATGGAAACAAGCAAAAAGCAGAAAGTTACACAAAATTTGGTAAAATGTACCAAAAAATAAATAAAAAAATGGCAGTCCATGATATCAATACTGTATCATCACATTAAACAAAACGATATATCGATATTTAGATATTTTTGCACATCCTTAATCTCTACTGAACTAAAGATAAACGGAGCTGTAACAATGAAAACTTCCCAGGTGGAACAGAGCATTTTGAGTTTTGGAGATGTAGACAGTAGGGATGGGCATTCGATGAAATTTTCTTAATCGATCGTCGGAAGAATTAACGATCGATTATCGATTAGTCATTAAGGTTTTTATATTAAAATGATCATCATTATTATTACTATCTGCACTACTAATCTGCATATATAAATTAAACTTTACGACATATAAACCGTAACGACTCTAGAGCCACATCAATCCGTTTGACATTATAATGTGTTTAATTCAGTTTTGCGCAACTCTCACAAAAACGAAACTTAAAACCACATCGCTAATTTGCATAAACTCAGTGAAGATAAAACTACAGCTCTTGTGTCGCTGATGCGGTCAACTTCTGTCGGATTAAAAGACATGATTCAGTGGAATACAGGTTAGTGTGACCATATTTGCGTTTGTCAAAACCAGGACACCGTACGGGGGGTGGGGAGGTTGGGACTCGTGATCGACATTGCGCGACTCTCACCTGGTAAAAGCTTTTTCCCAATGGAAACTGAAACATATGTTCCTGTTTTGTACACTGTGCACATGGACTCACACTTGTTCCGAACGTAACGGAAAGCGTGGAATTTCTTGTTACAAATCATCGTTAAATACACATTTGTGCTTCGGTACGCTGCAGACTGACCGAATGTTTGTGTCTCGCTCCTTCTGAGTGCAGAGAGACACATGTACAGACCCCCATTTGGTCACGCTACACACAGCAACCTACATTCGGTTTGTCGATTAAAATTAACGTAATCGATGAAATTCTTAATGATCAATTATCGATTAATCATGCCCATCCCTAGTAGACAGACTAAACCAGGTTCACTCAAACATGTGTAAATAAAACAAAACACAACTCTGGGTATGTTTTTGATGACTGAGATGATGTCAGATGGCAGGCAAGAGCCAGATTTCCCTATTGATTACATTGTACTTTGCCAAGAAACATCCAAAAAATAAACTCAGAAATGTTGAACCTGGTATTTTCAATTAGTGAGTAAACCGTAGAACCCACTGCATTACAATATAATTTTGCATTTTAACAATTTAAATTTTAGCTGCCCCCATCTATATTAATTTATATTGACTTAAAGAATGCTCTTGTGAACATCTTGTGAAAACCACCAACTCTAATGTCTAAATGTCTTCTCTCCTCCAGGTAATTATTACTATCTCCCTGAAAAAAAAGACCCTTTGCTGTGCGGAAATGGCAGTGATGCAGGGTAAGTAATCGCTACATCATGCTCAGGTTTAATGTTCCCAGATTGAATGTCCACTCCGTGTGATGCAGGCACTGTCCGGAGGGGTACACCTGCCACCAGGTGGGCAACAATCCAGACTACGGCTACACCAGCTTCGACAACTTTGGATGGGCCTTCCTCGCCTTGTTCAGGCTCATGACACAAGATTGCTGGGAGAACCTTTATCAGCAGGTACGGGGCTTAAAGGTGCACTGTGTATCTTTTGAGGTAGGGAGATACTTTTGCCTTGCCTGTAATGTTCCACACTATGGCATTAAACTCATATAAGATGCATTTATTCAATTTCGGGTGTTTTTTATTGTTCAAGTACTTTTAAAATATTCTTACTGGGAGTGGGGTCACTTTTTCACAGATCTCACCTGTAAATTGGCATCTCTTGATTGTTTCTATGGAGAATGAAAAGTTTAATGTCATACTCTAGAGCCCTGCACTCGCGGGACCCGACACAAAACAGTGAGGCGCGGGGCACATTTTGAAAGCTCATTGCGGACGTGGGCAGTCCCGCAAACTAAATATGAGTGTCAAGTAAAATATACAAATGATTAATGTTTGCCTATCATACGTCATTTGTGCTGGATAATTTATTTGGCATTAATAAAAACATTTTAAGCAGCCTAAACTTGCAGATAAGGTCTAATCTCACGCACATTTTAGACAATTCCTTTCCTCTTCTTCGTTTTTGATGGAGTTTGATGGAGGATTTGCAGGCGGGAGTGGGACAAAATATCGCAGATGCAGGCGGAAGCGGGAAGGAAAATTACAATTCTTTGCAGGCGGGAGTGGGACTGAAAATTCTGTCCTGCACAGACCTCTACCTTACTATGCAATATTGGAGGTAAAGCAATAGAATCCCCATGGAGAGAAGTAACTGGAGGGCACTCTACCAGAAAAGATACACAATGCATCTTTAACTGCGGCTTTTACTGATTTTGGGTGGGCAATATGGACAAAGACTTCGGATCTTGTTTTTAAGACTTTTTTTAGCTTTATGTTGAAGTTGCTTTTTAGCTTCCAGTGTTGGAAAGTAACTGAATACATGTACAGAGAAAACATATTCCTTATACAGATTTTGAGTTAGTGTATTCCAGTACAGTCACAGATGTAGTGGGTGTGGTACACAGGGGTACGCCGTCCACCCACTTCTCCCAACATGAGATATAAAAAAATAACAAATATAAAATAGCTACAACTTAAATGTCAAACCGGAGATACTGGCAATGGTGAAAAAACCTGCATAGGCTCATGATATCTGCAGTACTGTCCTATAGTGACCTGAAAGACCAGGACTGATACTAGGACTGAATCAGGAGGACTAAACCAGGACTAAAACAGGACTAAACTAGGTCTAAAACAGGAATATACCAGAACTGAACCAGGACTGAGTGTCTGGGACGGGCCCGGAAGTGCTCTCGCGTAGACCACTGGGTGACTGCAGGACAAAAGGACCGGCACAGATTAGTCCTGGTTTAGACATGGTTTAGTCCTGGTTTAGTCCTGGTTCAGTCCTGGTTCAGTCCTGGTTTAGTCCTGGTTTAGTCCTGTTTTAGTCCTGTTTTTAGTCCTGCTTTTAGTCCTGGTTTAGTCCTGTTTTAGTCCTGTTTTTAATCCTGCTTTTAGTCCTGGTTTAGTCCTGTTTTAGTCCTGCTTTTAGTCCTGTTTTAGTCCTGGTTTAGTCCTGTTTTAGTCCTGCTTTTAGTCTTGGTTTTAGTCCTGTTTTAGTCCTGCTTTTTGTCCTGCTTTTAGTCCTGTTTTAGTCCTGGTTTAGTCCTGTTTTAGTCCTGGTTTAGTTCTGGTTTAGTCCTAGTTCATATGTTGTGGCCTATAATCATTTTGAGTGAAAAAACATCAAATATTACAGATTTTTACTGGGCTGCCACCTTTACGTTTCTTTGGTGGGGACGGGATTCATCACATCAATGATGTCACGAATCACGTAGCCCCACTACACCACTGAGTACAGTTACGTACTCATTTGGTGGTATTTAGAGTACAGTTACTTTTCTAAATTCAAAGGAATACATGGAGGTACTTGATCTCACAATTTAGGCTTCATACTACACATAACTAGTGTAAAAAATATGAAAACAGCATTCTTATGAGTGCTTGTGTGATTAACAAACAGTAAAACAAATATAAAGCTGTTGTCAATCTGATATTGCATTCTCATTGTCAGCATAGTCGCCTCTCCACAGATCTGACCTGTAACTTGGCCTTGTGGCATCACTTGTTTGCTTCTTTGGAAATGGATATGTTTAATGCCGTGCTATAGAAAAATCCAGACAAAACAAAAACATCTCCATTGAAACAAGCAAGAAGAAGAAAGTTACACATTTAAAGTTGCACCTTTAATGAATGGTGATTTTAAAGAGTTGGGTTTTCGGGGCTTAAATGGTCGTGAATCTTGCATCTTTACACTATAATTTAAATGCAACTCAATGTGAAAGTATTCTAAGTATTCCGAATACAATACTCTGATTGGACCATGTAACAAAATACATTACAAAACACATTTTAATGCAGGTATTCATTATTCTGTAAACATGGATTTGCAAAGTATTCTTCCCGTCGATAGCAGCTCAGTGTTGCATTTAAAAGGCATCTAAAGCTATGTGCTTCTTTTGAGAGTCAACCCCGTGTCGCCCATTCACTCTGAACAATGAGACTGAAAGAACAGGAGTGTGAGTACAGAGATAAACAGAAAAACTCTGGGTTGCATGACTATCCCTGCAGACTGGCTGCTCCTTACAGAGGGAGACCTAAATGTGATATAATAATGATACATTTGCCCACCATTACTTGTTTAGTGTACAAGATATTATTTTAACCTCTTCATGCTTATAATTTAGGGTGTCCAGGCATTCCTATTTACTCCAGACTAGGGATGGGCATGATTAGTCGATTAATCGATAATTGATCATCAAGAATTTCATCGGTTACGTTCATTTTAATCGACAAACCGAATCTAGGTTGCTGTGCGTTGCGTGACCAAACGGGGTCCGTACATGTAGTTCTCTGCACTCAGAAGGAGCGAGACACAAACAGTTGGTCAGCCTGCAAGTGCCGAAGCACAAATACGTATTTAACGATGACTTGTACAAGAAATTCCACACTTTCCGTTGTGTTCGGGACAAGTGTGAGGCCATGTGCACAGTGTACAAAGCAGCACATATGTTTCGGTGTCCAGTGGGAAAAAGTTTTGCCAGGTGAGAGTCGCGTAATGTCGATGACGAGTCCCAACCTCCCTCCCCCCGTACGGTGTCCTGGTTTTGACAAACGCAAATATGGTCACACTAGCCTGTATTCCACTGAGTCGTGTCACATCAGTGCACAAGAGCAGTTTTTTTTTTCTTTGCTTAATTTTTGCAAATGAGCCATGCGGTTTTAAGTTTCGTTTCTGTGAGAGCTGCGCAAAGCTGCATTAAACACATTATAATCTCTAACGGGCTGATGTGGCTCTAGAGTGGTTACGGTTTATATGTCATAAAGTTGAGTTTATTTATGCAGATTAGTAGTGCAGATAGTAATAATAATGATGATAAATGTTAGTATAAAAAACGTTAATGATTAATTGATAATCAATCGTTAACAATTGATTAAGAAAATGTAATCGAATGCCCATCCCTACTCCAGACAGTCCCCATTTTGACTCTCATGTCTCCTGGTCCTGCAGATTTATACAAAACCTCTGATATGTCCCAGTTTTATACAAGAAATTACCCTATTTTTTGACAAATCTGAAGTAAAGTGGAGCATATATTGTCATTTGCTGTGCCAAAATACAGATATGATATACGAATAAGTTATGAATGGACCGAGTGTGTAATAATATTCTTAATTATGTGTGTTGTTTACAATTTTATTATTAGTTTTTGATTTTGAAAAGCTGCTTACCCTATTATAATCAGAGAAATATCTCTTGAATCTGTTGGATTTCTACTGTTCCATCAGTCAAACATTTCTCGTTACTGTCTCAGATGACAACTTGACAACTTAACATTTATCAAACTGAATTAATTGCTCTTCGTGATAAAGTGACATGTTTGGATATCTGTGAATGACTCTTACCGGGCTGGTCATGGAGCAGTATGTATTCTCGTATGAATAAATAAAGAGGCTGCTACAGGGTGGGGCTGCGTCAAGCCATCCTCCCTCACAGAAGAGAGAGCAATAATGAAAAGTTATAGGACACGGTGTTCAAACAGGCCAGTGCGCAAACAGCAGCTCCTATATTTCCATGTGGGACAAAGATGATATGAGTAAACAGTATATGAATGGGCCACAGCTCCGTGAATGAGTGTCTAATAAAAAACGGGCTGGATCATTATGTGGTGAGCAAACAAAGAAACAATGAAGCAAGGACAGAACTGGAATTAAAAATCTCACAGTTGATTACATTTAAACTGGATGACGAATTAATGCACTTCCACCTTTTGCACTTTTTATTTTGTAGGTTGAAAAAAATATTTATTTACTATTTTATTAAAATGTTCTTTTTGGCATTGGATTAGTATTTCAGTTCAAGTTATTATGTAGGTAAGCTTTAAACAACGAGGAGCCATGTGTTATGCAGTTATAACGTGGACTTGTTCTGGTGTCATGGTGTTCCTTTGCAAAGTGCGTTAAAAGTACAGAACACACAGCTTCAAATTGTTTGATATGCTTATACCACAGCTACAAACTGAAATGTCTCACCTGTGAATCTGAAAAGCCTGTTCACTGTCAGGCAGGACTAAACCAGGACTGATCCCAGGACTGAACCAGGACTAAAACGGGACTAAAACAGCACTATACAGAACTGAACCAGAACTTAGTGTCGTGATGGGCCTGGAGGTGCACCAGATCGTCAGGTGACTGCAGGAGAAAGGACAGCCGTTCCCCGATTACGCTTTTGCAGGCACCCTGCTCCACGGGCTCAGGGTTCTCTCTCTCGCTTTCAAGTCCAAGACTAGTCCTGGTTTAGTCCTGGTTCAGTCCTGTTTCAGTTCTGGTTTAGACCTGGTTTAGACCTGGTTTAGTTTTGGTTTAGTCCTGGTTTAGATCTGGTTTAGTCCTAGTTTAGACCTGGTTTATTCCTGGTTTAGTCCTGGTCTAGTTCTGGTTCATGTGTTGTAGCCTATGATTTATGTTCTGTAGGTGATTATGAATGACGTTAATGTTAATAACATGGTTCATTAAAAAAAAAAACATTAAATATTACAGATTTTTACTGGGCTGGCGCATATATGCTTGTACTGAAAATTAGGTTTCTTTTTTTTGTTAATAAACATAAAATCTATATCAGTGATTCTTAACCATAGGGCCGAGGCCCAAAGTAGGGCCTGGACCACCTCCTTGGGGGCCCCACAATCAGTACAATATAATGCATTTAATATGAGATAGGGCCCCAAGTTACTTTGTTTGGAAAAGGTTGGGCCCCAAGACTGAAAAGGTTAAGAATCCCTGATCTATATGACACCTGTGTGTATTTTGCCATGTCGAGTATATGGCTTTTGGGTGGCGTGGATGGGGGATATCACATCGATGACGTCACAAATCGCATATCCTCACTTAAAAAATTCCCACTACACCACTGTCAAAAACTGATTTTAAAATGTCATTGCTGATTACATTTAAACAGGCTGATGACAGATTAATGCTTTTCTACATTTTTTACTTTTTATTAGTTAGAAAAAAAAGCACATACAGATTTGAGATAACTCTTAAACTCTTAACTCTTCTTGTTTGTTTTTTTCTTTCTACTTTCTACATTTAGATACACACAGAAGACATGAAATATATGAAGTAAGATATATGGAATTATTTAGTAAAGAAAAACCTAAATAAAACTAAATATTTTTCAACAAAGGAAAAGGTGAGTAATTTGAGAAATTTAGTATAAAATATATTTCTAAAAAATAGTAGTTGTTTTCTATTTGCTACATAATTACATCTTCTGTTTGTATACCAAATGTAGAAAGTAGTAAATATATAGACCAAAACATTAAATGAGTGGGTGCTCTAAACTTTTGGCTGTTTTATTGGGTTTGGGAGAGTTAAATAAACAAAGGATTTCATAATGTGTTATAATTGTAATTTTAATTATTATTTGTTTATTATTAAAATTATAAATCTCTTGGCTGTCATAATCCCTTACATTAATTTATTAGATTACTTTATTCTCTGCCATGTTCCACCAAGAGAAATCACCATATAAAACAACACAGCCAATCCAATGGACCTGTGGGATGGAAAAATAAACTTGGGATGGTGCAAATAATCTTGTTTATTATGGCGATAAAAACACAGTAATTACTTGTGGTAGATTTTGTATAATCGTGATAATTGGCAACAGAAATAATCACGTCAAGTAGTATTGACAAGTATTTGAGTTCAAGCTATTATAAAAGCACATACAGACTTGAGATAACTCAAGTTAAAGTCAAAAGTTTGGACTCACCCTCTCATTCAATGTTTTTTGATACATACAGAATAGACTGATATTTACAGGCTGATTTTGGCCAAGAACATCTCATAAGATTTGAGTTTTTATTCATACAAAGCTGTTCATTAGTGCTGTAAAGGATAAATAACGGTTATATAACACTATTGGATAGCTGCGTGTATAATATATTGAAATATTGATATATCGTAACATCTCATTCAGGGCTCTCCAACCTGTGGCTCGGGAGCTTCCAGTAGATCTCCACCCCCTTCCAAGGAGCTCGCCAAAGGATTTCTGAATAATAATATTTAGCTGAATAAGTAACATTTGATTAATTTAATGCCTTTTACCATTGTACATGTGTCATTACCTAAACAAATGACAATTTATGTCTGTTGACAGGGATGAGATTAGTGAAAAATGCGGACACCAGGGACATTTCTTGTATAAAACTGGGAAAAATCACTGGATAAATTTGCAGGGACAGGGGACACAGGACTCAAACCTGGGACTGTCCCGAGTAAATAGGGACATTTGGTCACACTAACCTAACTACTTCATCTAAGGTTTGCTGTGGCTCTGTTATATACTAAATTTCTTATGAATGCTAAAACTAGTCACTCTCTGGCATTTTTGTTTTGTAAAGGTAACTCACCGGATGATCTAATTTAATGGTATAGTGGGCTGCTGTTTCAGTATATTGCTAAGAGTTTTTTTTTTTACTTATATATTTATTTTTTTTATATATTTTACTAAATTACTTTGTGATAGAGCTACAGTTGTGTTGCTTGGTTGGAGAAAGGAAACTTATTTATGCAGTACATTTGACATGTTCACTGTTTTGATGAGTAAAATGGTATTTGTCATATTAACTTTGCACAATCTAGACTTACTTAAAGACTTTTAGTATCACAGCCATGATTTAACCTTTGTTTTTTACAGTGCAAAAAAACAAAATCTAGAAGTCAGTTTCACTTGACAAGTAAAATGATCTGCCAGTAGAATAAGACTTTTTGTACTTAAAATACGAAAATACATCTTGCTACACTTAAAATGCGAAAAACAACAACTTTTTGTACTTAAAATAAGAAACAAAATCAAATGTTGCTTGAATTAAGAAAAACACACTTGTTCCATTGGTAGATCATTTTACTCAAGTTGAATCTACTCAAATAAAGTAAAATGTTACTTAGATATTGTTTTTTTGTCCAGTGTACTGAACCGTATAAAATCGAAAAATCTATTGTATCGTATTGTGGCCTGTGTATCGAGGTATGAATCGAATTGGCAACTTCTTAATGATACACAGCCCTACTATTGGATCTCTTGTGCAATAATTAACTGTATTTTAAGGAAACAAGTCATGTCCTTACACTGGCAGCGGGTAATATCGAGTATCGGCAGATACATAATGACAAAGTATCGATTGGTATCGGTATCAGAACTGAAACTAGATAGGTGCATCCCTAATTGAATCACCAAAAAAAATTTTCTCTTTTAGATCAGTGTTGTTTTCACTTATAACAAATTACTTTTCTGTATTAGTTGTTTAAACAGGGACATTATTGACAATATTAAAATTATAATTCAATATGTATTTGTTTATTTTTCTTTCAGCTATTTGAATACTGTGATAATTATGACACAGAATTTCAATACTGTCCCATTCTGATCAGAAACTTCTTTGCCAAATGACAGAAAATTAACCTTTATGTATTTGTGTTTTTCCAGACTTTGAGAGCTGCGGGGAAAACCTACATGGTGTTCTTTGTGCTGGTGATCTTCCTGGGCTCCTTCTACCTGATTAACCTGATTCTGGCTGTGGTGGCCATGGCCTACGAGGAGCAGAGCCAGGCCACCATAAACGAGGCCATCGAGAAAGAGGAGAAGTTCCAGGCCATGCTGGAGCAGATGAAAAAGCAACAAGAAGAGAGTGAGGTATCAAATCTTTCAACATTTATAAACATATGTACATGCACTAGTACTCAGTAATAGGGATGTAACAATTTCCAAATCTCACGGTACAGTATTGTCATGATATGCAGCTCACAGTACGATATTTATTGCGATATTTTGAAGAGGCTAATATAATTGTAGATAGGACACTTTTTTAGCTTTTAAAATACCTTGACAAGATCTTGGTGTGAATTATTTCTGTCATAATCCCAAGAATTAAAGTAAAAAAAATAGTTTCTTCATGTTGTTTGCACGGAAATTAATCATGGGATATGTAGTTCCCGATGTTTATAAGCTGTTGCTACTATAAAACCATGCATTTAAGCAAATAAACTTGTAATTCGATATGACTGTGAGACTCTTGATGATACAATATCACAATATTTCGGTTATTGTCCCTACTCAGTTACTTGGAGACATATTATGCGCTTATATCATGAATGGTTTTCCTTCATTGTTAGCTCACTTGCTTACATTTTATTCTACATTCAATGCTGTTTTACTTTGGTTTATTTTGTTCTGTGCTTAATAAAAGAAAATAAAACACATAAATGTTATGTATTACCTAATGAGCAGGTCCCTCCTACTTTCTGTTTGAATATATGAGGGTCTCGTTGTTAGCTGGAGACTGATCCATGTCACACGTTTTTTGTGTGTGTTATTGTAAGTCCATGTATCATTCGTTCATTCATTTTTCAAAATAAAGCCAAAAATAAGAAAAGGAAAAAGCAACTGTTTTGTCATTATTTGTCTCCAAAACCAGAATGAAAAAACAGATAACGATTAGTTTTTTCAGTTTTTGATTTTGTGTTTAAAATGAATAATGGAAAAAACGGATAATGGTCGTTTCCCTTTTCCATGACTTAAACTGCGATGTTGGACATTTGCACCGCATATGAACTAAAGCAGGCCTAAACCAGGCCTAAGCCAGGCCTAACCGGTCTCAGCCCTGGTATGTTCCTGGTCTGTTCCTGGTCTCAGTCCCGCTCTGGTCCCATTCTGGTCCCAGTCTCAGTCTCGGTCTGGTCCCAGTCTCAATCCTGGTCTGGTCCTGGTCCCTGGCTCAGTCCCAGTATCAGTCCCAGTTTGGTCCCAGTCTCGGTCCTGGTCTGGTCCCGGTCTCAGTGCCGGTCTCAGTCCTGGTCTCAGTCCTGGTCTGGTCCCGGTCTCAGTCCTGTCACCCGACAGTCTACAGGGGTGCACCTCCAAGCCCTTCCCGACACTCAATACTGGTTCAGTCCTGGTTCAGTCCAGGTTTAGTCCTGGTTTAGACCTTTAAGTATCGCAGTTTAAGTCATGGAAATGGGAAACAGCTATTATACGTTTTTTTCCTATATTAATTTAAACACACAAATGAACAAATCGTTATCTGTTTTTTTCATTTTGGTTTTGGAGACAAATAATGATGAAAATAGTTGTTTTTTCATTTTCTTATGTTTGATTTTATTTTGAGAAATGAATGAACGAATGATACACAGATCATTGTAAAGTGTGTGGTCTTGGCTGGCTAAGCAATGAAATCTGCTGCTTGATACGGTGAAATTTTGCAACGGGAGGGGGAAAGCAACATTAGTTTTAATCTGGAACTCAATTAACCTGTTTCTACTATTAAGTATTTTAGATAATTATTGCAGTTTACAGTGAAGTTGATCAGTTGCAGAGCCTTGTTGAATGTCTTGTGGAACAATCAATAGAAATGTTTGTTTGTTTTTGTGCACGTCCCAGGCAGCAGCAGCAGCCGCAGCCGAGAATGGAGAGAGCGGTGAGAAGCTCAGTGTGAGAGAGAGCTCCTCAGACGCCTCCAAACTCAGCTCCAAAAGTGCCAAAGAACGACGCAACAGGAGGTGGAAAAGGAAAGAGGAGGAGGGCAAAGGGACGGACGAGAAGATCCCCAAGTCTGAGTCCCAAAATAGTCTGAGGAAAATGTGCTGCCACTTCTCTGAAGGAGACAACCTGCTGACCTATGAACGCAAGTGCTCCTCTGCTCACCAGGTACGACACTGTTGGGCAAGTTACTTCAAAACTGTAATGTGTTATTTAATATTTGTTACTGTCATTTCAAAGTAATTTGTTACATTACAATATTACTGCATTTAAAATATAAGATATTACATGAGTACTGCATTACTTTTAAGTTATTCTCATCAAAATAACTGTGCGAAGATGCTGAAATTTTGCACCGTATATGGACTGAACCAGGACTAAACCAGTACCAAACCAGGACTAATCTTGGACTAGGACTTGGAAACTAGGACTGCCCCTGAGAGAACCCCAAGCCCATGGAACAGGGCATCCGCAAAGCGCGATCGGGCGTCGGCTGCGATGAGCCCCGTGCAGGACTGAACCAGGACTAAAACGGGTCTAAACCAGGACTAAACCACATCTAAACCAGAACTGAACCAGGACTAAACCAGAACTGAACTAGGACTAAACCAGTTCTAAACTAGGACTAAACCAGTACCAAACCAGAACTAATCTTGGACTAGGACTTAGAAAGTAGGACCACCCCAAGCCTGTGGACAGGGTATTTGCAAAGCACCGGTCCTTTAGCCCGTGGTTACCCGATGGTCTACACAGGCACACCTCCGGGTCTGTCCCGACACTCAGAACCATAACGATGGCGTTTCACCGCTGCTGATATCGCAGTGATTTTTTCGAATTTGTATGAAGAAAAGTGAAAAACCCACCACTTAAATCCAAGTTAAAAATGCACAGTGATACGCGTTACTGACATTTGTACCGAGTAAAATATTACTTTTTTTCCCCCTGTAATGCCACATTACTTCATTACATTAAAAAGCAAAGCATTACAGTAACTCGTTACTTTTATAACGTGCTGCTCCCAACACTGGGTATCACACTGGCTTATCTTTCATGACAATTTTTCATATATTCAAACTGCCCTAAACCACATTGCGTTGGACCTAAGAATTTAATCCCTTTTTGTGTGTGTGTGTGGCTTGAAAATATTTTCGGACTTTGAAAATTTGCAAGTCATATTGTATTTGCCCAATTTGTAAAACTGGTGGACTAAAGAAATTCCTGTGGCAGTAAAATGTTAGTGACAGACTTCTGGTGTAAACTGGAAGAGTAGTTTTGTTATGCCTTAATTTTTTCAGACATTTGCCATTGATGATTAACTTAATGAATAAAAAAATGATCGTCTTTCCTTTAAAGAAGCACTGTGTAACTTTTCTGGTAGAGGTTTCACCGCTTGTTTCCATGGAGCTTGTACGTGACACAGAACAGCAGGTGTTGTCGCTGGGCCAAGTTACAGGTCAGATCTGTGGTGAAACAAACATGGTTACAGTAATAATGCGTGTTTTTTGGAACAAACAAGCACTTTTTTCGCAATTGTTGAATAATCAAGATAGATAAGTGGTAATGTCATAAATTGGAACATTCCAGGTAAACGAAAAGTAGGTGGGGGACTATCAGAAAAGTTACATAGTGCTCTTACCTACCACTGTCACTTTTTCTTCCCTAATGTCCATTTTTCTCTGTGGTCTTGTCTCCTTGTGTATATCTGTGTCCATCCACTCAAGCCTATCTCTCTCTCTCAGTCCTTTCTGAGTTTTCGCGGACCGCTCTTCTCATCGCGTCATAACAGCAGAAATAGCATGTACAGCGTGCAGAGCCATGTGCTGGACAATGGCTCTGAGAACGAATTCGCGGATGATGAGCACAGCATTTTTGAGGACGCCCTGAGTATGAGGGGCTCAGTGTTTCTCCCACAAAGACGAGAGCGTCAGAGCAGCAGTATCAGCCAGTGCAGCTACTGTCCACATATCTTTCTCCCTCCCAACGACATCAAACTCACCTCAATGGGCTGCAACGGCCTAGTCACTCGTGTGGGTGGAGACTCCCTCCCACCCTCGCCTTTGGATTTACTCATGTCTTCATTGACAGCGTACGACGCTCCCCCTGGTGGCAACGTAAGGAAGTGTCTGGCCGATCCATACTGGGTGTTCTGTGTTCATTATCGCTTCTTTTCTTTTGCTGGATTTCACGTGGTTGTGCAGTGTCCAGTGTCTTGTGAGGTTTTATTGAGTTTTAGATACCACCATAGTCTGGCCAGTCACTCTCAGCTTTGTCCATTAATGAAACAGTTGGTTTGGTTGGGAGAGTACAAAATGATGAACATACATGACATTTCTATTCTATTCAACACTGTAAGCAAGGTGGGTGAATTGTCTTGCCCAAGGACACAACAACAGTGTACACCGCTGCCCCACTGTAGCATTTGGTATTCCCAATGTTTCTATCCAGGCCCAAACATATGTATTCTCAGGGAGATTTGGCTATTTTGAGTTTGAATTTTATTTCAGAAATAATTTTCTCACAGTAATACATACGCCCACAAATATGAATTCATTTAAAGACTAGGCCCCTAATCTTTTAAACTGTAAACCTCCAGGTAACTTAAGTTTTTTCACACACATGCTGTACATTTAATTCAATGTTTATAAAACTATAATGGCTGGCCAGACCAAAACTTTGTCATTTTTTGCCATAAATCTTGGTTTTCCACTGCAGCTCACCATTGTCTCACCTGTGTGCACTGTATGTGCTTGTTGTTGTTTGTCAAATTCATAATATTATAAGTTATGTCACACAGTTGTGAAGTAAATAACATATACCTCAACATAACATCATGCCATTATGACATGGGGTTAATTGCCTTTATGCTAAAAAGCTGATTGGACATTTTCATGATGTTCTTTATGACTGTACAAATTATTCCAGCTCTAATGGAGTCTTCTTTCCCTTCAGCCTGACACAGCTGATACAGAAGTGGGAGGAGAACAGTGTCCACACATGGACCTCCTCAACGGGGTTCAGACCAGAGACCGGACCTGCAGTGTGGCCAGTGTCATCACAAGCACAATAGAAGGTCTGTATCAAAAATCATATTATAGGCTGTGTTTACATGACGGGAGAGTGATTGTTTTTACAAAAAATATCCAAACTTATGAATTAGGGGTGTAACGATATCCAAGTCTCACAATACGATATTGTCACAGTATAGACCTCACGGTATGATATTTATTGCGATATCGTGGGAAAGCTCATGATACGGTTGGGAGGCTCACGATATTACAATATTATACATAATAACAAGACTGATATAAAATGCTTTGACCAGTCATTTGGTACATTTATTGTCATATTTCAGGGATGTAACTATATCCAAATCTCTCAGTACGATATTATCACGATATGCATCTCACAGTACTATATTTATTGTGATAATTTGAAGAGGCTGATAATTGAAGATGGGACAACGTTTGCTTTTAAAATACCTTGACAAGATTTTGGTGTGATTATTTCCATCATAATTCCAAGAATTCAAGTAAAAACCATATCTCTTCCTGTTGTCTGCACTGAAATGAATCATGGGATATGTAGTTCCTGATGTTTATTAGTTGTTGCTACTGTAAAATCATGCATTTAAGCAAAGAAACGTAATTTCGATATCACAATATTTTGGTGGTTGTTACATCCCTAGTATGAAATAAATATTATATCCTTATTCATCAGAGACTGGCTCCACAAACTTGGAAAAAATATTAAAGGTGCACTACTTAACATTTAGGTTCAGAGACTGTCACCTGTGTGTTTCTATGGAAATGCCATTGCTCTGCCTGGAATGTTCCATAGTATGACATTAAACAGCTCTTCCTTACATTTATTCAATTACAGGTGGTTTTATAGCTCAAAAATACCTAGAAAAACAGGCATTCTGACTGTAATTGGGGTCACCTCTCCACAGATCTGACCTGTAGCTTGGTCTGGTTTGGTCTCCATGAAGATAGAAAGGTTTAATACCATACTGGGAAACAATTATAGACAAAGCAGTAACATCTCCATGGAGAAGCATCTGACGGATCCTCCACCATAAAAGTTACACAATGCAACATTTTTTCCCCATGTATTTCAGCAAAATCTGTCTTGCCCCAGCACATATATATTGTATATGCAGTTGGTGTTGGCATTAACCATAAACCAAGACAAGATCATATCGTAATGTCATGTGAACGCACCCTGTTATCCATCAAAGGTTCTGTAGTATTAAATATACCTATTCATGTTTTTTTGTTTCAGAACTGGAGGAATCGAGGCAGAAGTGTCCTCCCTGCTGGTCCCATTTTGCACAGTCTTTTCTCATCTGGGAGTGCTGCCCAATTTGGCTAAAGATCAAGAAGGTAGTTCATCTGATCGTCATGGATCCTTTCACAGACCTGGCCATCACTGTCTGTATCGTCCTCAACACCCTGTTTATGGCCATGGAGCACTACCCCATGTCTAAAAGCTTCAACACTGTCCTGACTGTGGGCAATTATGTGAGTAGATTCAGTATTGTGTATATAATAGATAAGATCCTGTTTTATGCAAAATTGACTCTTGTAAGCTCTAAGCCATGTTAAAATATTCTTACCTCATCAAAAACACAACTCCAGTTATGTTATGTACATTATAACAGATCAGAAAATAGTGTAATATGGGCCCGTTAATGGTTTGATTTTTTAAAATGAATAATGAATAATAATACCATATGTTTTTGTAGGTGTTCACGAGCATCTTCACAGCTGAGATGGTTCTCAAAATTATCGCACTAGACCCATACTTTTATTTTCAACAAGGATGGAACATTTTTGACGGGGTTATTGTCACCTTGAGTTTGTTGGAGCTTGGACTTGGGATAAGTATCTTGAGAGCTTTCCGACTGGTAAGATATCAACCAAAGTTTAGATGTATTTATTTGTTTATCTGATTTTATTCTTTCATTTATTGCTGAAAAGTGAAACTGAAACAAAAAAAAATCCAAATACATTGCTATAACAATCCAGATTTCATTTTTTTTAAGTAAGCAATAGGCACCATTAATTCAGAGATGCTAAAGGTCTTACATTAATAGGGGTGTGCATTGCCTTGAATACAATCACAACAAAAATATTAAATAAAATATAGCAAAAATTATGATGCCAAAATTGGGAACTGGATTGCACAATTTATTTATTATTAAGAATGTCAAAATCTCATTTTGTCTCATTCTCATAGATCCAATCTCAATCCAAACTCAAAAGCTTTAAAGCTGCCTGCAATCTGTGACTGGAATTTGAACGCTGAAATTATGATTATTAATAACTAAGGGTGGAACGAGATTTCATTTCCACAAGACAATTCGTGACACGAGATTGGGTCTACGAGAGTGAGACAAGTGAGATTTTGACATTATTCAGACTAGTTTAGACTTGTGCAATTCATTTCCCAATTTTAAACTCACCATTTTTGATTTACTTTATTTAATATTTCAGCTGTCATTGTATTTCTGCTTTTTGGGACTACACACTCTCAAAAAATGTACTTTAGTTTTTTAATCCAAACGTAAAAACATCTCACAATCTCACAAGATAATTTTTAGTATGTGTGCACAACCTTGTGGCAATTTTGTCTCTAGAGATCTTGTGGCACAAGATTTTCTCCCATCCCTACTAATAACTCATGTGATAGTGTTTACTTATTCATATAAAACAAAAAATGCACACCGCAGATCTTATAGAAGTGCAGATGCTAGGAACAGCAGTTTAAAAGTAAAAAAAAAATGCATTTCACACTCAGATGGCAGATGTTCAAAACCTTTTTTATGGTAACACTGTAGTTACACCTTAATTAACCTTAATACAGCAAGAATAGAGACTTAAATCAAAATAAACTAACAATTTATTAAGAATTATTCTATATGATTCAGGCTCTCTAACCGCTTAAAGAAGGGTAAGAGTTTGGGGGTAGTTAGTAAACCTGAATCATTTTTTAAAATGTACTCGTTATAAATTAAGACTTTCTTCATACTTTATTAAGGTATGAATAAGTGTAATTATTGTAGTGTTACCTTTTTATTTTTAGATAAATGTTTCAACAAAAAGCCTTAATCCAATCATTTTATTTTTACTTTGGACCACAGTACACAAAATAGTTTCTAACCCAGGTCCTCATATTCCCCCACACTGAAAAGCACTTCCCGGGTTGCTTCCTGTTTTAAGCTCTGGTCAGGGATTATTACACGTGTGAATGTGAGAAGAGCATTATAACAAACGTTCCAAGCATAGATTTTGCAGGATATTTTAAGAATCCAAAGAATACACTGACATCAGCTTTCCAATTCAGGCTGTGAATCAAGATGTATGTGCATTTTAACACCTATCTCCTCCATCTTTTCACAGTTGCGAGTTTTTAAACTGGCTAAATCGTGGCCCACTCTCAACGCTCTCATCAAAATCATTGCAAACTCATTTGGAGCCTTGGGCAACCTGACTCTGGTGCTGGCCATTATCGTGTTTATCTTTGCGGTGGTGGGGATGCAGTTGTTTGGGAAGAGTTATAAAGACTGTGTGTGTAAGATCTCCAGTGACTGCACTCTGCCCCGATGGCACATGAACGACTTCTTCCACTCGTTCCTGATCGTTTTCCGGGTTCTGTGTGGGGAGTGGATAGAGACCATGTGGGACTGCATGGAGGTGGCGGGTCAGCACATGTGCATCATCGTCTACATGATGGTGATGGTCATCGGGAATCTCGTGGTAAGACGTTATCTTCAAATTATGAAATTGTGTCACGAAATGATGTGACTTATGAAAAAGGAGGCAGAAATGAGTGTCGCAAAGTTTATTAAGTTTACTAGAGCAGGTTTTGTGTTTTAGCTGCTTGTCACTATCAGTGCAGGAGTTAGCAATTCGGAGGCCCTGAGTGAACTTGAGTTTGGGGCCCTCACTATAATGCACAGTTTTGGCGGGGGATTTTTTTGTTTTTTTGCATTTCTTGAATATGTATTATCTGTTTTTTCCCATTGTTCATGAGACATGCACATCTTTATTTGAATTAGGGTTGATTGGAAACTTTTCTTATTAGTTTGGTCACCTACTAGATAACCAGCGCTGAAAGTAGTTTTTTTTTTTTGCTAGTACAATAAAATTTTTATTTACATCCATTGCATCATTACATATGATAATGATTATTATAATGCTATGATTATGTTAAAAGGGTCAAGCTCACTCGCCCATTCTAACGTGAAAAGGGGGAACTCTTTGACAGTTAAAATACATTTAACAATCAGATTTTATTTTGAAGGTGTTTTTATGTTTAAAAGTAAACTACTTTCATTTGTCACACTGAGAGAAAATCAAATTGCTCTTGGCCATTAGTTGCACTGAGGGCAATTGGTTGGGGCCCCTCCAGGTTTGGGGCCCTAGGCAGCCGCCTACTGTTGCCTAATGGTAGCACTGCTTCTGGTCACCACAGAGATTATTGTTTCATCTAAAATGCTACACAGTATGCCTTTAAACATATTATTCCATCACTTCCATACACATGTGGCCATTTTAGGCAACACAACACCATCTCCATTATACAATTCAATACGATATATTTCAAATCAGTTACATATGGTTCAATAAAAATAAAGGCTTATAACACTAAAAGTGTTTGTTTAACCACTTTTTGTGCAATGTTAATGTGAAACACACTCATTTTACTCATCAAAACAGTGAAAATGTCAAATGTGTTGCATAAATGAGTTTCCTTCCTCTGAACAAACAACAAAACTGTAGCTCTGTATTAAAATAATTTTGTAAAATATACCAAAAAATACTTTTGGCGATATATCGATACAGCAGCCCACAATATTGATACTGTGTCATCACATTAAAGATGCGATATATTGACATTTCAATATTTTTGCACACCTCTAATCTCTATAGAGACAAGCTGGTAGCAGACCCTACACTGTTACACAGTGTATTGTTAAATAAAAGTAAAATTAATTATTTTTATATATTCTATCTCATCTCAACACTTTATTAAGTTTTGGCACACTGGATTTCACTAAATGAAGGTCAGGTGCAGTTTGGGGTTCCAAAAGAATTCCTCTATACAAGTCCAAAAAGTCAATGCGTTCTGTCACAGTTGCTTTGGAGCACTGTATGTGGTCTGTTATTGCGTAAACCCATGTGAACTTGTGCTGTGTTGGTCAAATACCCACTGCAGAGCACTGTGTGACAGGCAGTCTGATGAAGTATGTGGCTATAAGTGACAAAAACGTTTAGTAGACATTTTACCTTTTTAATTAATTATTAAATTGTAGTACTCCTCTGGCTGCTCTAACCACTTCTGCTCAATTGTCAAGTCTTTGTGTATATAATCTTTATTGATCATGCATCTGTCACTGAGTTCTATCTTTTTTCTGATAGGTCCTAAACCTGTTCCTGGCTCTGCTGCTGAGCTCCTTCAGTGCTGATAACCTCGCCGCCACAGAGGAGGACACCGACAACAACCTCCAGATTGCCATCGCGCGCATCCACAGCGCCGTCACCTATGTGAAGTCTCTGCTCCACAGCCTGTGCACCTGTCAGGGCAACAAGAAGAAAAGAGAGGAGGAGAAGTCTCTAGAAGATCTCCCCAAAGGTCTGGGGCCAAACGGAGTCCCCAACCACACCATCAAAGACTTCTCCAAGAGTGGAAACGGGGAGGTGACAGGAGTGGACAAGGAGGGGGACAAGTACATCGTGTGCAGCAGAAGTGACGACTCCATCATGTCCTTCATAAATAACCCCAGTCTGACTGTGAGCGTGCCCATCGCCGCCGGAGAGTCCGACTTTGAGAACCAAATCACAGATGAGTTCACCAGCTCCTCCACGGACTTAGCAGGCTATCATATGGTGAGATGCCACACGTGTATAGAAATGTTTTACAATAATTACTATATTGACTTATCATTCATTATATGAAAGCTGCAGACGAAGGAATAACATCTCCATGGAGAAAAGTATTTGGGTCCTCCATCAGAAAAGTTACATGGTGCATCTTTATTAGTAGAGTCTTGCGATATATACAGTCTTTGCTAAAAACATAGTTACACCCCAACTCATTAACAAAGTAGTAAAGTACGGTACTTAAGTAAAAACTGTAGGTATCTGTACTTTTCAAAATGGATACTTTTTACTTTATGTTTTCTTCAATATTTTGGGGGGGTCAGTGTTTATCGTGTACATTTTCTTTGCACCACTGGGAAATTTTGGGTTATTTTTTGGTATAGGAAAAAATTTAGGCTGTAAAAAACAAGCTTCTATGATTCATTATAGATGCTAAATAATTTGCATTTCATTGCAGCTTTTTAACGATTTTGTAGATTTAGAATAGTAAGTGTCGTTTTCACACCGCTAGTTCGATTATTTGGTCCGCACCAGGCAATAAAATTGTTATTATGTAGGAAATACTCTCCAGTGTGGTCCGCGTTCACACCGGCAAACGAACCAAAACTGGTTCGATTGACGTGTCTCTGTTTCCCTGGTAAAACAGCGATACCTCCAGTTATCAACACCGATGTTCCTGTTAATACCGCGGGCCGTCCTCATCTCAAATTATCACCATGAACTCATAAAACAGCAACATGTAGAACTTTGTACAAACTCACCGCATCAGCCCAGAGCTCGGGTAACAGCAGCAGCCAACAGTGCTCAAAGTAGCGCGCAGCTCCTCAGGACGGGGCTGGGGTCTGGTCCTTGGTCTTCTGTTACAAGCGCGTTGGTCAGATGGTCCGGAGGCTCTGTCCTCCATGTGCTGGTTCCAAACGGTGGCGAGCAAGACCAGTGCTTGATGGACTGAGTCCGAGCGGGTACGTTCAGTCGTCTGCGCGCTGTTTCCGTGCGGGAAAAGCAAGAATGCGCTGTGGACTACAGGTCCGGGCGCTGCTCTGGTTCTCCGCACTCAAGAACCGCGGCTGGTTCCGAGGTGGTACAGCATCCGGACAGAAGCGTGAGTCCAGTTTGGTTTGTTATATGTTGTTCTGAGCGTCCGTCCTCCGTGCATTTGGTTCTTCCCGGGGAAAGCGCTTCCTCAGGTCGAGGCTCCCCGCTCCAGCTCCTCTGAGCCCGGCCTGAACCGGAGCTGCCCCCGCTGGTTCGGGACTCTGGTTTGGATCTAGTCCGACTGTATTTCTCACACTAGGCTAAAAACAGGGACTTTTTTAAGTTGTATCAATTGAATGGGCGATTGCCTATTGCCATGAAATTATTTGGTTAATTAAAGCCTAAAATAACAAATGTTGGTTGCTGTGTGATCACGGGGAACACCGGGTCGTCTCTGTGCGTGTAGGTCCCGAACAGGGGTGCGCACCCCCAATTTTGACTCACTCTGGAGCCACACGTTCGCACACTGGTTCTTGCTCTGATCTTCGTGTGTTACATTCTCTGTATTGGCCATTGTTGGTAAAATAATTCGAAAATGAATCGCGGCTGCGTCTGGACAACAATCTGTTACTGCGCTGGAGTCGTACAGCGTCATTTCAGGCAGAGGACACGTGTCCCTCCCATGATGCATTTCGAATAGTCCGTTTGTCCATACTGTCTATGGTTTGGACCTGGGTTCGCGTTCACACCAGAGGAACCGCACCAAAGTTGGTCATTTGGTGCGGATTCAAGCGAACCGAGACCACCTCTTTTTTGCGGTCTCGGTCCGCTTGATTTGGTTCGGGTCCGAGTCCGATTGACGCTTTCACACCAACGCAAACGAACCGAACTAACCACTTTTGGTTCGAATGGACCGTTTGGTGCGCACCAAATACTGTCGGTGTGAAAACACCCTAAGAAGTTGCCGATACGATACATACCTTGATACATAGGCAACGATATGATACATATCTCAATACAGTGCACTTTCAGTTCAATACGATATATTTCAAATCAATTTGATAAGGTTCAGTTAAAAATAAAGGCTAAATCATGGCTGTGATACTAAAAGTCTTTGTTAAGCCACTTTTTGTGCAAAGTGAAAATGAAACACAAACATTTTATTCCTCAAAACAGTGAAAATGTCAATTGTGTTGCATAAACAAATTTCTTTCCCCTGGACAAGCAACAAAACTGTAGTGCTGTAACAAAATAATTTTGTAAAATATACCAAAAAAATACTCTCTGCGATATATCGATTCAGAAGCCCACGATAACGATACTGTGTCATCACATTAAACAATACAATATTTCAATATTTTTGCATACCCCTAGTGATAGTGGTATAAATTAGTTGCAGTATTATCGTTTATCATCTATATTTACTTCAGCCTGATAGTAACTATTTGAAATACATAGATTTTCGTAGTTGATGTGTTTAAGTCAAGTTTTTTTGGTCATTTAGAAGCAGTGTAATGCAAAAATGTGACAGCGTGCACAGTGCGAGCATCATAATGTGGAACTCGCACTTAAAAGTGCACTATGTAACTTTTAGGTTGGGGAGGGGTCCGTCACCTGCTTATTTCTATGCATATGTCATTGCTCTGCCTGGAATGTTCCACAATATGACATTAAACAGCTCTACCTTACATTTATTCAATTACAGGTGCTTTTATAGCTCAAAAATACCTTGAAAAACATGCATTCTTGTTACGGCGCAACAATGGAGGGACCCAAAAAATGGACTTCAGACCGGTTCACAAAATGAAAAAAGGAGAATTTATTTTACAATGAGCAGAATGTGGGCTGAAGCAGGGCTTTGAGCAGGGCAGGAGCAGAGCTTGGAGCAGGGCAGAGGCAGAGCAGAAGCAGGGCTGGAGCAGGGCTGGAGACGGCAGGGATCACTGAAGGGCAGAGAACGCAGGTAAGTAAAATGTTTAGGCAAAAGGCAAGTAGCAAAAACATAGAATCGAGGAGCCAAGAGGTTCACCGTGTGTAGGTAGGAAACCATCTGGCGGAGTCTCGCAGGTGAGCAGGTCTCAAGTAGTTGGCTCTTGATTGCAGGTGAGGCGAATCAGAGGACCAGGAGACTCCGCCTCCACACACACACACACACACACACCGGGGGAGGGAGGAGAGCACCAGCCATGACACATTCTGACTGTAAGCGGGGTCTCCTGTCCAGAGATCGGACCTGTAATTTGGTCTAGTTTGGTCTCCATGTTGATAGAAAGGTTTAATACCATACAGTGAAACATTCCAGACAAAGCAATAACATCTCCACGGACCCTCTGCCAGAAAAGTTACACAATGCACCCTTAGGTTTTATAACAGAGGCATGAGTCTATTGATTCTATTGTCTCCATGTTTATAATTGGATTAGATGCACTAAAAATATAGATCCTGCTTTGTGCATCAAACCAAATTGTGATCGTGCAATATTGTTACACCACTATGCTTAAGACTAGTTTATCTCTAGTTTCCTCCATTTTAGCTTTAAGTAATGTTTTAATGTTTATTAGATTGGGGTGAGTTTGAGTGCTGGTCCTTGCTATTAATGTTACAAGTTGTCAGATTAAAGCACTTAGCCCAAAGTTCAGGCCACTATGGCTTTTGTGTTATATCCCCCAATCTGTTCATGAGAAGCCATATAAACAGGAAAACTATCAATGGGACAATTACATTATGTCTGAGTGCTGCTGCTGTATCCTTTTAACGGGCTCACACAGACTGAGGGATGTAACAATAACCGAAATATCGTGATGTCAGATGGTCAAAGGTCTCACCACAATGGGGCTGAACGATCTATCGCTTTGGACCAAAAATCGCAATCTCAGACAACACGATTTCGAGAGCGTCAAAGCCAAGTTTTTTTGCAATGCTCCTGGATTTATGGATCTGTGTCAAGGTCTACGCAGCACGAAGTAATTCACTGCCACAACGCGAGGAGGCGAGGATTTAAACCTGGTGTTCGTGTAAAGTTTAACATGAACCATCTCCAACGCAATAGAAGCACAGAACAGACTCACCATCATCAGCACATCCTCTGTCTTAGAAACAACGCTCATATTCCACTGAGTCGTGTTCCTTAGTACAACAGAAGCTGACCACATCAGCAGCACAAGGAGCAGCTGTTTTTTTCAGTGCTAATAGTTTATGCAAATTAGCCATGTGGTTTTAAGTTTTGTTTCTGTAAAATGTAAACTCATTGAAAGAAAGGAAAGCGGAGTACAGGAAATGTATGTAGAGCAGCGGTCGAGAGGACCAATCACAGCTCTTATTTTCTCCGACGCTTCCTCTGCTGTCCGTCATTAGAAAAAGGCAAAAATACTAGAAACATAACCTGGGCAAACAGTACATACCACTGAGGATAAACTGGTGCTAAAAAAAAACAAAAAACAGAGGGAACTACATAGACCATGATCCTTTGCTCCATTTCAGTGCAGACTACAAGAGATGTAACTATATGCTCTATTTACACTTACGCCATAAACCAGTAAGACATCTAGAAACTTCCGGTGTGTTTGATGCTTGAGTGTTGAGTGTTTTAGTATTGATTTTAAGATTGTACTGATCACTTTTAAAGCTCGTTTAGGTTTTGCACCAAGTTACATTTCAGAACTTTTAACCCCGTATGAGCCTCCCACAGCGTTAGATCCTCATTTATGTCCCTGTGGTTCTTCCAATGTCCAGACTCCGGACGAAGGGCGATGGAGCCTTTTCAGTCCGGGCACCTCGGCTTTGGAACGACCTGCCTGAGGAGATAAGACTCGCACCATCAGTATCATCTTTCAAATCACTTCTTAAAACCCATTTTTATCGGTTGGCCTTTCTGAACTGATTTTAGCTTGATTTATTTCTTATTTATTTTTGTTCTATCTTTTTATTTCTTTCTTTTTATTTATTTATTATAAATATATGTATTATAAATAATTATTTATTTGTTATATTTTATTTATTATAACTTATATAATAACAGACTACATTATGAAGAACTGTTCTAAGCACTTTTAAATCTTAGTTCTTGGGTTAAGTCTTGTCAAGCCAGTTTAAGAGGAAAAAGTAGCATATTCAGTTTTGTTAGCCTCCACAAAATATTGTAATAAATATCATGGCGTGAGATGCATGTCGTGAAAAAATACCCAGAGATTTGGATATCATTACGTCCCTACACAGACCTCAAAGAGAAGCACTAATTTTCACTTATTGGATAAATATTTAAATAAATCAAACTTTTACTTTTTCTGTCTAGATTTAAATTTTGGATTTAGAAATGTGAAACGGAGCATACAGTCTTAGTTAGAGGAGGTTGAAATTGTAAGTGTTTGGCAGTAACATGCTTCTATCATTATGAGCACTGCATTAGTGGCTCCCAGGACAGACAAGTGCTCTCACATTCTCCAGGAAAGACATTCAGGCTGTGCTCATCTGTGGCTATTAGGAGACACACCCTGCAGAAAGCTCCACAACAACTTGGACTAGAGCGGACACAGCGGACGCTTTCACTGCATTATTCTTCTGAAATCTATTGTGTATTGTTTATTTTGTTTACAGTGTTAGTAAAATACATGATAAATACTAGTGTATGTAACAACAATGATCACAGTTTAAATATTTAAGGTCCTCTGAAGTTTTGCCTGGTTGTAAAAAGTGATTATCAGAAAGCTGGAGCCTAGAGGAATAGATTTTTGTTAGTTTGTTAGTAGTTATTGTGAATCTTCTTCTTTTTTAGACTTTTTTGTAAACTACTCACAGAAATGAAATTGTTTTGCATTTCTGTTGTATTGTAGAGAGCCACCTTGTCCAAAATCTCAAAGTTGTACAAGATTACCTGTTGTGTATCTGTATAAATACCATCTTCTTTTAGCTTTGCCATTGAACATCATTTTTGTGGCATGAAACCTTTATTAGATAGTATTTAACTGTTTGAATGTGTATTGATTGTTTTTCAGAATGTGGAAGATGAAGATGGTGAAGTCAGTTCCTCTGAGGGGAGCACAGTGGACAATGGTTCAGCTGGAGACAGAGGAGAGTCCATTGACTTTGAACTGGAGGAGTTTATGGATCCAGACCCATGCTTTAATGAATGTAATTACACATGATACTCACACAATAAACTCTTTATATATTCATTTAAGACATAAGTAATAATTAAGAGCTTTGTTTGTGTGTTGAGCAGGTCTGGTTCAGAAGTTCAAGTGCTGCCAGGTGAATGTGGAGTTGGGCTGGTGTAAGATGTGGTGGACTCTGAGGAAAACCTGTTTCCGGATCGTGGAGCACACCTGGTTTGAGAGCTTCATCATCCTGATGATCCTCCTCAGCAGCGGAGCTCTGGTATATTATATTCACTAGCAAAGACCTGGCCGGCAGATAGATGCGATGACTGGGGGGAGACTCAGGGTGGGGACTCCGTCTCACAATCCAAAATAGTTACCCAGCTGATTTGAAACCCTCCCTCCTTAAAGATGATGTCTTCAGACAGAAGGATGGACAAAAGACACAGGTGGGAGGGAGGGGGTCAAGAGAGCTGACACAGTCGGTGATGTCGAGATGGCCAGATAAATGGGGGTAGTTGAAGGCGTGGTTGAGATAAGCCGTGGTTGGCTGGAGAGAAAGTTGGGGCCTGGTCCAGCTCCTGAATCTCAGTTACTCATCTTAACTCCACTTATAGCATTATATGCTTTTAATGATAGTTTGATAGTGTTCTGATATGTTTAAGTCACTGATCATATTGTCTCCCAGGCTTTTGAGGATGTCTACATTGAGAAGAGGAAGACCATTAAAACTATTCTGGAGTTCACTGACAAGATCTTCACATACATCTTTATCCTGGAGATGCTGCTCAAGTGGACTGCTTATGGATTTGTCAAGTACTTCACAAACGCCTGGTGCTGGCTGGACTTCCTCATAGTGGATGTGAGGAGATTTACATAGATTTGGGAAGGGGGCATATTTACACACAAAGAGTATATATAAAACCATAAGTAAAACAGCATTATAAATAAAACAGCATTTTAAATAAGTTTATCTTTGTTGTTGTTGTTTTTTTTTTGCTGTAGGTGTCTCTGGTCAGTCTGGTGGCCAATGCCATGGGCTATTCTGAGCTGGGTGCCATTAAGTCTCTGAGGACTCTTCGAGCTCTGAGGCCCCTGAGGGCCCTGTCGCGCTTTGAGGGCATGCGGGTAAGAGACACTTTACATCCACACTCCTCTCTCTAACGCTCTCTCACACAAACCCTGATCTGAGCCCACAGCTATAAGAACACGACTGTGTTGCATGTAGGAGGCATTCCTTCTTTTCCCTCTTCCTCTTTGTCCAGCTCTTTTGTTTCCACGTGCTACAACACATAAGCAGAAAAGGGGCTGTACCATAGTGGTCAGTCACATGTCTGCTAATTGATCTTTATTACATCCTCTCCAGAGGTTAGAGGTTGTTACTGCTGATGTATCTGATAGTTTGATGGCCAGGCCCCGTACATATGAGTATGTATGAGTAAAGATAGATGCATTACCTTGGTATTGTACGATATGATTTCAAACTTATGACATCAATTTTCATAAGTTTTTAGGCATGTAAATGTTTTATTTTACCCATCCATTGATACCGATTGCAACCACGTTCAAGACAGAAAAGTATATTTATCAGATAAACAGCATGGGGTCTAGATTTGTACATTTAAAAAAAATGACAGAAATCAAATTCTGGTCTAAACTGGTCTAACCTTATGTAAGCATTAGGGAGGATCTGTCTGCAGATTAAATCAATGCAGCATGTATTGATTCGCTTTTTCATATTGTGGTCTACACATTCATGGCACTAACACAGTGGTGGATTATTCTCATTCAAAAGAAGCAGTGAGGTTTATTTTATACATGCTGAGTATGTACGAAAACTATTCCAGCCTCTACATAACAGGAAACTACATTTTTGTTCTGTTTGGATTTCTTCTCCGTTCTTTAACATGACTTATTTATGTTTTTGTTTACAGTAAGCACATTTTGTTGAGTCCTCCTGCCTCTACAAGGTGTTTTATCATTTCTGTTTTTACATATAATATAGATGTCTAAATGCACCACCCATAACAGAGTAAAATTATGTACAAGTCTTTTCCCTGTCCCCATTCATTCCTCATTTTCACCACACACCTGTCAGTGTCCTTTAATCTTTTGTATGTCGGTTTGCTGAACATTCATTTGTGTGTTTTCCTGATTTTTACCGTTTATATTTTTCGGTTCTTAGCGTCTTGCATAGAGTAAAAGAAGATCTGTGTCTGTGCAGGTGGTGGTCAATGCTTTGCTGGGGGCCATTCCTTCCATCTTCAACGTGCTGCTGGTGTGTCTGATCTTCTGGCTCATCTTCAGCATCATGGGGGTGAACCTGTTGGCGGGGAAGTACTACTACTGCGTGAACCAGACCACAGACAAACCCTTCCTGTACACTGAGGTCAACAATGAAACCGAATGTCGCAGTATGGGGAATGCATCACGCTGGAAACTTTCGAAAATTAACTTTGACAACGTTGGATTGGGATACCTCGCACTGTTGCAAGTGGTGAGTTTCTGTTTATTTCATTACGCAGGAAAAAAAACATGTAGTTAGAAGCAGGTTTTATGTGTTAAATGGAAATTCATTTCAGAGGTTCAGGAAAGTAAAATATTCATAATTTAACCTTTGTATTAATTAATCACTATGAGGAAGTATTTTTTTGTCATATAGTCTCATTGTACTAGCAAGTTTATTTACTTTAATACTACTACTACTACTCCTATTACTACTACTAATAATAATAATACCAGTTTTATAGTGCTTTTTAGGCAAACTCAAAGATGTTTTACTCTACATAGAATTCCATTGATTAAAAAAAAAAAAAGTGAATACACATTTATTTTGAGATATTATCATAGTCTGACATTCTCCTAAACTATTTTCTGTATGAGCAGTTTCAGCTTGATTTTAGTGAACTAACCTTTTAAGTTTGTCTTTTGCCAGGTTATGTAAATCTCCAAATAAGACTAAACACATTTTTGAGAGATTTGTGCTCAGAGACCATGTAAAAGGACTAATCTGTGAAATGTAAAGTACTAGAGCCCGACCGATATATCGACTGGCCGATATTATCAGCCGATATGGGCACATAGAGACATATCGGCTATCGGCCGATATGCTTGCTGATATGGGCCGATATTTCACGTGGGCATGTTATACCTCATAATAAAGCTTAGACTCTCTACATTATGTTCATTTAATCCAATTTACAGACAGATAAATGTCCTAATATGTGGCTCCGCATCAGTATTTATCTGCGGTGTAATTTGTCTGTGTCAGTACTGTCCCTGAACACACCCCCAGAGTGACGTCACTTCACTCACGTGTTCTTGTTTACACCCGCAGCGGTGCGCAACACTGAGATTATTTTCTTTTTACGGACAATCGGTTTGAGTCTGGATTAAAAGGACATTTATTATTGCAGACTTGTGATGTGAGGAGGAGCCTGTGTGAGCGGTGAGTGTTGGAATACATGGACTTTGAAGCTAGTTTTGGCTATTTGTTATTAGCGATTAGCTGCTGTAGCTCCCGCACATAAACAGTCTGTTTTCTATTGGTCTATTGTAAAGTGACTATATTGGCCGTATATTTACTACTGGACCAGCATTGATATGTAAATGAGCTGTGAATAGACGTGTGAATGATCCACATTTATGCATATAATTAATTACCGCGGCGCGCACGTTTTTACGGCTAAAGGCTAATAGCGGTAGTTTATTTACTAGCTAGGAGTTATGGGTCGGTCGCGATCGAAGCGGCTCTTAGATCCGGCTCTTTGAAGTGAACGACAGGAGCCTGCTTCTTATTGGGAGCCGTGTTTTCTCTTTTTCTCACTTTTTCTCTTCAAGCCGCTTGTAGACCCATAGTTTGACAGCAGCAGCGGCTGAAAACGAAACTTTCAGAAATATGCGTGTGCATAGGATAAAAAAGTGCATATTTGGCTGCAGTTGAGCATAAAATGAATAAACCAGGACTAATCTTGGGCTCGAGTGAAGGAGAGGGATAGAAACCGAGTCCCGACACTCTGGTTCTGGTTTAGTCCTCTTTTACACATGGTTTAAATCTGTTTTTGTCCTGGTTTAGTCCTTTTTCAGTCCTGGTTTAGTCCTGCTTGCAACAAAACAATCTCAAGAGTCGCTTGGGAGCCGAAAGAGCCAGCTGCTTTAGTGAGCCGAGCCAAAAGAGCCGGTTCTCCAAAAAAAAAACTAGAATACCCATCACTAGTATATAGAATGTGATGCAAAAATGCCATTAGGCCAATCTACTGTATGTAAATATGATGTAAAGAGTCAGAATAACAATAAATGTTGCCTAAATAAACCCAATTTAGAATCCACCAGAGCCAAACTTAAGTTTTTTAAACAATTCAAGATTTACAGTGAATTTTTACATCACTAAATATATCGGTGATTATATCGGCTATCGGCAGCTCCAACTACATCATATCGGTTTCATATCGGCCACAACAAAATCCATATCGGTCGGGCTCTATAAAGTACTAAAATATATCACACTACATGTCAAAAGTTTTAGAACACCCAAATTTTTTCCAGTTATTTATTGCAATTCAAGTTGTGCAAGTCCAATGAAGAACTTGAAATGGTACAAAGGTAAAAACTGAACAGACAGAGAGACAAAAAAAGATACAAAACACAAGTTCAAGCTCTGCCAAAACTACCTCAGGAAAAAAGAACAAGATGGTAAACTTGAAAACATGGAGTGCTTTGGGATGAACTGGACAGAAGAGTGAAAACCAAGAAACCTAAAAGTGTCACACATTTATGGGAACTTCTGCAACAAACTTGGGAAGAACTTTCTGAAGAATATTTGATTTCTATTGTAAAAAGAATGTGCCACGAGTGTGTTCAGCTGTTATATCTGCCAAAGGTGGACACTTTCATGAACGTTTTGGTTAACAGTAAACAGTAAAAAGCTTGAAGAAGTGTGGTGTTCTAAAACTTTTGACCTGTAGTGTATATATAATAATTATGCCTTATTTGACATCAATTTTTTACTAATTTTGCTACTTATTTAGAATTTATTATACCATTTGTCTTTGTTATTATAATATGCCGTGAGCTACTGTGTCCTTGTTGATCTTTTTTGTTTGTCTAAGTCTAAAAATGATTGTATAAAATGTATATTATGTATGTATTAATACATTTTAATTATTTTGTGTTTTACAGGCAACGTTTAAGGGTTGGATGCCCATAATGTACGCTGCAGTTGATTCTCGGAAGGTATTTCACACTGTTACATAATATTTGTCTAATCCATGTTTGTGTAACGTTGTGTTCTGTTCTCCAGCAAGGGGAACAGCCGAAGTATGAGGAGAACCTGAAGATGTACCTGTATTTTGTTGTCTTCATCATTTGTGGGGCCTTCTTCACCCTCAACCTGTTCATCGGTGTGATCATAGACAATTTCAACCAACAGAAGAAAAAGATACGTATCCACACTGCGTCAGAGTTGAATTTAATACTAGGGATGTAACAATATCCAAAATATTTACTGCAATATGTTGCTTAGGATAACTAAAACTGAATTAGCTATTTTTCCTCTTAAAATGCCTCGACAAGACAACCCAAAGTGCTTAGACCAATTATTTCTTCATGTAGTCTGCGCTGAAATGGAGCAAAGGATCATGGTCAATGTACCATATTTTCCCGACTATAAGTCGCTCCAGAGTATAAGTCACACCAGCCAAAAAATGTGCAATGAAGAAGAAAAATATATATATAAGTCGCACCGGACTATACATCACACTTTTTGGGGAAATGCATTTCTCAAATCAGAGACCAGGAACCGACATTTCATCTTTAAACTCAAGTTACAGTAAAAACAATAGAACAGAGAACAACAGGCTGAATAGGTGTTAATATGTAAACGTAACATATTAACAGTTATTCAGATAATTATAGGATAAACAAAATAACATAAGTTTACCAAACTCACAATCTCACACCAAATCACTAAATCCATTGAATTCTTCATCCTCTGTGTCACTTCTGCGTGACAAAAACCATAGATCCATGAAGTAAACGGAGCGCCACTTCCTTTTCTGCGTAGCTGTCGTCAGACTCAGCATCAGTTCCAGTTAGAATCATTTTGGCCTTTCTGAATCATGACAGGATGGTTTTGGTTGTTACTGAAGTCCAGGCTTTGCCAATTCATCCATTGACTTCAGGAAAGTTGCACGGTGCACCCGCCCGGCTCCCGTGAAGCTGTGTTCTCCATCCCTGCTTTCCACCAATCCCTCACAAGTTTCTCTCTTACTCCAAACTTTCTTTCTGCTGCTTGATTACTGTTTTTGGCTGCATATTTCAGAGGGTGAAATGACAGTGGTACAGGAGTAATAGTAGTACTAGATACTGACACATAAGCCTAGAGCGCCCTCTCGCGGCTCTCAGTCTGAAAATTTTAATAAATAAGTCGCACTGGAGTATAAGTTGCAGGACCACCCAAACCATAAAAAAGTGTGACTTGTAGTCCGAAAAATACGGTAGTCCCCTCTGTCTTTATCCATTACATCCATCACCATAACTATTCATTTAAGCGTTAAGAGTCTTATAATTCGATATATTGTGATGGTCCACGACATTGCTGAGACCTTTGACGATATGATATCACAATATTTCGGTTATTCTTACATCCCTATTATATACTTACAATACAATTATTGTAAAATATTGTTCTGTCTGCACTTTGGAGGTCAGGACATTTTTATGACTGAAGAACAGAAAAAATATTACAACGCTATGAAAAAGCTGGGCTCAAAGAAACCACAAAAACCCATTCCAAGGCCATCGGTAAGCCACCTAAAAGTTATGAATTTAAAGATGCACTGTGTTACATTTCTGCTGTGAGGTCTGCCACCTGCTTGTCTCCATGGAGATGTTGTTGCTTTGCCTCTGCTTTAGAAAGCTCCACTATACACCGTTAGCTGAAAATATCTAGCATTTATTTAATTATAGGTGTTCTTGCTCAAAAATACCTTGACAAACATGCATCAAATTACTGTGAGCGGGGTCGCTTCTCCACAGATCCGACCTGGTGGTGTCACATGCTTGTCTCAATGGGAACAGATAAATTTAATGTCATACTGTGGACTAGTGCTCCCCAATTATGGAAAAAATAATTATCACAATTATTCAAATGATTATTTTTTAGTTACACAATGCATTTATTCAGCATTTCTCTCACTTTTTTATTGAAAATTTACGCAAAACTTTCAAACTGAAAATAAATATGGGCTACAACTATGTAACTTAGAGCAGTTTTGCGATTCATATCACATAAAATGAATAAAATACACTTTGAACATGAAATAAGGCATAGAAAAAAAAATAAATGTATCCAAAATAAATTATATATCCACCTGTTCTACAATCTCTATATTTTAAAAAAATATATAGATATACTTCTTTGTATAAAAATATCCCAAAATAAACTTTGTTAAGCTTTAAATTATTTCATCTCGATTATATGAGTTTGGAAACTGTTTGACACACAAATCAAAATCGTGATCAAAATTCAATTAATTGCACAACCTTAATGTAGAGCAAAAACATCTCCATGGAAACAAGCAAAACAACTAGAAATTTTCCATAGCACATTTTTGAGTAGCCTGCTATATAAATGTTTTCTTATTTCCCCAGAACAAATTCCAAGGATACATCTTTGACCTAACAACAAACCAAGCTTTCGATATTGCTGTCATGGTTCTGATCTGGCTCAATATGGTGGCCATGATGGTGGAGACAGCAGAACAATCCAAGAAGAAGACCGAGGTTCTCCAAGTGATCAATGGCATCTTCATCTGTATCTTCACCGGGGAGTGTCTGCTCAAGATGATCGCCCTGCGCCAGTACTACTTCACCAATGGATGGAATGTTTTTGACTTCATCGTGGTTATCTTGTCCATCATTGGTAAGACTGCTGGCATTCTTTCTAAGAGGTTTGGGTGTTAAAGGTTTTATATTACACAAAATTGACTATTGTGAGCTGTAAGCCATGTTATAATGTTGTTACCTCATCAAAAGCAGACCTGGAGTTGTGTTTTGTTTAATTAATTTAGTCTGTCTACATCTTAAAAGCTCAAAACGCTCTGGTCAACCTTGTGATGTCATGTAGTGGTAGTTTTCACTGCTCCACTTAAACCAGGGGTGTCCAAACTTTTTTCATCAAGGGCCGCATGTAAACACAGATGAAGCAGAGGGCCGATCGAGGGCTGTAGACTGATGCACAATACAGTGAATAATTGAAATATGTGCATGTTTAACACGTTAGAATGAGCCCTCAGTCTTTATTCATGCTAAGATCCTCAAAATCACACACTAAATATTCAATATTAGCTTTATAAGGCAGATTTTCAAAAAACTTGCAGTAAAAAAATATTTCTTAAATTGATGCAAGGTAATTTGGGCCAATTCACTTGGAAGTCTGAGGGCCAAGAAAAATTTGTCTGAGGGCCGCATTTGGCCCCCGGGCTATAGTTTGGACATGCCTGGCTTAAACAGTGAGAGATACAGGACTACATTTATACCATATTCCATACAACTGTGTAACAACTCAACCTTATGCAACAGATAATACTCCCTACAACTTACCCTTATGCAACAGATAACCACATGTCCTGCCAATCATCATTTAATTTTTGCACTGCTTTCCTTATGACCTCTTATATATAGCTGAGATAGTTTTATTACTTATTTTCTATACTATTTTGACTTATGCATATACATTTATACAGTTAAGCCTTATCTGTCTAGAACTATAGTGTTTGTTTTATATTTTTACTCTTTGTTATATATTGTGATGTGTGAGCTACTGTGTCTAAGTAATTTCCCTTGTGGACTGATAAAGTTTGTTTAAGTTTTCAAGTTACAGCTACATGTATGGGGCCCTTTTTGCATTACCACATGACATCACTAGGTGGAGCAGCGTGTTTCTGTTTGCATGAAGTACTCATAAAAGTGAAAAAATACATAGCACACTCAGATGGCCGATGTCCAAAAGCTTTTTTTATTTTTTATTTTTAAATAACGTTTTGGAAAAAAAAAAAAAAAAACTTCTTTAGATAATTTTTCTTGCTTTGGACTACAGTATAGGATGAGTGAGTGAAGTACTCAGCCTAAATATGCAGGGTTTGTGTTAAACATGTGTGAATAGAGTTAGACTTAAACTTAGACAAACTTTATTGATCCACAAGGGAAATTACTTGGACAGCTCACACATCACAATATGATATAATAATTATGTTACATAAGGGTGAGTTGTTGTACAGTTGTAGGGAGTATTATCTGTTACATAAGGGTGAGTTGTTGTACAGTTGTAGGGAGTATTATCTGTTACATAAGGGTGAGTTGTTGTACAGTTGTAGGGAGTATTATTTGTTACATAAGGGTGAGTTGTTGTACAGTTGTAGGGAGTATTATATGTTACGTAAGGGTGAGTTGTTGTACAGTTGTAGGGAGTATTATATGTTACGTAAGGGTGAGCTGTTGTACAGTTGTAGGGAGTATTATTTGTTACATAAGGATGAGTTGTTGTACAGTTGTAGGGAGTATTATATGTTACGTAAGGGTGAGTTGTTGCACAGTTGTAGGGAGTATTATTTGTTACATAAGGGTGAGTTGTTGTATAGTTGTAGGGAGTATTATTTGTTACATAAGGGTGAGTTGTTGTACAGTTGTAGGGAGTATTATCTGTTACATAAGGGTGAGTTGTTGTACAGTTGTAGGGAGTATTATCTGTTACATAAGGGTGAGTTGTTGTACAGTTGTAGGGAGTATTATTTGTTACATAAGGGTGAGTTGTTGTACAGTTGTAGGGAGTATTATCTGTTACATAAGGGTGAGTTTGTTACAGTTGTAGGGAGTATTATCTGTTACATAAGGGTGAGTTGTTGTACAGTTGTAGGGAGTATTATCTGTTACATAAGGGTGAGTTGTTGTACAGTTGTAGGGAGTATTATTTGTTACATAAGGGTGAGTTGTTGTACAGTTTTAGGGAGTATTATTTCTGTTACATAAGGGTGAGTTGTACAGTTGTTAGGGAGTATTATCTGCTACATAAGTGAGTTATTGTACAGTTGTAGGGAGTATTATCTGTTACATAAGGGTGAGTTGTTGTACAGTTGTAGGGAGTATATTTGTTACATAAGGGTGAGTTGTTGTGTACAGTTGTAGGGAGTATTATATGTTACATAAGGGTGAGTTGTTGTACAGTTGTAGGGAGTATTAATGTTACGTAAGGGTGAGCTGTTGTACAGTTGTAGGGAGTATTATTTGTTACATAAGGATGAGTTGTTGTACAGTTGTAGGGAGTATTATATGTTACGTAAGGGTGAGTTGTTGCACAGTTGTAGGGAGTATTATTTGTTACATAAGGGTGAGTTGTTGTATAGTTGTAGGGAGTATTATATGTTACATAAGGGTGAGTTGTACAGTTGTAGGAAGTATTATTTGTTACATAAGGGTGAGTTGTTGTACAGTTGTAGGGAGTATTATATGTTACGTAAGGGTGAGTTGTTGCACAGTTGTAGGGAGTATTATTTGTTACATAAGGGTGAGTTGTTGTATAGTTGTAGGGAGTATTATTTGTTACATAAGGGTGAGTTATTGTATAGTTGCAGGGAGTGTTATCTGTTACATAAGGGTGAGTTGTTGTACAGTTGTAGGGAGTATTATTTGTTACATAAGGGTGAGTTGTTGTACAGTTGTAGGGAGTATTATTTGTTACATAAGGGTGAGTTGTTGTATAGTTTTAGGGAGTATTATTTCTTACATAAGGGTGAGTTGTACAGTTGTAGGGAGTATTATCTGCTACATAAGTGAGTTATTGTACAGTTGTAGGGAGTATTATCTGTTACATAAGGGTGAGTTGTTGTATAGTTGTAGGAAGTATTATTTCTTACATAAGGGTGAGTTGTACAGTTGTAGGGAGTACTATCTGCTACATAAGTGAGTTATTGTACAGTTGTAGGGAGTATTATCTGTTACATAAGGGTGAGTTGTTGTACAGTTGTAGGGAGTATTATTTGTTACATAAGGGTGAGTTGTTGTATAGTTGTAGGGAGTATTATTTCTTACATAAGGGTGAGTTGTACAGTTGTAGGGAGTACTATCTGCTACATAAGTGAGTTATTGTACAGTTGTAGGGAGTATTATCTGTTGCATAAGGGTGAGTTGTTGTACTGTTGTAGCAAACAACATTATAACATGGATCAGAAAATAGCGTAATATGGTCCATTGACTGGTACTAAAGATGATGTTTTCTTCTTTAGGGATGTTCCTGTCAGAGCTGATTCAGAAATACTTTGTGTCGCCCACGTTGTTCCGAGTGATCCGTCTGGCTCGAATTGGCCGGATCCTGCGTCTCATCAAGAGCGCCAAGGGAATCCGCACGCTTCTCTTCGCCTTGATGATGTCGCTCCCTGCCTTGTTCAACATTGGCCTCTTGCTCTTCCTGGTCATGTTCATCTACGCCATCTTCGGCATGTCCAACTTCGCATACGTCAAAAAAGAAGGAGGGATCGATGACCTTTTTAACTTTGAGACATTTGGCAACAGCATGCTTTGCTTATTCCAGATCACCACATCGGCTGGCTGGGACGGTTTACTAGACCCAATACTCAATAAAAACGAAGAGGACTGCGATCCACTTGCAGAGAATCCTGGAAGTCAGGTGAAAGGAAACTGTGGAAGTCCTTCAGTGGGAATTGCCTTCTTTGTCAGCTACATTATCATCTGCTTCCTGATTGTGGTGAACATGTACATAGCCGTGATCTTGGAGAACTTTGGCGTGGCTACGGAGGAGAGCGCTGAACCGCTGAACGAGGATGACTTCGAGATGTTTTATGAAGTCTGGGAGAAGTTCGATTCTAACGCAACACAGTTTATGGAGTACAACAAACTGTCAGACTTTGCTGATGCCTTGGCGTCCCCTTTGCGCATCCCCAAACCCAACAAATTAGAGCTGATGGCGATGGATTTACCAATGGTGAGCGGTGAGCGCATCCACTGCTTAGACATCCTCTTCGCGTTCACTAAAAGAGTGTTGGGAGAAGGGGGAGAGATGGACATGTTGAGAGGGCAAATGGAAGAGCGTTTTATGACTTCCAATCCTTCCAAAGTGTCTTACGAGCCGATTACAACAACTCTGAGACGCAAACTGGAAGATTCCTCTGCTTCAGTTATCCAGAGAGCCTACAGACACTACGTACAGAGACAGCTGGAGGACATGCCAGAGAGAGACAATGGACAAGACGAAACTGTCACGGATCCCGACACTAATCACACTACGGACAAAACAACGGTGAATCCGGAGAAAAATGGCATTGCACCAACTTCCCCTTCTCTAACTTCTCCAACGTCTGGGAATTGCGCAAACGTAGACGGGAATAAATACGATAAAGACAATAGCGAGAAGGAGGTGACGTCCAAAGAGGATGACACTTAAATGAATGCAACTTAAAAAAAAAAACTTTGGCAAAAATGTTTACAGCCTTTAAAAGCACCATACAGGACTCTTTTTGCCAAATGGACGCTTGAACCAAAACAAAAAACTGATAGACTGTTTTGGCTGTTTGCGAAACCTTGGAGAGCCTCTGTTATATCAATTATTACTGTATTATTTGATTCATTTTTTTATATTTTTTTTACACTAAAGGTTCCTCTGGTTGCTTTTTGTTGAGCTGGTGAGCACACTACAGGACCTGCATGAACCTCACTATGCATGTCCTACTGTTTTCTATGGGTCCATAACGCTAGAGTTAGAACGGAAGGAAGTACTGTCCAATCAGATGACCCGTACGTTTATGTTAGCGAGCTCTTCAAAAGTTTAACCTTATATACAGCTTCAGACATTGGTTTAAGGTGCTGTACCTGATTTTAAAAACATGAAAAACAGAACTAGTTCATTTTTTAAAAGCTTGCAGTGGTCCAAAGTTATTGCTTATTACCTTGATTTTGAAATTGAAATTAAACTTTGCTCATATAGACAGAATAAAATCAGGTACAGGTCCTTTAAGTGATCTTACCACTAACCTTGTTTTGGTAAGATATCAACAAAATATCAGTTCCAAATTGAGCTGTAATGAACCTTTCCCTACAGACAAACCTGTGCTTCCTTTGGCAAAAAAGAAATTCAATTTGTCAACAAAGTTTATTTTGTTGAATACATTTCGCAGCTCATCCACACTGCTTCTTCAGTTCTGGTCAGAATGCTGGTGGACACTTTCTTATATCTGCCTGAAGGAAGGAATGCTGGCAGACACTTCCTTATATCTGCCTGAAGGAAGGAGGTAACTACGCTGAAACTACTCTGAAATTAATACACCTTGTTTACAGTTTCTGTTAGTTAGCTAGGCCTATTGAACTGCACTGACTTTGGGGTCATATTAGCATAACCATTCAGGGTCATAAGGGGAGCTTTCACACCTCTGGGCCTAACCTACCTCCAGCTATTGTTCTCTTGTTTGTTTTGGTTTAAGTTTGAGGATGGAGTTGTAAATAGGAGATAAATGGTGTCTGAGTCCCTCATTTCTGTTTAGAGAAGGATTCTCTGTCTTAACAAAAATAGCTTCTTTAACTCCCCTTTCAAACCAATTCTTTTCTCTAGCTAAGATCTGAACCTCATTATTCTCAAAGGAGTGGCCTGAGGCTTTTAGGTGGAGATGTATGGTAGACTGAGGTCCTGTGTTGCTCTCTTGTCTGTGTTTGTACATCCTTTTGTGAAGTGGCATCCTCAAACCTAAGTCAAAACCAACAAGAGAACAATAGCTAGAGCCAGGTCAGGTCCAGAGAAGTGAAAGAACCCATTATGGACATGAATGGCAATTATGCTAATAGGACCCCACGCTCAGTACGGTTCAATAGCCCTAACTAACTAACAGAAACTGTAAACAAGATGTGTTAGTTTCAGAGTAGTTTCACTATAGTTACCTCCTTCCTTCAGGCAGATATAAGAAGTGTCCACCAGCATCTGACCAGAACTGAAGAAGCAGCTTGGATGAGCTGCGAAACGTATTCGACCAAATAAACTTTGTCCAGGTTATACATTTAATTTCTCCTTTGCCAAGGATTCTACCTGGACGACTGAGGGATTTTTCACACTGTGCTTCCTTTGTTCATGTATGTGACTCCAGTACACTGGCTAACTCCTCACACTGCTGTACTGTGCTGGTCCCTGGTTGTAGAGGACAGACTGGTGTAAAGTGTGGCCAGTGCTACAGACAGTACCTCACTCTTATCATGTCATATATCTGAGATGTGACTGAAGGCTCCGGATGCTGCTCTCTGTTTACATTTCTTCAGTTCTGGATTTGGTTTGGCTCATTCTTCTCATGTTTGGAGTCTGCTGATGTGTTTCCATACTACGGCCCAGTTTATGTGATGTCAAGCATGTCATGGTTTAGAACGTTGAGACTTTAACATAAAACTGAATGCTTGGATGACATCATTCACATGGGAAATGCTTTCAGTCTATGCATGCAGGACTCTGTAATAACACATTTCAATGGAAGTCAGAAGAATAAAGATGTCGTTAATAACCAAGTATACTAGTGGTATACCAATCTTAATAACTGAAAAATTACAACTTTGGTTGAATTAGAAATCCACTGTGGTGGTTTCTGTGAACGCTTAGTGGTTTCCTAAATAGGTTTAAAGGCAGTGGACTATTTAAATTATTAAGTAGAGTCCAAATGTGACAGCCCAGGTTTAGACAGATGATTTAAGGGATAAGGGAGGGTAGGAGAGGGCTTGGAGTTTCACAGGGAATACTCTGCATGGAGGCATAATAATACAGTGTTGTGGTCTATTTGGAGTGGGGCTTTTCCAGTCGTGTCGAGAAGCAAAGGGGAGAAAAAAATTCAGTCCGAAATCTGAGAATGCTGCCCATAACTGCTGTAATTGTATTTGCTGAAGATGGCGAGAAAATCCCATTACAGGTAGTGGTGAGTTCCACCTTCCTCGTGTCTAATAGACCTACACACTAACAATGAGTCCAGACATGAGCACAAACACATCACATGTTACACACTCTACTCACTGCAAATGCAGTCAGATAAAGTGCTAGTTCACCAATGTAGCTTATCTAAGGACCATTTTAGCAACAGATGGCATTAAGGTGAACATTTCTTTGTTAAACTATTTTTCTGCTGTTCAACGTATAGCCGATGGAAAGAGGAATAGAGGAATGAGAGAGTTCATTAGTCAGAGTATAGCTCTTTGATCAATAATGGTCGGTACAAACCGCAATGGATACAGCCATTACAACACTAGAGCCGAGCATCCCAGAGGGTACATATTCCACAATCTTTGCTCTAATAGGTTTTCAACATGCCTTCTTTGTAAGTGCTACAACACATGCAGTATTCATCACTCTTGGAGGAGATGATAATACCAAAATTCATTCTTCAGGTTCACTGAAAATGCCTTTTGTATTTTGTATGTATTTTTATTGCTTTTCATTCAGAAAGCGACAATGACTTTTATTAATTACAATATGATTAACCTTTAGGCCTTCTAATAGGCTTTAAAACTGTGAGCTCACAGCAGACATTTCCCATGGCTGCACATGCCCAGAGCTCAATAGGAACCTGATTTACTCTTCCATTGATGGCTGCTGCACAGTAATGATTATGTGCCACAGTTGGTGCTTAATAGTATCTGACGAGCTGTGGAAAGGTCTCTCATGGAACAGTGGGACTCGTGCTCCAAGCTGCACACACCAGCACCTCTGTGGACAGTAGACACATTAGGCTTCATGTTTAATAGTCAATGCGTTCTTACATAAGAGCCAGCCTGCGACCCCAGCCTGCCCCTCCCCCTGACCTCCCCATGTCACAGAACCAGGGCCATGTGTATTGACTGCAATTGACCCTTTGCATGAATATATTTGTTGAATTGAACATAATAACATAGATGGCAGCATGTATAAACCTCTCCTTTCCATCCATGTGTAGTCAAGTGTTGCATAGATTTTTCCACAACATTATAGACCTACCTGTAAAGCGTACATTTGAAAAGTAGATAAAGACTATACCAGCAGCAGGGCAAGCCTAGAAAGAGCTTTAATCTTGGTTCTGCAAATGAAATCCAAACCTCAGTTCATCATTTTCATATATTCAAAGTAGGCTGGTAACATTGGTTTGCAGCTTTATTTAGACGATTTCTTTTTTTATTTTTGTGTTTTGGTATATATGTAATTGTTTTATTTATCTTGGTAGGACTAGACAAGTTCATTATTAGGCAATTTATTGTTTTGATATATTGTCAAAAACATATAATTGGCATAGTTTATAGGCATTACATTGCATCTCCAGATCAAATATGTCGTCCTGTTGGTAATTTATTTAAAACTAGATTCCAGATGTTTTCTATCATAATTTTATTTGATAAATAACCATATTTATAATTTAATAGTGAAGAGCTCGTTGAACACATAAATTCTGAACTGTGGTCTGAGTGCGCCCTCTAGAGACGCTAACGGGAAACTACAACTAAATGGATAAATAAATCCTCATATTTGCCTGCAAGGCGGAATCTTTCTATTTTACGTAGTAATAACAGCGCAAGATAACTGATAACTGAGTTAATGTGTTATTGTGATAATTTGATTAGATGTTATCTCTTTAAAACTAATTGTGTTGGATGGTAATATGCCTCATAAGGGAAACTCATGAGAAAATTATACGCGGTGGTTACCAAGTTACCAGGCAACGCTACGGAGCAGCAAGATGGCGAGGAGTTCACCGCAAAAACAGCATTCTTCTTCTGAATAAACACCCTGTAAACAGAACACGAGAGCTTTTCAAGCATTGTTTTTGGAATTATCTAATGAAAAAGAATCCTTTGATCCAACATGGAGGAAGAAGAGACAACACTGGTAAACTAGCATGTTTGCTAACGACGCACCAATGAAGTTAGCTCTGGTCTTTTCTTTAGCCTGCAGCTGCAAGGACTGACTTAACGTTATGTTGTTTTTGCCCATGCTATAAATTTTTCTTTTTCTAACTTTTTAGTATAGTTTAATCGGTGATACTGACACTGCTGTCGGCAGGAAACCCGAAACGTCGTCTAACATTTTCTTTCTTTCCCCTTTATAGTCTTAATTCGACATTACAGCTATGAAAAATACTTCAATCACGCTGCAAACGCCGCGGCAGCAGCTCAGAGGAAATACGGTGATCCCATTTACACCTTCTTCTATGCATATGCTATTCTAATGCAAGGTAAGCATTCAACAAGTGTGAAGCATCCTACTTCTTATATTTCCAGATAAAAGTAAGCCCATATCATTCCCTGGTATAAAAGGTGCACTTTGTAACTTTCTCCATGGGGATACTATGGCTTTACGTGAAAGGCCTAAACTGTTTTATGTATGCATTTATTCAAATACATGTGATTTTATTGCTCAAAAACATGTATTCTTACTGTGAGTGGGGTCCCCTCTCCACAGACCTTACCTGTAAGTTGAAGCGCCACCTGTCTGTCCCCATGGATATGCCTTTAATCACTTTAATGTCAAACTGTGGAACATTCTAGTCAAAGCTGAAAGCTGACAGTTTTTTACAGTCATATGTTTAATCAGTACAAATATAATTGTATTATTGAAGAAATAATTCATCATCATCATCATCATCTTTATTCCGGACTCATGGTCCATTTAAAAAACAGACAAGGACAGTGACAATTCAAAACAATAAACATTCATGTTTTTAAAAGACAACCATACCACTGTCTCCACATGTTGGACTGATGCCTTATTGCACTGAATCTCAAATTTGTGAGTGGCATTATTATTTCATTGTCTGATTTGTTCAGTCTGCAGATAAAACTGTACATTAAAATTCTTCGTGCAGCTTGCAAAGTGTTCACTCGAGCAGTAACAAACATTTCAGTCATACTCCTCCATCGTGGCCTCCTCAAAAGCACCCATAACTCATAACCCATAATTCATCATATTTCTGATAATTGGATAATAACATCATGAAATAATCTTTATAATTAAATGTATCTTATAAAACTGCGCCCCAGTGTTTGTGAACTCAATTTAATCTAACAACAATTTTCCCAGATCAAATTCATGATGCTATGATAAAACTGGACACAATCCGAGACAGTGGGGATGTGTCTCTCTGTTCTCTCATGGCTCTTGTCTATGCTGAGAAAAAGAAGACTAACCCAGGTATTACAACATATGTAAAATCTTATAACTTGATATTTCACTAATGGTTTTCTAATGGTGAATATTCCTTTAATTACAGACCGAGAAGTCATTCAAGAACTGGACACCAAAGTGAAAGAAGATCGTAAAAGTGCCTCCCCTAAAAGCCTGTATTATGCTGGCATGTTCTTATGGCTGTTGGGCCGAAACGACAAAGCGCGGGAGTATGTTGAGAGGATGATCAAGATTTCTAATGGATCCAAAGAGGTCAGACTAATCACAGGAATAAAAATGAACTATTATACTTGCATATATTTTGCAAGTAATTGTAATATATTTTGTGTATTTTTGCAGGGGGTAATCCTAAAAGGGTGGATCGAACTGACGTCTGGAAGAGATGCATATGCTAGAAAGGCTGGGAAGTATTTTGATGAGGGACTGAAGGAGAAGCCAGATATTTTTGGGTTAATGGGAAAAGTAAGAATGTTTAATAAGCTAAACAACAATTAATTGAAAGAGATTAAATGAAGCCTTTTGTTATTGATTTTGGGATGTCAGTTCCTCAACTTGCATACAGAGGACACATTCAAGTTTTTATCATTCTCAGTATATGAACAGACCTTCCAAAATTCTCTCACTGAGCTGCATAAGCTGCACTAGCATTGAGTAATGACTGTCTATGGGTGCCAGGGTTTAGGATGTGAGGATTCAGATCAGAGAGAATCCTTTCAGGTTTAAACCAACTGGATTTAATAATGGAAACGGGCAGCCCTAAATAGAGGCTCATTCCCTTGTCGGATTGGATAAAACGCCAAATTATATCACAAACAAAGTGGTCATCATGTCCAATGTTTTTGTAAATGAGAATAAATTAATGTTATGATTGTTGTAAAAGCCATATTTGCTGAACATGTAAACCTTGAATCTGAGGATGCAGATTGGTCCTAAACACTACTGACCAAATTATAACATTTAGCTTCATATTTATGTGCATGGATAGGATATAACAGATATTATAGTGATTATAAAATATTAAAATTGTCTACATTGTATTGCAGGCACAGTACTACGAATACCGCCAGAACTACTCCGGAGCATTAGAGATGGTCAACCAAGTTATTGTCAGCTATCCAGCGTTCCTACCTGCACTAACCAAGAAGATGAAACTACTGCTAAGCCTACAGGACTGGGAGCAGACTGTTGATGCAGCACACCGGTAAACTTCCTAATTTGACTGTTTAGATTTAGTTCCACTTAAGAATTCCTTAGAAGTTTTTTTTTTTAAGAACTGAAAATTAAAGTTGCCCAAATATCTTGTAGCTTTTCAATGCATCACCATGGTTGTGCTAAGCCATGCTCAGCAAATCTAGCCAGCTAACACCAGAGCCTAGCAACTAATCTTTTGTTTATGTTAACTCACCCAGTATTATCCCACATCTAAACACCATCCAAACAAAAGCTTCTACAATTTAAGGATTCCCAGCTCCCAAGTTTCCTAAGCCTTCCTGAGACCGATTATTCCAGTTGTCCAAACACGGCAGTTGTTGGCCTGACCACACGAGGATTTTGAAATGTCAAAAGATAATTCATTTTGGTTGGTAATGTTATTAGACTAGAAGCTTAACGCACTAGTGCAGCTGTATTAAGGATTCCATTACTACCAATCAAAGAAATCCAAGCTTATTGAACAGTAACAAGATGGACTACTTTAACAGGAACCTGTGTCATGTTTCAGGCTTTTACAGCGGGATAAAAATAACCCAGAGGCGCTACGGATGCTGGCCTTACATTCTCTGTGCAGGGATGGGGATATTTCTGAGGTAAAATTGGTAAAAATCTTGAAAAACATTGTTCATATTGTTGAGAATTTGTAAATTTAATTTTCTGTGTTGCTGTGCTCAGTCTTTGAAGCTTCTGTCCAACCTCACCACCAGTCTGGATATTCTGGAGCCACGGAACTCTGAGCTCTTCTACAGGATGTCGCTCGCCTTTGCGCGGCTTGTAAGTGACTCAGTATTAGTTCAATGAGAACTTTTTTAAAGTTAGCATTACAATGTACATTTCATAAGCCATGGAGTATTTCATTCATTTGGCTGGTGGTTTTGGACATCTTTGGTCCAATTTTCTATATGAACAAATTTTCCCATATCCACTGACTTGATGTTACTTAACTAAAACTAAGTGAAATACATTCTAAGCATTCATCACTTAGTACTTTAACTTTGTCTGTTTCAGTGTGGGCGTAATGAAAAGGTGCTGGAGCACACGTTTAGGATGGTGGAGAAGGCCTTCTCTGTGGGCTCGGGAGATGCAGACTTTGCCACAGAGATGGGATACCAAATGTTACTCCAGGGAAAGACCAAGGAGGCCAGCAAGTGGTACAAGAACGCCATGAGTCTGGATGAGACCAGTGTGGCCGCTCTGACAGGTACCTCAACATGTTAAGGCTCAGGATCTTAAAGCTATCATCTGTAAATTTGTTTATTTTTGCCAGTAGATGGGCAGAACCTGCTCTCCTCTCTTCCCCCTCCCCTCACCTGTGCTCTCGTGCTCTTTGGTCTTCTTCAGGCCAAGGCTGACTAATAGACAACAGTAATGTAGATAGCATCTGTTGGTGATATGTGAGAATATAATAGAGGCAGGTCAGCTAATCTAATTACAGATGGTTATCCATAAAGCAGTGCAATGTGACTGAATTGAAATATTTCCTTTTAAAATAAATGTGCTTTTTGTTTTATACTATAGGTCTAATCCATTGCCAGCTTGTTGAGGGACACCTTCAGGATGCAGAGCAGCAGTTGGAATTTCTGACTGAGATTCAACAGTCCATCGGGAAAACAGGGGTAAATTCTTACTTGTGTATCTATTTCACCTCATGCAATTGAGTTAATCAAACACCCTCTTGTCCGCTCTTGTAGGAGCTGTTGTACCTGCGCGCTGTGCTAGCAGTGAAGAAACGGCGCCCCCCAGAGGAAGTGCTGTCTCTGCTGAACGAGGCTGTGGACACTCACCTGTCCACTCTGCAGGGCTTGCCTTTGGGCGTGGACTACTTTGAGAAGCTCAACCCTGATTTCCTCCTGGACATTGTCAAAGAGTATCTTGCACTGTGTCCTGCTAAGGTACTAACTATCAGTATCGATTTACTGACATATAGTTGGGCCATAGTTAGACAGTTTATACATATTTTTTTCCTTTCCTTAAAAATTTGACTAGATCACTTTTTCCCTTTACCTACATTCTGGGCCCATTTTTGTCCGTGAACATGACATTATGCAAGTTTATGCCATGTTTGGTTGATTAAATGGTTTCGCAATACGTGATTCCTTTATAAAGGGGCCAGCTTGTGTAAATAGTCCCAAATGCTGCAGTGTTTTTCATATCACGGTTGTCATACAGTTTTCAGCAGCAGACCTGTAAAAAGTGCTTTCTTGTTATTTCAGCCCCCTGCCCTCGGCCAGCCCCCCTGTCCTCAGCTGCAGCGCTGTGCCACTCTCCTGGACACTGTAGTGAAGATCGTGCCTGGGCTGCTCCAGGGACTCTACCTCATGGCCAAAGTCAAATATCAATCTGGTTAGTCCAACATACAAAACATACAGTATATTTGCCTTTCTGAGTTGAAACATGATATTTTCCACGTCTGCGTAGGAGACTTTGAGGCGGCTCAGAGCAGCCTGAGCCTCTGTTTGCAGCAGTGCCCGTCCTTCGCTGATGCTCATTTGCTGATGGCTCAAATTCACCTGGTGCAGGGGAACTCCACCTTGTCTTCACAATCTCTGGAACTCTGTTTAAGCCACAACTTTGAGGCAAGTTACAAAAACATGTCTTTACAAAATAAGTCCTGGAATTGGCTGCAGTTACAAGTGAGCATTTACAATTAGGGTATTCAAAAGTATGAAATCAGTCTCAGAATGATTTTGAGCACAGTATAAGTATAAGAGCACACAGGCTACTTTACACCCATGGACTACTGTGGAACTTACCTGGACCAGTGAGGGACAGATATAAGGCCACATGGTAATATAAAAGAAAGTATTGTGATTTAATGTTGAAAATCATCCTATTGTAGAAATTGTGTTGTTTATTATCATTATGGTATCAGAATCTATATCAAGACTTGAGTGTAGTCCCAAGTAACATTATTTTGTTTTTTTTTTGTTTTTTTTTCGTTTTTCTCATCATTCATTAACATGTTTGCCCCCCCACTACAACCATCTGAAGGTGGTACTGATAAGGCTCCTATTAGAAACATTTGTGCATTATGGTTAATTCTTTGGTTATGTCTTATATTCCATCTCTTCTCTTTGCCGTCAGATCAGAGAAAACCCTCTGTTCCACCTGATCAGGGCTCAAGCGCAGAAGAAGATGGGTGAGCTGACCGAGGCTATCCAGACCTTACAGATGGCCATGAGTCTTCCAGGGGTGCGGAGAATGGGCTCCTCCTCCAAATCCAGGAGCAAGAAGAGTGATCTGAGCACCGCTGACTGTGTCTCCGTGTTCCTGGAGTTAGCCGAGGCACTGTGGCTAAATGGTGAACAGGTACACATTATAATCACTTACATAGTACTAGTCAGCAAGGCATTTACTAACATTTGAAAGAGCCCACTAATCAAACTATAAAGTGAAGTGAAATTAATTGTTTTGAAAATTTGGTAAAAGTTGTTGTGGACATGTTTTAATGTGATTTGTTCCAGGGACTACAGCTGAAAAGTAGCCTCTGGTACATTTACAGAAATTCATGTGTTCTGTCCTTGTTAAATAAGCCAAATTAAATAAATATTCCAAAAATGAAACCCACAAAATGCTGAATGTCTCTCCCCTCTCCTCCCCATTTCATGCTATATCTTTTTTTATTTAAAAGAAGGACAGTGCCAGCTTTAGCAACAACCTACATCTCACTATGACTATATTCACTATTATATATCACTATTACTATAACTATCTAAATCATGATTAAACATACAAAATTAATTAACAGTATTTCTCATAAAATACAACAATACAGTGAAAATGACAACATCAAAACAACATTTGTAGGCATTACACGCATTGTATTGGTCATGGCCAATTATAACAATACAGTTTTAGAGGATTGTTTTTGTGCTTTCTCTCTCTGTGGTTTTGTTTTGTTATGTTTTTTGTTTTGTTTTTTGTCAGTGAAAAAAATTGACATACTGAAATATCCACACCCCAAATAATAATTAATGTATTAGTGAAGTGTATTATGTCTTACTCACTGATCCATTTCCTAATAAAAAGAGCTTTCCTTTCCTGAACAGCAGCCGAGAATTATCCTTTTCAGCCCTTGTGTTCTAATCTGGAGTGTTATGTTTCAGCACGAAGCAGCTAAAGTGATGCAGGATGCGATCATTTCCTTCTCGGGGACCCCAGAAGAGCTGCGTGTGACTATAGCCAACGCAGACCTGGCCCTGATGAGAGGAGACACGGAGCTGGCCCTGAGCATGCTGCGAAACATCACCCCAGAACAGCCCTACTACATCCAGGCCAAGGAGAAGATGGCTGACATCTATCTGAACCACAGGAGGGAGAAGAGGCTCTACGCTAGCTGCTACAGGTACAGGGGGTAAATGGAGAGGTCCCAAATTTCATGTTATTTAAGAAAGGGTATTGACTTTTGGAGCTTTTGACCATGTTAGAAAGTTCTCTCAGCAAAAGTGTTTAGTTTTTTTTTCATTGAGTGATCTTGTGATCTCCCCTGAGCACTATTCACTTTTCTTACAGTTAGCACTTGTACAAGACTGAGCCCACAAGCCTAAAACCAGGAAGCTCATGTTTTGTGCAGTGGTTTTAGTAACATCATAAAGTGAAAAAATTTATTCCGCTGTGGATGGATCCTTTTGATATGTCTCTCTGCCTACAGACATTAGTGAGAACTTTATCTAATTTGAGGCCACACATTGTTTTTTTGGAATTCATGCCCACAAATTACTTAATTCGTGGACACGGTTTACCAAAACATTCTCACGAATAAAGAAATTAATGGTTATGCGCTGTAAACCATCCCCATTTTCTAGTTTTAGCTAATTTGTGGCAACACTTTAGGTAAACCGTGTGTAGGAATTGAGTAATTTGTGGGTACCAGTTCCACTCTGTAGGAACGAAATATAAATTTTGACCCATATTATGATGCCCATTGTGATGTGATATTGCTCTGGAGGGGGGGAGTGAGACTAAAGTCAAAAATGAAACTGAAACGTATTAAACATGTTAATATGTTGTTTTTGACAATTGGCATTTTCTAAACAATAAAAGGCAATATGGTGATCTAAATATGTTATTTGTTAGCAGTTAATATCCCGTAGAACTAAAAGAGCCCATCTTTAAATAGACATCATGTTTTGTATTGTGTGTTATAAATACTGGCAAAATCTTCTATTCATTCACACTGTAGGATAATTATGAAATAATTTCATATATTTATATTTTTAGGGAACTTGTGGATAAGCTGCCCAGCCCCCACACATATCTCCTACTGGGTGATGCCTACATGAACATTCAAGAAGTAAGTGGGAAAAATCATTGCTTCTATTGCAAGATGAAAGAATAACTTGCCTAACTTTCTACATGACATCTATGCTACAAATCTTTAAAATGGCAAAATTTGAATACCTGTATCACCTAAATAAACTCTTGCAGGGTTAGTTGGATCTTTAATTTATTTATTTGTATTTATTGGAAACTGAAAACTAACCAAACTCTAATTTACATTGAATACATATAAAACATATAGTGACATCAAATCTGAATGATACTCCTTTATTTATTTTTAAGTTAAGTGAAATACTGTGCTACTAAAACCTCTCATCTCCAGCCAGAAAAGGCCATCGAGATCTACGAACAAGCTCTGAGGAGAAACCCCAAAGATGGAGCTCTGGCCAGTAAAATCGGCAAGGCTTTGGTCAAGACCCACAACTATCTGAAGGTTTGTCCTGCTGTTGTTTACAGGTCGAGGTCAGATAACTAGAATGATCACATGATGATAATGAAACAATGAAATCCTATACATAGGCTATAAACTATTATGAGGCTGCCCTGAAGAGCGGCCAGCAGAACTTTCTCCGCTACGACCTGGCTGAGCTGCTGATGAAGATGAAGCAGTACGAGCGCTGTGAGAAGGTGGTGCAGGAGGCTCTGGATCATGAACCAGGTACAAAAGATTGTGCTGCTTATTGTTTCCTTTTCACCTATTACAGATGTGGACACTTCATGTCTGCATTGTTTTGGTTCTGCAGACGATTATCCAATCAGAAAGCCAAACGAACCTCACACAAGTCTCTCCTTTGGGTTGCCAGTTTCAGTGCTGAAATCCAATTGGTTTAGACCCAGAAGGACCCATTCTGATCTGAATGGTCACTACCTAAACCACAGCGCCTGCAGCCGATCATGAATCAGTGCTAGTGCAGCCTATGCAGCTGAATGAGGAAATTCTAGATAATCTGTGCTTTTACATGAGGCATGGTCTATCCATATAATGAGAATGAGAAAAACCTGCAGGTAAAAAAAAACCTGGCATCTCAGGTTCAGTTGTAATTGTAATACGTTTAAAAAAAAAAAAACTATAAGAATGCATGCTACATACAGTTTCTTTACATTATGCTAAAAGCTATATGTTTTATAACTCATTTTAGTCAGTTGTGGCAGTTTGAGCACCTAAATGATCAGAAATTAATCGGTGAAAAATACAATGTATCCATTGGGTCTTTATGTCAGATTACGTAAAGCCTGCACGAGTGAAACAAAGCATTCAAACTGTTACTGATGTGAAAACAATTGTAATCACATCAATAAATGCACAAAGGTATCCAGCATAATACAGGGCCTGTTTGAAAAGCAGGTGGAGTCCTCCACGCACACGGATGTTTGGTGACTCATTGTAAAAACTAAACTGCCTTCCATGCAGGCTGCATTCACTGGAGATCTCTGATTGGATGATTCATTGTTGGATAGTATATTATGTACACAAACAATACAAGTTAGACGTACTTCTAAGGTTCTATATTACGCAATGTTGTTATACATGTCATAATATTGTTATCTCAAGGGCTGAAATCATCCAAATGACTTTAGTGAAGGCGTATGGAGTTTAAAAAGACAGTGGAGAGCTTCCTGTATTACCACATGACATTCCAAAGTGGAGTGTTTTCAGATTGAGAGATGAACTGTTTGTGATGAAGAAACAACATTATGACATAGATCAGAAAATGTTGTAATATGGGCCGTTTAATAACTAAAAAGCATACAGAAAAGTTATGACTTAATTAAACGGCTTTTGTAAATGACAAAGTATGTAGTTTTATAGCTATAACCTTCTAACCAGACTGTATTTTAGTGTTCATATTGCCACTCTAGTTTCACAAGACTACTCTCAAGCCTCCCCCATTTGTTTTTACTCTTATCCCTGTCAACCCTCTTTCTGTTTCTATTGACAAAACACTAGCTTTCTTTAACTAGAGATTAGCGCTGCCAATACTGACAATGTTCTGTGGAATAAAGAAACACATAAAGGTATAAGGAGCTGTTAACATTAAAACTAACTAATTTTAAAGCTTTAGAGATATAGACCAACATAAGGGTTACTCAAACAAGTGAATGAAACAAAACATCCAAAACTCAAGGTATGTTTTTGAGGAGGTAACAGCATTATAACATGTCTTAAAGCTCACAAGAATCCATGTTGTTTAATACTGGACCAATGAATGTCTTTTGTCTATTTGCTTTATTTTCTGTGTTTCCTTAGTGAATGATCTCGCCGGACTTTCAGACGACTGCCGCTACCTCGTCCTTTTGGCCAAGATTAAAAATAAAGTGGGAAAGAATGAAGACGCTTTGCTTTCACTGCAGAAGGTAAGACACTCCATTGCCCCATGCCTCATACACACATTGTAAACTAAATAAATACTGGACTAGTGACATGTGACCGGCTAATTTTGACAAAGTGGAAGGAACCTCACACTCTTACACTGACAATGTGGAAGCAGAGAAACATGGTCAACGCTGCAAGTGAGAAGATGTTGGGGAGGGTGGAAGTGAAAGAGGAAGTAGTGACTGAACAATGGGATAGCTTCTGTTTCAGCTATTTAAAGTTTAGGTCTTTATATGTGTGTGTGTGTGTGTGTGTGTATATATAATATATATATATATATTATATATATGTATGTATATATATATATATATGTATGTATGTATATATATTATATATGTGTGTGTGTGTGTGTATATATATATATATATATATGTATATGTATGTGTATATATATATATATATATATATATATATATATATATATATATGTACCTCCCTGTTTTGTTTTGTTTGCTTTTGTTATTATTATTATTTTTTTTTTCAGTTTAATTCAGCACTATACTATTTAACACCTCCTATTGGCCACCATCAATAAGGCTCTGAGTGAGTGAAAGCTGTTTTTAACCAATCACAGCGAAGTGTGAACTTTTTGAAGGTAATAATCAAAATCATAATGTGGCTACAAGAAAATTGTGGCATTTTTTTTAGGAGTTACTAAGCTTAAATCATTCTTAATAAAATTTTAGTTTCTTGTTTCTTTAAAGCCCTACCTTGTAACTTTTTAGCCAAATAATAGAATCAAAGCATGTTTCTTTTTTTTTTTTAAACACAACAAAAATGACTGTGAGTTGGCGTACATCTTCACAAACCTGGCTTTTATTTGGCCCGGAGGATGGTTTTACTTGGTTGTTTCCATGAAAACGTTCATTTGGTATTAATATTCTGCATTATTACATAAAATGTCTCTATCTTCATGGAGAATTTTACAAAGTTTTCATTTCTATTTTCATGGCATCATGTAGGTGAGTTGACACCTCTAGAACGTGATGTGATGTTGTTTTAAGGTTAATTTGGTGTAGTTGTTATATAAAGTTTTATACTATATAATATGTAAAGTGTTACAATAATAATAATAATATAAACTGTAAATAATAATAATAATAATAATAATACACTAGTTTAAAATAAGTAACTTCTTCTTGTATCTTCTAACTTATAAACTCTTACTTCTTCCCACTCCATTCTGAGTGTGTACTCAACCTGTACAGGCTGTTTTTATCTCTGTAGCACTTCTTTGTAGTTTGTTCTGCTCATGATGTTGCTTGAATAAGCTACACACTTTTTCTATACTTTATGACCATGGGAGTCTGGTCTCTCCATTTTCAAATGGGCATGACTGACAGGTGGATTAACGAGTCAGAGACACATACGGTCTGACCATATCAGGAAAAAAATGAAGGGAATCAGTGAGCGAAGCACTAAACTATGTTAATCTGAGGTGAGATAAATTTGTTTTTGTTTGTAAATGACGGGTGACCAATGAGCTCCTTCTTTGACTTGAGTCATGAGAAAAACAATCTGATTGCCTGATTATGTTTGTCCTGGCCTGAATTGCGACAGAGGGCGTGAGGACCAGACTGATGTCAATCTGTAGAAAAAATACAGACAGATCAATCTGGATTTACTGGGCACCCATGACATACACTACCAGTCAAGTTCAGACATACTTATTTATTTATGGTCCTTCTTTATTTACATGATTATTTACATTCCAGATTCTCACTGAAAAAATAAACTCAGAGTAACTCCACATGTTTTAAACGACCTCCCTTTGCTTTGATCACTCCTTTTCATCCTTGATATTCCTTGACCTTGATACAGCTCATGTGTAAAGTGAAAACCTTTTCAGAAGACTTCATCATAAAGCTCAAAGAGAGAAGGCCAAGGGTTTGTAGTGCTGTCGACAAAGCAAAGAGTGACTAATTTGAGCATTTGAATATAAAAATATATATTTAGTACATCATCTGATAAACACCACCAGTCAAAAGTTTGGACATACCACCACAGAAGACATGAAATATATGAAGTAATTATACTTTTTTTCTTTAATGGAGTACTTTAACTTTTTTGTTTACTGCATAATTCCATCATATTTGTGATGTCTTCCGTATGTATCTAAAATGTAGAAAGTAATAAAAATAAAGAAAAAAAAAACATTGAATGAGATGGTGCATCCGAACTTTTGACTGTAGTGTAGCTTGAGATAGAGATTATAAAGAATAAAATAATAGTAATGCATCCTAACCGTCCCCTTCCCTCTCTCCAGGCTCGTGACGTCCAGGCCAAAGTGCTGAAGCGCGTTCAGATGGAGCAGCCAGACGCCATCCCGGTGCAGAAACAGCTCGCCGCCGAGATCTGCTCCGAGATCGCCAAGTACTACAGCAGCCAGCGGGGCTACGAGCGCGCAGTCAAGTTCTACAAAGAGGCGCTTGTGTATTGTGAGACCGATCGCAAGGTCAGTGAAAGGGCCGCTCTCTGTCCTCCGCGCAGCTGTGCCTCTACACAACATTAAGTCCTGTGTTTATACTATACTGTGTGTGTACGTGTGTGTGTGTATGTGTGTGTGTGTGTGTGTGTGGGCAGAGATAGATTTGGGGAATGACTAATCCAGTACTAAAAGGTGCCCAAAAATATTGTCACATCTGAATAATGCGCTTGAATGGTTTTGTTTTGTAGGTGTTGCTATGAGTGGTTGATCTTTAGGGCTGCACAGTATTGAAACTTTGCACCTGACGTCATCAACCTTCCCTGGGGATGTGCCGTTAACTGTAGGCTCTGCTGTGTCTGATGCTTTATTAGACTTTAATCTGGGCTTTATTTTAAGAGAATCTGACCTGAAAGACTTTGTTTAATCGACAGTCAGGAATTTTGGACATAGGACCTTATTTCCTAGTGAGCCAGAGTGTTGGAGACGTGTCGAGACACTTTTTTAAATATTCCATCCAGTCCTTATAGTCGCAGAGGTCGCTGGTGCTAGACTAGTGCATGTCAATGGCCATACTTATCCTGCCATTAAAAACAGTCTTACCCACTCCACAAAACACACAAAGCAAAACTATTACTATGCCAGACTGTCGATGTAAATGTCTGTGTCGATAGAATAATTTTAGAAGTAAAAACAACCTTGCATTTGAAGGATTTATGTTTGAGCAGCAGCAGCGAGTTGTACTTCCTGGTAGAAAGGTTGGCAGCGGTGGACTAATATCACCGAGCACCTATCTTACCGGCAAAGTAAAATTCCTCTGCTGCTGAGAAAATAGTCCCTCAACATGCGACGATTCATGAGATGCAAGGTTAGTTTTATTTCAAACATTATTCTATCGACACAGACATTTACATCGACAGTCTGGTGTAATAATAGATTTTCTTAAGGTGTGGAGTGGGTAAGACTGTTTTTAGTGGCAGGATAACTATGGTCATTGCCTAGCACCAGTGACCTCTACAAAGACAAGGACTGGATGGAATATTTTAAAAAGTGTCTCCACACGTCTCCAACACTCTGACTCACTAGGAAATAAGGTCCTATGTCCAAAATTCCGGACTGTTCCTTTAAAGAGTAGTTAGAGCTACAACAGGTGAGCTGATTTGTGTCTTCTGCAACAAACAAACAAACTAGTCTGTCTCTTTATAGAAAAAATCTTGTTATAAATGCATGCATGTCTATGTTGGAATGTTCGAATTCCCATGGGGGAATTTGTGTCAAATTAAAGATCAGCTTAAACTTTAACAAAACCTCAGACAAAGCCTCAAACAAAGCAGAGCCTACAGTTCGCATTTTGATTATCTCAGGAAATGATTAATCATGTTACCTGGTAATTTACTGTCTTACTACTTCTTTATCAAAATACCATGAAATAATAATAATAATAATGCATCAGTTATATAGAGTGATTTTTTTGGACACTCAAAGACAATGGCAAAGGCAATGTGGGTGAAGTGCCTTGCCTAAGGACACAACGACAGTTTTTGCGACTGGCACCCCACTGAACCATAAAGTACAATCACATACCCATCTGTTTCCATCAGGAATGATTGTATTATTGTGTTAATTCCACTTTTATTACCATGTTGTTTTTGGATTATTATCATGTTAAGGTGCTGCAAAGTTTTATTATAAGAATTTTTTTATTTTATTGTATTGATTAAGATTTATTTCAATAAATAGTATAGGCCTAATGCATTTTCTGGTTAAATTCATGTTCTTACTTGAGAGACATTTTTAATTCTCTTGTTAATTAAAATGCCATCTCTACTTTTATTTCTTTTATTAACAGTTCCGTATACTTCATCAAAAGTTCATTACTACTAAATTATCTCCCCATATATTCTTCATCCTTTACTTCCTCCAAAAGGACCGTGATGTTTTTTCCATGCGAGTCTCTGAATGCTCCCTCTGTTGTAGGTGATGCTGGAGCTGGCTCGCTTGTACCTGACCCTGGACGAGGTGGAGGCGTGTCAGGAGCAGTGCAGTGTGATTTTGATGAACGACCAGTTCAATGAAGACGCAACCCTGGTACATCACGTCTATATGAGCTGTGATTCCGTCCAGCCGTGACCGAACCAAGTGACTCATTTGTGCTGTGACTCTGTCCGCAGATGATGGCCAACCTCATGTTCAGGAAGCAGGACTATGAGAAGGCCGTGTTTCATTATAGGCAACTTTTGGAGCGTAAGCCCGGTACGATTAAGTGTTTTTTAATGAAGAAAGCTGATAAGGCTGCAAAAATGTATATTAAAGACGCACTGGCTGTCTCATGGAAATTTTATTGCCTGGAATCTTCCACAGTATAGTATTGACTTGCCAAAAAATACTTCCAATATATTCCAGACAAAATGGCATAAGAATAGACAGTCTAGACTCTGGACTGTCTCACCTAAAACTTTACGTATTGCCCCTTTAATGGAATGAGTTGTTGCATTATTTGGAACCCAGAACTTAACCAGGACTAGACCAGCACTAGAGTAAACTGACCAAAATGGAGCTCGACAGTGACTGCCCACCACCCCAGTTCTGAAAGTTAAATTCTCATAAATTTTTCTTTTAGATATTCTGTGAAAAAAAGTCTATTAAAAGTTTGACAAATGGTGACTAATGAGCACAAGATCTAAAGTCCGGTTCAGCAGCTTAAAAAAAAAAAAGTGAAGTTATTCAAGCATTTTGCCGAATCTTGTGTTTCAAATGTGCTTTTTGAACCTGATTCTTTTTTTTTTCTTCTTTTTTTTGACAGTCTATGGGGAAAAATGAATGGAAAATTAACTTCCGGAACGGGAGCAGACATGTGGGTGGGTGGGACTGTTGCGCTCCAAAGAACCAAGCCAAGTATTGACTAAACTGAGCTCAAACCAAGTGAACGCGCCCATGTTACATAATTAATTAAATAATTGCAATAAAACAATTTAAAAATACGCACAAGATTGATTATAATCATATACTTCTCTCTTAGATCATTGCTTATAAATCCAAATTCTACTACTAATAGTTTTATAACAACTGGCCTCTCCATCTTTGTACTTTTTCAGATAACTACCTGGCTCTGTTCCACTTGGTAGACCTGTTGAGGCGAGCTGGTAAACTGGAGGAGATCCCCCGATTTCTGGAGCTGGCTGAAAAACACTCCCCAAGGACCAAGCTGGACCCGGGCTTCAACTACTGCAAAGGCCTGTACCTGTGGTGAGTCTGCTGGAGCCCGTGAGCCTGCTCCTCTGGTCACATCTGGCTCCCCGTTTAACGCTTCGAGTCACTGTGCTGCAGGTACACGGGCGAGTCTAATGACGCTCTGAGGCACTTCAATAAGGCGCGCAAGGACAGCGACTGGGGCCGGAACGCAGCCTACAACATGATCGAGATCTGCCTCAACCCTGACAACGACACCATGGGGGGAGAGGTGTTCGAGAACCTGGATGGAGAAATGGGGTAGGAGCAGCAAGTAAAGGTCCTATATTACACAAAATTGAGTCTTGTGAGCTTTAAGCCATGTTATAATGTTGTTACTTCTTTAAAAATATATCCAGGGTTGTGTTTTGTTTCATTCACACGTTTGAGTAACCTTATTATTACTCTGTCTGTGTCTCCAAAGCTCAAAATGCTCTGTTTCCAAGTTAACAACTCCCTTTACCTTTAGATCAGTAGAGGTTGGTAATTAAAGGGTTGAAATCATTTAAATGGTTCTAGTGAAGGTGTCTGGAGTTTAAAAATACACTTCCTGTATGGGTGTTTTCAGTTTGAATATATGCAAAATATGCAAAACACTACTTCAGGTATTGAATAGGAAACATCATTATAACATAAATCAGAAAATGGTGCAGTTATTTTTACACTTAACAGGCTCAATACTAGATTTTTAACATAAAACAATGTGTCTTTTATTTAAAATTATTTATCTTTTATTTAAAATGCTGATCAATTTTGGTCCATAAGTCAATGCCGTTTTATCCTTGATGACACTTTCTTATACTACATTTGAAATTCCCTGAAATTGACACTTTTTAGCCTAAAAATATACTAAAATAAAGCACTGAAAAACACAGAAAGAGCAGGCTTTCATTTCCACAAACCTGACTCTTATTTGGCCTCCTTCTGCTTGTTTCCATGGAGGTGTTGGTTCTTTGGCCATAATTTTCCACAGTTTGGCATGAAACTTCTCCATCTTCTTGGAGACTCTTCTGAATAGCTTTAACTTTCTATTTCCATGAACATTGTACAGTGTTGTTTTAAGTACAGTGTAACTGACAGTGGGTTGTATTTACATGATATTACAGGCTATCACACTAACTCAAATGTACTGTGTAATTAGATATGGTACTGTGTGTTCTTAAATACGCAGTGCACTCCATTCAGGTTTTATTATTGCAGGTTGTTAAACACAGAGTTAATTTAAAGGAGCATTGTGTAACTTTTCTGGTGGAGGGGCAGTCAGATGCTTTTCTCCACAGAGATGGTATTGCTTTGTCTGGAATTTTCCACAGTATGGTATTAAACTTTTCTGTTGTCATGGAGACCAAACCAGACCAAGTTACAGGTCAGATCTGTGGAGAGGGGCGGCAGTAGCTCAGTTGGTAGAGCATTCGTCCACTGATTTGAAGGTTGGCAGCTCTTGACATAAATATCATTGGTTGAGCGGTCAGATCCGCTGACCCACAGGTTGGCTGGTGTGGTTCCAGCTCCCACAGATGAATGCTGTCGTTGTGTCCTTGGGCAAAACACTTAACCCTTAATACACTGGTGCATGAATGTGTAAGTGAATGTGTGAGTGGTTCCTTGTTGTAAAGCGCTTTGGAGTGCTTTGAAGGTGGAAAAGTGCTATAGAAAAATGTGACCATTTACCAGAGGCAACTCCACTCACAGGTACTTTTGAGCTATAAAATCACCTGTAATTTAATAAATGAATAATCAACTTCATACTGTGGAACATTCCAGCCAGTGTAATGACATATCCATAGAAACAAGCAGGTGATTCACCCCAAACCAAAAAGTTACACAGTGCAGCCTTAAGGTAGTTACCGTTGAAGTATATAGTGTACTGCAAACAAACTTTACTTATATAACAGACATGCACAGTTTAGACTTTAATATTTGAATATGCATGTTTTTAGTAACTCCACAGAGAAGCAGGAGTCGGAGCAGCTGGCGGTGCGGACGGCGGAGAAGCTGCTGAAGGAGCTGAAGCCTCAGACTGCGGGAGGACAGCTGCAGCTCCGCATCCTGGAGAACTACTGTCTGTTAGCCACCAAACAGAAGGCCAGCGTGGAGAAGGCCCTCAACGTGTTTACAGAGATCGCAAACAATGAGGTGGGTCTGATACAAAGGGCACCGGCGTTCCACTGGTAAATATTGAAGTGACAGTAGTACAGTATGCAAAGGCTTCAGGAAGTTTTCACACGCTTCATTCAGTTTTATATATCAGAGAGGTCAGTTGGTGTATAGTGATTATTTTTTACACTAAGATGTTTATTATTATTATTATTATTATTATTATACATTTAAAATTTTAGGGACAAAAAATAGTTTAATTACTGTAAGTCCAAGATTTGAACCAGCTACTCTTTAATTATATGAAGGGTGAACATTTATTTTATGATTAGAAGAAATTGTGCATTTTATTGAAACATTATTTTGTATTTTTCTTTGCTGAAAATTTGATGGTTTTGATTTTTATTATTTTTATATTTAAGAAAATTCACACCATTTTTGAGAGCCAGTTTAAATTCTACATAGCTTAGTTATTCCATACCCATGAGACAAACATAAAAACTTAATAATTACCCTCACCAACTAGTAACTGATTTCACCTCTAGTTAAATTCCCCATATTGTATTAAATAGCCCTTCCCCTGTCTCATCCAGAAAGACCATGTGCCCGCTCTGCTCGCCATGGCAACAGCGTACATGATGCTCAAACAGACGCCGCGAGCCAGGACTCAGCTCAAACGAATCTCCAAGATGAGCTGGAACATGGAGGATGCAGACGAGTTTGAGAAGAGCTGGCTCCTTTTGGCCGATATCTACATCCACTCTGGGAAATACGACATGGCCACAGAGCTGCTCAAGAGATGCCTGAACCACAACAAGGTGAGACTCATCTCTGTAACACTGCTTAAAGATGCGCTATGTAACTTTTAGTTTGGGGATCTGTCACTTTCTTGTGTCTCTGGATATGTCATTGCTTTGAATGGTCCCACAATATGACATTAAAGAGTTCTACTTAACATTTATTCAATTACAGATGGTTTTATAACTCAAAAATACCTAGAAAAACAGACATTCTGACTGTGAGCGGGGTTGCTTCTCCACAGATCTGACCTGTAACTTGGCCTGGTTTGGTCTCCATGAAGCTAGAAAGTTTGAGAAACATTTCAGACAAAGCAATAACATATTCAAGGAGAAAAGCAGGTTGCGGACCCTCCACCAGAAAAATTACACGGTGCTGTTACAGTTTGTGATGTCATGAAGTGGTAATTTTCAAGTTAACTGCTCCCTTTTACCTAGCCTGATTCATCAGTTTCACTTCGTGGAAACTGTTTGACTTCACAGCATTAGGATTTGTTCGCTTGACGGTAGGCGGGTACTTTTTTATTTAACCAATCGCTGCTATTTAGTCATGCCGTATCCTGTGAGAAGAAGGGCAAAAATGTCTTTCCCCTTGACCAAACATTCTCTTTGTTCTGGCTTTAAATCCTCGATCTCAGGAATCGTTTCCAGCACAGAATGTATGTCTTCATCTACATCCACCTAGACCGTTTTATTTACTGTTGTGCTGTACCACAAAAGGGACCCAGACAGGTGCTTGAGTTTGACGTCATGGCTTTACAGCTCTTCACTGATTGGCCAATGTGCGGTCTACAACTTCCGGGGTTCTTGCGAATCGTCTAGTGTATTCCAATTCCTGACCTAGTCGCTGGAGAGAAATGAAACTGAGCGGAGGCACTAGCCTGGCTACCTTTTACCTTTTGGTCAGTAGAGATTGGCAATTCTAGGGCTGAAATTATCGAAATAATTCTAGTGAGGGTGTATGGAGTTTAAAAACACTATGGAGTACTTACTGTATTACCACATGACATCACAAATTGGAACAGAGTGTTTGCTGTTTGAGATAAGAATTCAGTCTAAATATGCAGGATTTGTGTGTTAAACATGTGTGAATGAAACAAAACACAACTCCAGGTCTGTTTGTGATGGGAAAACAATATTATAACATACATCAAAAAATTGTTTAATCTGAGCCCTTTAATCCCCCATTTTACCGTAAGTGCACGTACACATACATTTACGTTAGCGTACTGTTGAAACAAGAGTTACTCTGTAGCATAGATTTAGTGTGAGACGACTGCCAGACAGATTCTGGTGGTCATGACTCAACAGCTGGTCACGGGCTGATGAATATACTGTAGTCTCAGTATTTTAAGGGTTCCGCTTAATTCAAGAATAAATATTGTTCCAAGTTTGTGCAGTGGAGAGTGTCGAATATGTGTCATAAAGGTGATTGTAATTTTTGTGTGGGCCCAGTATAATGGATTCCTTCCCATGGTACTAATCATAACTACCTCTGACACTTTAGCTCTTGTGTATTTTATCTCCAGTCTTGCTGTAAGGCCTATGAATATCTGGGCTACATCATGGAAAAGGAGCAGTCGTTTTGCGATGCCGCGCTTAACTATGAACATGCGTGGAAATATGGAAATTGCACTAATCCAACTATTGGTATGCAAATCACATTTCAAAGCGAAATACAACACACGTATACACATGCCCACGGATACTATTTCAATTATTTTTTTCATTTAGGATACAAGCTGGCTTTCAATTACCTGAAAGCAAAGAGACACGTTGATGCAATAGATGTGTGTCATAAGGTAAGTTATTTTGGACCTGCCTCGGTAAAAAATTGAATAAAGCTGGTATAATCCTGCTGTTTTTTTCTAGGTTCTGGCTGCTCACCCAAATTACCCAAGAATAAGGAAGGACATTTTGGACAAAGCCAGAACTGCCCTCAGGCCTTAAGAGTGGGAAGTGAAAGGACGAGTCTGCTCCAATACAAATGTGTTCAAGACAAAATAATGTTATGTATATATATTTTTTGTTTTGTTTGATTTTGTGAGGCAACTCAATCCTTTTTGTGCATCTTTTTCATCCAGTTTGATCAATACTATTATAGACCTATTTTTATTTCTATACGTTTTATACTGTATGTAGCTTGAGTGCTTATATTTATTTATGTACAACTCAAAACAAAACAATAAATGTGCTTTTTTTTTAATGTTTGCTTTTTGGACAACAGTAATTTAATACATGTGAAATCCGCAATCTTTTAGTTTGAAGTAACTTTTTTTTTTTTACTTACTACTTTCTACAGTAGGCCTATATTAAATAAAAAAATTTAAAAAACTTAATATTGCGGCTATCCATGGGTTTCACAATGATGAAAGGTTGAGACGTTCCCACGGACATTAACAATTTAAACAATATTTTTTGAATGAAAAGAAGGGAAAAAAAACATCAAAGTGTTGCATTGTAATGGAAAAACACATTCTTCTTTGCTCTGTGAACTGTTACATTGCTGCACTGCCGGTACATTTTGTATCTGAACACAACCTTGACATTTGTCTCTATTCATGCGCTTCAACTTTCTGCAGTGCCATGAATATGTGGTGCTGTTTTGATGACAGCTGACCGCACAATATTTATTAGATTTTGTTTTGAATTGTTAATTACTATGGAAACAGTCTTGACCTTTAATTATAAATCTCCAATCGGGGAGCAGCCCACTTCATTCTGAATTAATTGCACTACAAAAATACCCAACACCATATAACAGGACATAAAAAAAAAAAAATACAAATACATAGTTGTTGTATTTTATCTTAAAGTTGTGTTGAGGAAAACAACCTTTTCCTCACATGTTTGTTAGTTTCTGCTTAGATAAAAATTACACTTGAAACAGAAATTAAGTCCAGATAATTTATTTATTCCAATATTGGAAAGTTACACTTGTACAAGGAGTCTGAGCTGACATTCCCAAGCAGAGACTCAGTGTTTACGCCAATACAATGACTTATACATGCAAACTATAGTGGGAGGACACTGTGGTTTAGACTTGGCGCCTCTTTGTTGGTGCACAGTCCAGTCAGACTCCATCCGGGGTGTTATCTGGCTATCGAGTCATGACATTATCCCTATCAGTAGTTCTTGTCCTATTTAGTTACTTTGCTATTACATAAATTGGAATATCATGCATTTGCCTTGACATAAATCTATGAGTCTCAAGCTGTGATCAGAGCCTTTATCTTCAAATGACCTTGGTACAATAAAGAACAATAAAAGAGATTACAAAATAGCTAAGCTTAATTATTTATCCTAACAGTTGCATTATGTAACTTTTCTGGTAGAGACAAGAGAATACTTATTTTTCAAGCTAAAAAAAAAAAAAAACTATAATTGAATAAATGCAAGATAGTTTCACGCCATTATACCATGGAGCATTTCCATGGAGACAAGTAGCTAAAAGGAAAGTTACAAAGTGCACCTTTAAAATCGTCTATGACCATGCAGAAAGTATAATAATCACCTGCTCGTCTCCATGGAGATGTAATCGTGTGGCAAGCATGTTCCGAAGTATGGCATATTCATCTCCATGGAAACAAGATAAGGATAGGGAGTTTGAAAAACGTGCCAGACAAACAGGTGGAAAAATGGGCATAATCCAACTTTGATGTATTACTTTTGCATTTATGTTTTATGCTTTATTACAGAATTATTATAAATTATAGCTCTTCAATTGTCCGATTTCTCTTTCATACATGAAGTTAAACCTGAGTTACTTTAAACTTTAAGAGAAATTTGTAATACTACTTAACAAATTTCTGGTTACTTTGGCCACTATCCATGTTGCTTTCTGAACCCTTTGCCACATAGACAAACACCAACACACCGGGCGGGGGGAAAGCACGACGCTGTGAACATTTTAATGGACACAATAAAAGTGGGATGCCCGCTGAGGGTAGGAAGTGTGTGCACTGGGGGAACAGACGCCGCTTCAAATGGCACCACCACCACCACTACCGAAGAGAGCCGCCCCTAGATGTGCCTAACCTTTCTGGACACTGACAATGGACACGAAATTGGAGGTATTAGTTTAGATTTCGGTGAGTTTTGCGTGTTTGTACTTGTGTTTTACGCATGAGATCCATTGGACGTGTCGAGTGTCTGTAAAGTGTTATAGTTTCGGAGAGATGTCATTGGTTTCAATGGAATACGCGCGCGTTCCTGCGTGATTTGTTACCCGGCAACTGCCCCAGTGAATGACTAGTTGAACCAATGCGATTAATGACATCCTTTGTGGGATAGAAGCACCTCCGCGGAGCAACTAGTCTGCTAATCCAGCCTGTGCAGAGACGTGGCCGTGCGTAAAAGTCCGCTCCCGCAGTTGAACCAAGCGAGAAGGATGTGACAGCGGTTGATGGTTTGACGTGACATAACTTTACTGTCCTGTTACTTTTCAGGTATGGACACGGCCACGCGGATCTCAGCTATGCGCATGCGCTTTACCATGTCTCCTCCCCAAGTCTACCTGAGAGCAGAGGAGCGCACCTGGATACAACGAGACGGAAGTTTGCTGGAGCCGCTGCTGCTGCTTTGAACAAATCTTTTTTCGTCCTGTTACGGAGGACAAGTCCAGTCAGGATTCGCAGAGAGAAGGCAGACCCCAGCCAGTCCGGAATGGGTGACCTCCTGTGGAATATACTACGACACTTTTACTAGTTTAGATCAGCAACAGTTGAGCGACTCATGGTACGTACTATAGATTTTTTTTTCCTGTGAAGGAATTGCAAGATCTCTTTAGTGTGGTCTGTGCATAAAGAGAGTGGACTATGGATGGTTTTATGGCACTTAACACTGACGTAACACTTTAACAACTTTGGTGTGGCAAATATGGCCTGGGTTTTAAAGGAATTGATTAGCTGTGTCGATAGAAATAAAACTACAAAGCACTTTTTTACCCCAAGACTCAAAATGTAAGGTTATGCTGTGATTATGTAACAGCACACAATCGCATACTCCCAATCTATAATGAATTATTAAAGCAATTACAATCCAAATTCTCCTCAATACTTACTATAAAAATGAACAAAATTGTGTTATTGCTTATGCTCAAGTAGTAAATGTAGATTTTAGGATTTATGCAGCCTATTTCTAAAGTTGTTACTTATTTTATTATTTACCATATTCCATAATGACAAAACCTGTGATTGAGAAGAAAGTTAACTATTTTGAAGAGGAAATATTAGATCTAAAATAGGCTATAACATGTGTAACCTTTCTGGTGGAATGTCATCTGCTTGTTTCTATGGATATGTCATTGCTCTGCCTGTTCCAAAGTGTTACACAGCAGCTCTACTTTACATTTATTCAATTACAGGTGGTTTTAAAAAATAAAATAGTGAGAAAAAACAGCATTCTGACTGAGCAGGGTCGCCTCTCCACAGATCTGACCTGTAACTTGGTCTGGTTTGGTCTCCATGCAGATAGAAAGGTTTAATATCATACTGTGAAACATTCCAGACAAAGCAAGAACATCTCCGTGGACAAAAGCATTAGACAGTTACACAATGGACCTTTAAAAGTTAATAAAAATACACTGAAAATCCAGAACTAAGTAACAAAATGTACCAGGATATCACCTTAATGTGATCAAAGGATTCAGTGTGCCTATCCATGTGTGAACTAAACTACTGCTACACTTTGACAGCTGGCCAACCCTGTTATCTGGTGGCTTTTGTAGTTAAGTATTTTTTTTTCCTTTTTGTTATTTTTCTTATTGTGTTGTAATAAGATTTGAGCTGTCCACGGTTGAATTATGAACTTCTGTGACTCATTATAGACACAAACTAACTACTAAAGTGTTTCATTCTGCGGTTTATTTATTGCAGTTTGTGTTTTTTAACCATATAATACATTTGGAATAGTATTTTGGTTATAATTCAGCTTTAAGATGATCAAATTAGTGCTTATATTTTCTTAAAGGGCCCATATGACACTATTTTATGATCTGTTATAATATTTCCTCATGAAATACAGACCTGGAGTTGTGTTTTGTTTCATTCACACATGTTTAACTCACAAACCCTGCATATTTATGTTGAGTTCTCAAAGGGAAAACACTCTATTCCACCTTGTGATGTCATGTGGTAATACAAGAAGTGCTTCACTATGTTTTTAAACTCCATGCACTTCACTAGAATCATTTGGATAATTTCCGCCCTCGAATTGTCAGTCTCTACAGAACAAAAAGTAAATGATTTTGTTTAACATTATAGCTACCACTACGTGACATCACAAGGTGGAAAAGAGCATTTTGGGCTTTGGAGATGTAGACCGGCTAATAATAAAGGATAACTCAAACATGTGTGAATGAAATAAAACACGTGACGGCAGAAAGGAAAATGCACGGAATGAGTTTGCTGGCGTTTGAGAGACACTTTAATCTGCCTATTCACTTATACATACCGTAATTATAATTGCACAAGGTCATAATCACATTGAGAGCTTTCACAACACGCCCTCTTTAAGTCGATTCAGCTTCTTAATTGACTAAGAATTTCTTTAGTTAACCATTGTTTTATTAATGCTATAAGTGACTTTGCAGCTGAAGTCATCAACGTTCTCACGCTAACTGAAGATATTACTTTGTCTGAAACTATGTTATTCAAGTTAGACTGTAATCTGAGCTTGGTTTCAACACTATCTGACCACAAAGGACTGATTTATCTGAACTACAACAGGTGAGCTCCTTCGTGCCTTTTTAGCCACTCTCACCTAAATAAATGAACGCTCGTATTGATCACAAGCTCCTGAAAAAGTGCTGTTTAAATCTGTTTTGTATTTCTTCAGATTATCTTAACTTTTTGTGGCAGTGCATCGCCATGGTAACTGCTGAACATTCCGCCAATAGACCTTTTTCACAACAGTCAGAAGTGGCACGATGTAGGATAAACGTCACTTACGTTAATGCTTTTTTATGGCAAAATATCTGTGGAAATGTCTCGCGTATTTTCCACCAGCTTCATAAATCTGCCCCATCACCAAATCTTCATCCAACAAGGTCGACAAAGGACATATTCTGTTCATGAAAAATTTATCCACAACTATCAAAGTAAGAAAGACGAAAACGTAAAGGCGAACAGCGACGAGCATTAGTGAACTACTCCTGAGCAAAAGTAACATTATGGTCATGAATAAAACATAAGTGACTTGTTAACTCAGACTGATTTTAGAATTAAAATTAAAAATCGATTTCATGATGTCGATATTAGCACAGATAGAGAGATTTGTGCAGTTTAAATGCTAGACTTGTAATCTGTGAATATTTGTAGCATTTAAACTGCACACAAATGTCTCTGTCTATGCCAATATCGACATCATGAAATCGATATTTAATTTTAATTGTAACATCAATCTAAGTTAACAAATTACTTCTGTTTTATTCATGACCGTGATGTTAGTTTTGCTCAGGAGTAGTTCACTAATGCGTCGTCGTTGTTCGCCTTTATGTTTTCGTCTTTCTTACCTTGATAGTTGTGGATAAATTCTTCATGGACAGAAAATGTTCTTTGTCGACCTTGTTGGATGAAGATTTGGTGATGGGGCAGATTTATGAAGATGGTGGAAAATACGCAAGACATTTCCACAGATATTTTGCCACAGAAAAGCATTAACCGGGAGTTACATTTACCCTACATTGTAGCACTTCCGGCTGTTGTGAAAAAGGTCTTTAGAGACACATGTAGAACACCTCCAAGTATCAATTATGCAGTGCCAAAAATTCCATGTATTATTTATGTTTATATTATGCCCTAGTTCTAACGCACTTTTTGTTTCATTCCTTCATTGTAGCTGACTCCCCACTCAAGTCCAGCCCCCTCTTCTCTCTTCCACCATGTCCTCCCTGCGCCGAATTCTGCGGAGACGACTGCACCCGCTCAAGCTGGCCCTCATCGCCTTCCTCTTCATCACCTTCGTCGTCTTCATCCAGTGGGAGGTCGGGGCCCGGGCAGCCAGGATGACCCTTGGCTACGAGACATGGCCGAGAAACGGGACTCCATGTTGGGGATGGTGATGGGAGCTGTCAATAACCTCCGGGTCGCGATGCCCAAAATGCAAATCAAAGCTCCGGTGAGACAGCAGCAGGAGGTGGAAGACAGCGGGTCGTGTCTGCCCGGGCATTACACCGCGTCCGAGCTCAGGCCTGCTCTGGAGCGCCCCCCGCAGAACCAACTTGCACCTGGAGCAGCGGGGAAAGCGTTCCACACAGATCACCTCAGCCCAGAGGATCAGAAGGAGAAGGAGAAGGGGGAGGAGAAGCACTGTTTTAATCTGTACGCCAGTGACAGGATCTCGCTGAGCAGGGACCTCGGAGCGGATACGAGGCCGCCAGAGTATGTGGAGTTTTGTGGCTGTTTCACACTAATCTATCCATGAGTCCAAAATGATGAAAAATTGTGATCCGTAGCCATTGCGATTAACAATTAGAATTCAAAATGTTAAATCTTTTGAATGGGAAGTTCTCAGAATATTGCTGAAACCTGAAATTCTGAAATTCATGAATAAGGCTGCATTCACGTGAATCATTTGGATAATTTCAGCCCTGGAATTGCCGGTCTCTACTGAATTAAAGGTAAAAGATAGCTGTTAACTTGGAAAACTACAATTTTGGGCTTTGGAGAAGCAGACAGAGTAATAAAGGATTACTCAAACAAGAGTGAATGAAACAAAATGCAACTCCAGGTGTGTTTTTGATGAGGCAACAACATTTTAACATAACCTAAAGCTCACAGGAGTTTAGGTTGTGTAATAGAGGCTCTTTAATTCTCACGTTACAGATTTGTTGGCCTATGGTTTATATTAGGGATGTAACAATAACTAAAATATCGTGATATCGTATCGTCAAAGTTCTCACAATAATATCTTGGACCATCACAATATATTGAATTACAAGTCTCTTTGCTTAAATGAAGAGTTATGATGCAGCAACAGATGGGAACTACATAGACCATGATCCTTTGCTCCATTTCAGTGCAGACTATGAGAAGAAATAACAGTTCTAAGCACTTTTAAGTTTTGGTTCTTTGGGTTAAGTCTTGTCAAGGCAGGTTAAGAGGAAAAAGTAGCATATTCACAGTTTTGTTAGCCTCCACAAAATATCGCAATAAATATCGTACCATGAGATGTATATCGTGAAAATATCGTACAGAGAGATTTGGATAATGTTGTGCCTAATTGTGACCCTCACCACCATATCATGAGCTTTCCCCCGATATCGCAATAAATGTCGTACTGTGAGATTCATACCGTGACGATATCGTATCGTGAAACTTGGATATCGTGACCCCCCTAGGTAATATCTCTAATATTAACAAAAATGGGCACCAAATTCAACGTGCAAGTGGTGCAATAATTCAATTAAAATGTGATTATTGAATTTGAAAGGAAATATGGTGAAATTGTAGAGCCAATCCCTAAGATTTAATCAGGTTCAACATTTGTGAAAGTTTCAATATTTCTTTTTATTTCGTCCAAAGATCAGTCCCTAGTCCTAATATAAAACTCTGCTCCAAACTTGCTCCTATAAATGCGAGCCTCACCTTGACTGGAGCTGACGCCCCAAACACACCTTTAGTCCACTTCTTTATACAGTCTGTGTGTACAACGCAACCCATAATGATAAATGAGTCTTGTGCCCAAAATAATATTACTTTTTTTTATTTTTTATCCTGTGTGCCTCAATTCAGTTAAAATTAAATGTTTATTGTAGAGCCAACAGACAGTGAATGAACCTGTCCTCTCTTTTATCATGGTGGCATTATTTACTTGGTATACAGTCATATATATTCAACAAATACGTGGTGGCAAAAGTGCCCTGGCCTGTTCTGAACTGACATAGATGTAGGATAGTAATTGTAATGTCAATCTGTACCACACCCTTATATAACAATTTTATTTGACTACAGTATAATAGATTGTAACTGGTATTTATTTTGTTATATTTATATTTAGATTGACTTAGATTAGTAGCACTTTGAGAGGCTTTGTCAATCACATTATTATTATTTATGGTATTACTGTTGCTATGTAGATATATTTATATGTATGACCAGTTTTTGTGTTTGTTCGTTATGTTTATCCTTTCTGCTTTTACACACCTTTAAAGGGACAGTGCGGAATTTTGGACATAGGGCCTAATTTCCTATTGAGCCAGAGTGTTGGAGCCGTGTGAAGACACTTTTTTAAATATTCCATCCAGTCCTTGTATTTGCAGAGGTCACTGGTGCTAGACTAGTGCATGTCAATGGCCATAGTTATCCTGCCGCTAAAAACGGTCTTACCCACTCCACAAAACACCTGAAGCAAATCTATTATTACGCCAGACTATCGATGTAAATGTTGTGTTGATAGAATAATTTTAGAAGTAAAACCAACCTTGCATTTGAAGGATTTATGTCTGAGCAGCAGCAGCGAGTTGTACTTCCCAACAGAAAGCTCGGCAGCGGCGGACTGATATCACCTAGTACCTATCTTACCAGCAAAGTAAAATTCTGCTGCTGCTGAAAAAATAGTCCCTCAACATGTGACGATTTATGCGATGCAAGGTTAGTTTTATTTCAGACATTATTTTGTAAACGCAGACATTTACATCGACAGTCTGGTGTAATAATAGATTTGTTTCAGGTGTTTTGTGGAGTAGGTAAGACTGTTTTTAGTGGCAGGAAAACTATGGCCATTGACATGCACTAGCCTAGCACCAGCGACCTCTGCAAATACAAGGACTGGATGGAATATTTTAAAAAGTGTCTCCACATGTCTCCAACACTCTGGCTCAGACTATCTCTTTAAAGATGTGTAGCAATCGATAATGTCGGTAACACAATAACACAAGGTTCTACATTACAGGAAATTCACTTTTGTGAGCTTTAAGTCATATTAGAATGTTGTTACCACCTCAAAAACATACCCAGAGTTGTGTTTTGTTTCATTCACACATTTGAGTTTTGTTTTTTTTTTTATAATCTGCCTTCAACTCCAAAGCTCAAAATGCTCTGTTCCACCTTGTGATGTCATGAAGCAGTAGTTTACAAGTTAACAGCTCCTTTTACCTTCAGTTCTTTTTTTTAAGTAATTTTTGGTGCAAGCTGCATAGTTATGAAACAGCAGTAAAAATACAATAAAAGTAAAATGACAATAAAGTTACAGAGTAGATGCAATCATACACATTGTCTCCAAATTTACTATTCAGAGTCTTGCCTACTGAGTATCCATAAAATCCTATAAAAGATAGTCATTCATTTGAAATATAGGCTTGATCTGACCTTTTTTTTTTTTTTTACCTTTAGTTCATTAGAGATTGGCAATTCCAGGGCTGAATTTATCTAAATTATTCTAGTGAAAATGTATGGAGTTTAAAAACACAGTGGCGCTTTTCGTGTATTACCACATGACATCACAAAGCAGAACAAACTGTTTTCTGTTTGAGAGCCTAAACATGCGTGAATAAAACAAAACACAACTCCGAGTACGGGGTTTGTTCGTGATGAGGAAACAGCATTATAACATGGCGTAATACGGGGCTCTTTAACATTTACACCGTGACATAACTACCCCCTCTAGTGGCGCTTATTATCTTATTTCATACCCAGTGGAGTTCAGACACAATCCAGATGAGTGGTAGATCTACAATTTAAACCTGATGTGCTACCCTCCGCGCTCCTTTAGGGTTCTTCTGTCCCCAAACTTGAGCGATGCATCATTCCTCCTCTTTGTTCAAGCACATCTGCCTGGTTTCTGCGGTTACTGGGGAAACAAGCCCACAATTGTTTGGCTAATCACGGCACATGCTTGTCCAAGTACATGTCACCGGACCCGCAGTGCAGGGCTTGATAGAAAGCATAGCTGCGTACTCGGTTGTATAAGAGGAGGCTGCGGTCATGTGACATCGCAACTTTACTGTATAGATTTTAATTTGAAGAGATCGAAGCCAAGAGTCCTATCATAGAATTTTTGGCTTTAAACTTTTTAAACAGTGAAAGTTCAGATGTTTACGGTGCAGATTAATGGTTAGAATCTCTGTAATTACCGGGTTTGTTCTCGTGAAACAAAAACTGACATAAAGTTAAATGTCTTCTCTAGTCACGTAAACAAACTAAGGTGAAATATTTTACTCGCTGTGATTTATTCAAATTACTTTAAAGGAGCAGTGTGTATCTTTTTGAGCGGAGGATTCGCCAGGTGCACGTCAGATGTTAGTGGTTTGCCTGGAATGTTTCACGGGATGGCATTTAACTTTTCTGTCTCCATGGAAACAAGTGGGTGACGGCACCAGGCCAAGTTAATCAATCAATTCAGTTCGCACGTCTCTGGTCGTGCACAATCTATAAATAATAAAAGAAAAAGAAAAACAGACGCCATACATTCAAACCTCAGTGCATCAGGGACACAATAGCAAATTCACTTTCCATTTAGAAGGTTTATGGCAGAAGGAATAAAAGATTTGGCGTAGTGTTTAGTCTTTTGTTGTGGGGTGACATATCGACTCCAGGAGGGCATTTGCACAAACTATGGCCTTAGTCTTTTGGAGCACCCGAAGTCTCCACACAGAGGCCAAATCCTCCATCTGAACACCGCTGATTTTGCCGCACACTTTCACTATCTGGTTCAGACTGTTCTCGTCCTTCAAAGATAATTCATAAAACCAACAAATAAAAAAAAAAGGTCAGCAAACTTTCAATAAAGGAATGATAAAAATAATTTAAAATGCTAGGAGACACATTAAAACAGCTGAGCCTCCGCATCAAGTGAACCCGCTGCTGTCCTCGTTTGATAATTTGCTCAAACGGAGTTCCCAAATACTTCTAGGAGTCCATCATTTCTACTACTTCCCCACGCATGGAGCTGGCTATTGGGCTGTGAACTTTTTTCCGGAACTTTTTACTCGTCACAAGTTAAAGCTCCTTTTACCTTTTAGTTCTGTACAGATCGGCAAGTCCACGGCTGAAAATATCCAAATGATTCTAGTGAAGGTGAAGAGTTTAAAAACACTGTGGTGCATTTCGTGTATTACCACTTTTCTGTCTCCATGGAAACAAGCGGCACTAGGCCAAGTTACTAGTCAGATCTGTGTAGAGGTGACCATGCTCTAAGAAATGTGCATGTTTTTGCCTGAATTTTTTTTTTTTTTAGCAAAGCAATTTTTTAAAATGTCTTTGAATGTACACGACCGTTCAAAAGTTTGGGGTCACTTAGAAATGTCCTTATTTTTGAAAGAAAAGCACAGTTTTTTTTCAATGAACATAACTTTAAACTAATCAGAAATACACTCTATATATTGCTAATGTGGTAAATGACTATTGTAGCTGCAAATGTCTGGTTTTTGGTCCAATATCTATATAGGTGTATAGAGGCCCATTTCCAAAAACTATCAATCCAATGTTCTAATGTACAATGTGTTTAAGCATTGTGTCAGAAGGCTAATGGATGATTAGAAAATTGTGCAATCATGTTAACACAGTTGAAAACAGTTTAGCTGGTTAGAGAAGCTATAAAACTGACCTTCCTTTGAGCAGGTTGAGTATCTGGAGTTATCACATTTGTGGGGTCGATTAAACGCTCAAAATGGCCAGAAAAAGAAAACTTTCATGTGAAACTCGACAGTCTATTCTTGTTCTTAGAAATGAATGAATTTCCCTGCAAGAAATTGCCAAGAAACTGAAGATTTCCTATAACTTTGTGTACTACTCCACCATGCTTGACAGACACCGTCTGTCAAGCATGGTGGGGGTAACGTGATGGTCTGGAGTTGCTTTGGTGCTGGTAAGGTTCAGGGTAAAAGGGATTTTGAATAAGGAAGGTTATCACTCCATTTTGCAATGCCATATCCTGTGTACAGTGCTTGATTGGAGCCAATTTCATCCTACAACAGGACAATGGCCCAAAGCCCACCTCCAAACTGTGCAAGAACTATTTAGAGAAGAAGCAGACAGCTGGTGTTCTATCTGTAATGGAGTGGCCAGCGCAGTCTCCAGATCTAAACCCCACTGAGCTGTTGTGGGAGCAGCTTGACCGTATGGTACGCAAGAAGTGCCCATCCAGCTAACCCAACTTGTGGGAGGGGCTTCTAGAAGCGTGGGGTGAAATTTCTCCAGATTACCTCAACAAATTAACAGCTAGAAGGCTAAAGGTCTGCAATACTGTAATTGCTGCAAATGGAGGATTCTGTGGCGAAAGCAAAGATTCAAGGAAAAAAAATATATAATTTCAAATATAAATCATTATTTCTAACCTTGTCAATGTCTTGACTATATTTTCTATTCATTTTACAACTCATGGTGGTAAATAAGTGTGACTTTTCATGGAAAACCCAAAATTGTCTGGGTGACCCCAAACTTTTGAACTGTAGTGTATGCAAGATAGAAAGTTTAATGCCATATTGTGGATCATTCCAGATAAATATATAACATCTCCATGGAGACAAGCTGGTGCTATTTTTTGATCTATATAATGTTGTTTTCACATAAAAAAAAATACCTGGAGTTGTGTTTTGTTTCATTCACACATGTTTAACGGACAAACCCTGTATATTTAGGCTGAGTTCTTCTCTCAAACGGAAAACACTCTCAGCACTGTTCCACCTTGTGATGTCATGTGGTACAGGAAGTGCTCTACTGCGTTTTTAAATTTCACACACCTTCACTAGAATCATTTGGATAATTTCAGCCCTAGAATTTACATTTTCTACTGAACTAAAAGGAGCTGCTAACTTAAAAACTACGTCTTCATGAGATCACGAGTTGGAACAGAATATTTTGAGCTTTGGAGATGTAGACATAATAATAATAAAGGGTTTCTCAAACATGTGTGAATGAAGCAAAACACAACTCTAGGTCTGTTTTTGATGAGGGAACACCATTCTAATAAGAGACAGTTTATAGGAATGTGACGATATCCAAATCTCACAGCACAATATTTATTGTGATATTTTGGAGAGGCTGATATAATTGTAGATTTGACACTTTTTTGCTGCTTTTAAAATGCCCTGACAAGATTTCGGTGTGAATTATTTCCATCATAATCCCAAGAATTCAAGTTAAAAACATATCTCTTCATGTCGATAGCGCTGAAATGAATCATGGGATATGTAGTTCTCTATGTTTATAAGCTGTTGCTACTTTAAAACCATGCATTTAAGCAAAGGAACTTGTAATTTCATATATGGTGACAGCCCACGATGTTATTGTTAGACTTTTGACGATACGATATCACGATATTTCGGTTATTGTTACATCCCTAGTAGACAGACTAATAATAAAGAGTTACTCAAACGTGTGAATGAAACAAAACACAACTCCAGGTTTGTTTTTGATGAGGAAACACCAGACCTTTTAAACATTTGTGGATTTTCAGTTTAGTAAACATATTTTCCTTATAATTAATTATGCTATCTTATGGCTTCAACATCTAGAACTTAACTTATTCAACTAAATTACGCTCCCTTTTATTTCCACCTTTTATTTCCAAGACCACCGAATCAGATACGCCACTTGGGATGCTGCGCGGATGTAATGACCCAACTGCCGTGCCACCTAGGACCCGCACGGCACAATCACCCCCTTGTTTCTCTCTTATTTCAGATGCATCGAGCAGACTTTCAAACGATGCCCTCCCTTACCCACCACCAGCGTTATCATCGTCTTCCACAATGAGGCCTGGAGCACCTTGTTAAGAACCGTCTACAGTGTCCTCCACACATCTCCAGCCATTCTACTCAAAGAGGTCATTCTGGTGGATGACGCCAGTGTGGACGGTAAGTAGGACTGGCCAGGACCACCTCACACTGTACTTAATATGGGGTCCGGTTTCAGTGCTTTGGGTGGGAAAGCAAAAGAGAGGCTGTGAAGTGGGTTAGGACACAGAGCCAGAGGAATACTAGCCGTGCTCTGAATAATTGCGACGGTTAAGGTGGAAAGAATTTTGTATTTGAGGAGAAGTGTTTGATCGTTTAATAGAAATGGGAGATTTTTGTTTAGAAATGTGGGAGCTAGAAATGTGATTGAAAGTTGAATCACTATAATTTTCTGTAATTTCAGGTTTACAAGATGCCATTATGTTAAATAGTTTAACTCGTTTATTACGGATGTCTATAAAAACACTTGTATAACCATTAAATAAAACATGATACAAAACCTAAATTTAAAAATCACTACACTCTCACCCTGAAGGTGCACCGTGTAACTCTTGCTTTGCCTAGAACTGACATGTCAAACTCAGGCCCGGGGGCCAAATTTGGCCCATGATATAATTATATTTGGCCCGCGAGATCATATCAAACATGTATTAGAGCTGGCTCGCCGGCTACAGATAGACGATAGAGACATTGTTTATTTAAAATTTTGTTGTTATTTTATATTATGCTTGTTCTGGATTCAATGTTTAAGCAAAATTATTATTAAAGATTTATTTTAATAAGAAAAGGTTTAACATTACATATCTCGAAAGAAGAGAAAACATGCAGATGTTGTTGAAATTTTTCAATAAATATTTAGTTTGGCCATGACTTAGTCCCTGTTTTTAATTTTGACCCTCTGAATTTGAGTTTGACACCCCTGGCCTAGAATGTTCCACAGTATGGCATTAAACTCTTTAATTATGGGTGTTCATATGGGCCAAATATACCTTGAAAAATACTGTGAGCGGGCTTTAATGCCATATTGTGGAATGTTCTAAGCAAAGCAGTAACACCTTTAAGATACTTTTAAGGGTGACATCACAAGGTGGAACAAAACATTTTGAGCTTTGGAGATGCAGACAAACTAATAATGAATGAATTCATTAATGATTCTTTAATAGTGCAATGAATGAAAATAAAAGTTCCAATCGTATCTTATTTATATGATTATCTTTTTTTTTCTACAAAAGGAGTATCTACATTTGATACTAGTTTTAGTATAAATTAATATCAGGATATTTATTTTTGTAGCAAGTTTAGGATATTTAACAGCTTTAAGAATTCTGTTACAATGCTGTTTCCTGAATTATGCCACGATTATTGTTTTGTTTCATTCTCACATTTTTTGAGTAATGTTCAGATTCAATTCTCTGCACAGGCCATTGAAACGCAGAAGTGCTCCAATATAGTTTTAAAAGCCACTCAGATCTGAAATAATGTTTTGTGGGGAAATTGACATCACCACTGCAACGAAGAAAAGTCATATTTTTTAATGTTTTACTCCCAAATGTTGTAAGTAGAGGCTGCCAAACTCAAAAGATACATAAATTTATCATAGCACAAAAGTTGTTAGTTAGAAAGAGTTCGAAAGGATGCAATAAGACATAATTCACACAATGAAAAAAGAAATTGGGTCCTCGAGAAAAGAAAAGATTCTGACCTTATCTACAATGTAATATAGGAGCTTTGCGTTTAAATCAAATTAAACACTCCACAGTCCTCACATTTTTAACAGGAAAACGCACAAAAAAACGTAACTGAACATTAATCTGCTGTGTTCTTTTTGTCAAATATTGTCATTGCCAACTGGAAGTGCTTTCCCCCCATAATTTATAACTGTCTAACAATGATTAACAGGGTAATTGGACGTCGTGTCAGGTCCAGGGAAAGACTGAAGTGTTACATTAATCAGAGTTTTGACTTGGGATGGAGAATTTGGGGCTTCTCAAAGTGCACATTACCGGTTTTCATGATTTTATACTTAACACTCGGCTTGATGGGATTGTGATTGTGGTAAAATTCATCTTAGTTTTACATGAGATAAGTGACAGCTTGTGGAAATAGTTGAAAAGATTAGGAAGTAGTTCTGAGTTCTAAAACGGAATACCTCTATTTATGTCACGGAAAATGTATGCACAAGGAAGGCCTTTTCCTAGAGTTTAAATATTGATTTAACTACCTAAAAGTGTTGTCATCTAGTTTCGTTTGTCTATTCATAGCTATTGTATCATTTCATTTTGACTCTAGTAGTGTTGTAGTCAAGACCGCAGTAATCAAGACCAAGACCTGTCCGAGACCACAGGGTCCCGAGACCAGGACGAGACCAAGACCTCTGAGGGTCGAGACCAAGACAAGACCGAGTTTGTTGAAGGTTGAGGTCAAGATAAGACTGAGACCATGGCCCATTAAGACCAAATCGAGACCATCTTTGTAATTTTTGACATTTATTTGCATTAACAGCTATTTTGGCACATTTATATCAGTGTTTTTATAAATCTATCTCCATTTTATCACTTGTCGAATGTCAGACCTTGAGACTGAGACAAGACCGAGGCGCCTTCAAGACTGAGACAAGACTGAGTTCACGCGCCTTCAAGACCGAGACAAGACTGAGTCATAACACCTTCAAGACTAAGACAAGACCGAGTCCAAGCGCCTTCAACACAGAGTCAAGACCGAGTCCAATCGTCTTCAAGACCGAGACAAGACCGAGTCCAATCGCCTTCAAGACCGAGACAAGACCGAGTCCAAGCTCCTTCAAGACCGAGACAAGACCGAGTCCAAGCTCCTTCAAGACCGAGACAAGACCGAGTCCAAGCTCCTTCAAGACCGAGACAAGATTGAGTCCAAGCTCCTTCAAGACCGAGACAAGATTGAGTCCAAGCTCCTTCAAGACCGAGACAATCACCAAGTTCAAGCGCCTTCAAGACCGAGACAAGACCGAGTCCAAGCGCATTCAAGACCAAGATTAGACCGAGCCCAAACGTGGTTGAGTCCGAGATGAGACCAAGATCGCAAAAAAAAGTCTACAGGCCATTCTCAAGACTAAGACCGGTCTCGAGTACTACAACACTAGGCTCTTGTTTACATTATGGTTATGGATTAGTTTCTGCCAATGTCGTGTTTATTGCCTGCATCTAACCAGGAAGCAGAATTATAAACTTCACCAAATTTTTTTAAAAAGCAGAATAAAGTTATTCCTCATGTTCCTTTTGCATTCAGAGCATCCGACTTACACATCACATATTTTGCCATTTTCTGATCTGTTATAATGTTATTTCCTCATCAGAAACAGACCTGGAGTTGTGTTTTGTTTCATTTAATTAATTTAACGCACAAACCCTGCATGTTTAGGCTGTGGTTTTTGGACTCCACACACCTTCATTAGAATCATTTGGATGATTTCAGCCCTGGAATTGCCGATCTCTACTGCACAAAAGGTAAAATGTAACTTGAAAACTACCGCTTCATGACATCGCATCAGAACGTTTTGAGCTTTGGGATGTAGACCAACTGCAGCATTACTCAAACTCAAAATGTGTGAATGAAACAAAACGCAACTCCAGTTATGCTTCCGATGACGTAGCAGCATTATAACATGACTTAACGCTCACTCACGAGAGTCCATTTTGCGTAATACCTTTCTGGGTGGGAAAGTGAACAGGAAGCTGGCGGAATCCTAGCTGTTCCTCGGAGCAGGATCACTTTAGTTAATGTAAACAGGTGTGGCATCTCCGAGCAGAGAGAGGCTATAGGAGACGCTGCCTCATCTCCTCTGGCGCTGAACGCATGGATAACTTCCCCATTGTCTCCAAAGCTGCAGACAATTGCCCCTCTCCGCTTCAGCTATTGTTTATTTAATTCAGGATGATATGTTTATAAGAGGCATATGCAAAACCCACTGCTTTGAGTTGTGTTGTTGTTCTTTCACTAATCCAAAACATACCAGGAGCAGTTTTTTGTTTCGTATTGATTTTCGGTATCCTTTTTCTCCCCAAAAACATGCATCCTTACTGTGAGCGGGCTCGCCTCTCCACAGATCTGACTAGGCCTGTCACGTTTTGTTCAATACACAACAACTGGAACAATTGATAATTTCATTTTTTGACTATATGATAAGATTTAAGCGATAAAATGTTGAATTAGTAACTGCTTTGACTCATTACAGATGCAAACTTACTACAAAACTATCTCATTGTGTTGTTTATTTATTGCAGCTCATTGTTTTTTTTTTAAATACTGTAGATTTATAATAGTTTCTGTGATTTAAATCTTTACTTCAGTAATATTTCCAGCTTCAAGATTTCTTATCGTGACAGGCCTAGATCTGACAAATAACTTGATCTACTTTTCTCCGTGGATAGATGCGTTTAATGCTATACTGTGGCACTTTTTAAGCACTGCAGTATCTTTCAACTCTATATTTTTATGCAAATTTGAATGGACCTTTTGACTTTTAACCATTTTTCACCCATCAGAAACACACCTGGGATTTCAGTGGCAAAGGAGAAAAATGAGTTTGTCGACTTGACGAAAGTTTGTTAGGTCGAATATGCAGCTCATCCAAGCTTCTTCTTCAGTTCTGGTCAGAATGCTGGTGGACATTTCCTTATATCTGTCTGCAGGGAGGAACTAACTACTCTGAAACTAACACACCTACTTGTTTACAGTTTCTGTTAGTTAGCTAGGCCTATTGAACTGCAGTAAGTGTGGGGTCGTATTAGCATAATCATTCAGGGCCATAATGGAGCTTTCACACCTCTGGATCTGACCTGGCTACAGCTATTGTTCTCTTGTTTGTTTTGATTTAGGTTTGAGGATGGAGTTGTAAATAGGCCTCTGTTGCTGTTCAAAGATGGATTGTCTTTCTTAACAAAATGTCTTCTTTAAATCCCCTCTCAAACCAAATCTTTTCTCTGACTAAGATCTGAACCTCACTATTCTTAAAGGAGTGGCCAGTGGCTTTTAAGTGGAGATGTACGGCAGACTGAGGTCCACTGCTGCTGTCTCGTCTGTGTTGGTACATCCTCTTGTGAATTATTATTTGGTTAATCAAAAATTAGGATTATTAAGATCACAATATAATCACCACAAAAAAATATTGATAAGTTTAGAAGCAAAATTAAGTCATTTCAGTTCAAACTCTAGTCCAAAAAGTATTAAACCTAAATGTAAGTCTGTTTATGTCAGATTAACTTTTTAAAGGTCCTATGCATATTACTCTAAATTGACTCTTGTGAGCTTTAAGTCATGTTATAATGTTTTTACCTCATCAAAAACAGACATAGAGTTGTTTTTTGTTTCATTCACATGTTTGAGTAACCATTTATTATTGTCTGTCTATATTTCCAAAGCTCAGAATGCTCTTTTCCACCTTGTGATGTCATGAAGCAACTACCTTTTACCTTTTGTTCAGTAGAGATTGGCAATCCCAGGTCTGAAATTAACCAAATGATTCTAGTGAAGGCGTGTGGAGTTTACAGAGTGTTTTCAGTTTGAGAGAATAATTCTGTGTCAATAAAACAAACCACAACTCCGGGTATGTTTTTAATGAGGAAACAACATTAAAACAGATCAGAAAATACTGTAATGTGGGCCCTTTAACTCAGAAAATTTTATATTGCAGTCTCTTTTAGGAGGAAGAAAACTAAGGGTTTCTCTGTTTTCTGTGGTTTCAATAATTGGGATTTAAAGTTTGACATAATAATCATAACACTAACATTTGATATCTTTATTGCGACATCCCTACCGGGAGTTGTGTTTCGTTTGCGCACATTGTACTATTCCAGCATAATATTTAGTCTGTTTCCTTCTCCACAAATCAAATTACTTGCCTCCTACTGGTGTTTACGGGCTGAAGGTTTGGACTTTTGATTCGAAAAGATGCAATAGTTATTTATTGTCAATAGCCATGGCAACAGTGTCAATTTTTCATCACTCTGAAATCCATGGATAAGTCATGATGTTGTAAACCATGAATCACCTTTTCATCATCCTTTAGTCTTTTAATATTGTTTTTAGCTTCATTATAAGCAGTTCTTGAGGTCAAAATATATACACTAACGGTCAAAAGTTTTAAAATACCACACTTTTTCCAGTTTTTTTTTACTGTTTACTGTTGACCAAAACGTATTCTAAACTTTTGATTCATGAAAGTGTCCACCTTTGGCAGATATAACAGCTGAACACACTCGTGGCTCGTTCGTTTTACAATAGAAATCAAATATTCTTCAGAAAGTTCTTCCCAAGTCTGTTGTAGAAGTTCCCATAAATGTATGACACTTGTAGGTTTCTTGGCTTTCACTCTTCTGTCCAGTTCATCCCAAAACCAGCTCGATGGAGTTTAAGTCTGGAGACTGTGCTGGACACTCCATGTTTTCAAGTTTACCATCTTGTTCTTTTTTCCTGAGGTATTTTGGCAGAGCTTGGATTTGTGTTTTGTTATCTTTTATCTTTTTTTTTAACCATTTCAAGCTCTTCACTGAACTTGCACGACTTGAAGTGCAATAAATAACTGGAAAAATTTGGGTGTTCTAAAACTTTTGACTGGTAGTGTATGCCTGAATCTAATTATAAAGTGTATGAAGTGTTTCTTTTGTCCAATAATCAGGAAGTACACGTTAACATGCTAGTTTTTTAAGTTACTTTTTAATCTATTTTTATACCAAGGGCAGTGCATATTGACTAACAGCACGATTGCATAATATACCAGAGCTGACCAAGAGGCTCGTTTTCATCTGCATTCCTTTGCCAGATGTACAGAAGGCACCCAAGAAAGAGAGATCACAATAAGATGAAACGATCAAATGGTTGTTGTTAACTTCACTGTGATGGCAAAATTTCACTTTGGTCTTTTGAAAGTTGTGAAAAGCACTTATAAACTGAATAATTAGGATGTAGGGAATGCATAAGGTGAGGGAGGAATACGTTTGGACCACTGAAAACTGTTTAAAAGTGAACTGATTCTGAACTAGACAAAAGTCAAAGTCGAGCACAGTGACTTATAAAGGTGCACTGTGTAACTTTACTGGTGGAACGTCCGTTAAATACTTTTTATATTCATGGAGATGTTATTGCTTTGTCTGCAATTTTTCGCAGTATGGCATTAAACCTTTCTATCTCTATGTAAACCAAACCAGATGAAGTTACAGGTCAGATCTGTGGAAAGGTGGCCCCACTCACTGTCAGAATGTCCAATTTTTCTAGGTATTTTTTAGCTATAAAACCACCTGTAATTGAATAAATGTAAGGTAAAGCTATTTTTTTTAATGTTTCATTTATTCAAGCTTTTTCAAAATATAAAAGACTCCACTCAATATCATTTCATTTCTCACCAGCGACTAGATCAGGAATCAGAATACAATAGACGGTTTGCAAGAACCCCGGAAGTTGTAGACCGCGCACCGACCAATCATTGAAGAGCTGCGAAGCCATGATTGTGTCCCTTTTGTGTACAGTAGAACAGTAAACAAAGCTGTCGAGGTGGATGTAGACGAAGCCATACAAAGAGAATGTTTGGTGAATTTTATCAAGGGGAAAGACGTTATTGCCCTTCTTCCTATGGGATTTGTGAAAAGCTTAATACACCTAGTTAGCCCTGTTACTGGCGCATTACATACATCATGACCAAATAGCACTGACTGGTTAAAAAAAAGTACCAGCCTACCGTCAAGCGAACAAATTCTAATGCTGTGAGGTCAGACAGTTTCCACGAAGTGAAACCAGCTGATGAATCGAGTTAACTGCACTCACTGTCAGAATGTAAATTTTTTTGTTATAAAACCACCTGTAGTTGAATAAATGTACGGTAAAGCTATTTAATGTCATACTGTGGAACATTCCAGGCAGAGCAGTGACATCTCCATAGAACATTGAAAAAAAAAAAAAAAAAACGAAATCTAGTCAAGTTAAGATGACTTGAATTAAGAAAGTTTTATAATGTTTTGAGTAAATTTCACTTGACAAGTAAAATTATCTGCCAGTGGAATAAGACTTTTTATATTTAAAATATGAAAATACATCTTGCTACACTTAAAATAAGAAAAACAACAACTTTTTTAACTTAAAATAAGAAACACAACTGAATGCTGCTTGAATTAAGAAAAACACTCTTGTTCAATTGGTAGATGATTTTACTTGTCAAGTTGAATCTACTCAAATAAAGTAAAATGTTCATTAAGTCAGTTTGTTTTTTTCCACTGAAACAAGTAGATGACGGACCCCCAACCTAAAAGTTCCGCAGTACACCTTTAAACGTGGCTTCTTTTTGTTTTGTATTTGCAGAGATGTTAAAAGAACCTCTGGACGAGTATCTGAAGCAGCTGAACATCGTGCGGGTGGTGAGGCAGAAGGAGAGAAAGGGCCTGATCACCGCTCGACTCCTGGGAGCCTCGGTTGCCACGGGAGACACGCTCACCTTTCTAGACGCTCACTGTAAGTCTGTGTACACAAGAAAGCTTATGTTAACTGACGCACCCCTATATACACACAAACTAAAGACGCTGGCTGTTTTACCTTTGAGTTGAGGAACCATAAATGTCATGTATTCTAAACAGGTGTGACTGAGAGTGACCTTTTTGTACTTATTGGACTGGATCTGGTCTTTATTCATTGATTCTGAGCCAGGGATATGGGAGGCCCTTCCTGTCACAACACTGAAGACAATTTAAGGATGCACTGTGTGACTTTCCTGTGCTGCTTGCTTGTCTGTTATTGTTTTGCGTAAAATGTTCCTTACTATACCATTTAAACATATCTATCTTCTTGCATTTACTTTTTTTGTAGCTTTATTTTTAATGCTTTTTAGAAACCATTTCAAAACATACAAAAAACTGTATAAATCAAAACAATGTAACAAAAGTCTGGAGTTACAGAGATGTAACAATAACCAAAATATCGTGACATCGTATCGTCAAAAGTCTCACAATATTATCGTGGACTGTCACAAAATATAGAATTATAAGTCTCGCTGCTTAAATTAAGAGTTATGGTGTAGAAAAAGCTAAGAAATAAAGAGGGAACTACATAGACCATGATCCTTTGCTCCATTTCAGCGCAGACTACATGAAGAAATAACAGTTCTAAGCACTTTCAAGTCTTAGTTCTTCAGATTAAAGGTTGTATAGAGGATTTTCCAAGGAACGAGAAATCCAGCGACTGTTTGTCCTTTTTCAAATGTTGCGCATGCGTGAAACCACCCCCCCTCCCCTACAGCTCCCTACGTAGAAACGCCTCCTCCCGCCTCCTCTTTACGCCAGAAACAGGTTTGTTTACAGCCGGTGCGCTGCACATGACTTGTAAACAACTAACTACAGTGTTGGTTAGGCAAGACGGAGAAGTGAGGAGCAGGGAGAAGAGCGGAACGGGGAGTGAGGAGAGGGGAGAGGAGAGGGGAGCGGTGCGCGGAGATTCCGTGCCCGGAGAAGTGAGGAGCAGGGGGAAGAGCGGAACGGGCAGCGGGGAGAGGAGCAGGAAAGGGGTGCAGAGAAGGTTGCGCGGAGATTCCGTGCGAATGAACTAGCTACAACACGCAGCAGCAAGCGGACTCTTTCTTTGCCTTGAAAATTACGTTTTCAGACATAGGATATCGCTTTCGTGTCCTGAAAAACGTTTATCTAGCTCTTGGAAATAAAGTACATTTTCATAATAAGCAGAAGTGACCTGTCCAGGAGTAATTTGGCGACCAATGCGTCAGTCTTTAGTCCCTGCGTCTGCTTCAGTCGCGCCCTCGCTGGAATGAATCTTCAAGAATCACCTTAGTTTGGCTTCGCTGCTTTTCCCCTTGTCTTCTTCTTTCAGCGACCTCAAAAACGGACTTTCTTTTGCGGCTAACTGCTCCTGGATTCTTGTCGCCATTGCAACAAACTTTGTGCGAACTGCGAGGAAGATATAGGTCAAAAAAAGCCGCTAAGAACTGTTGCGTCGGTGGAGTAAACAGCGTCTGTGCGTCTTGCGTCTGTGGACTGCGTGACAGGCGTACGTAAACCACGTACCGGCGGCGCGCAGGCAAGTCAGTTACGCTAGAAACGTAGGGAGATTGATTGACAGCCTGTCAGCTAACAGATAACGAGGCAGTGTCGTTATCTATTGGCAAATGTTTAGCTGGCCCCACCACGTCCAGAGTTTATGAATTTTTATTCTCTTTTTTTTGGTCATCATAATTACAAGGCTACTGCACCTCTATAATCTATCATTGACAACTTGAAACAAAAAAAATCCTCCATACAACCTTTAAGTGTTGTCAAAGCATTTTAAGATGAAAAAGTAGAATATTCACGGTTTTGTTCAACATTTCACTGTTATTGTGCAGCAACAGCTAAAACAAAAACAGAGAGAACTACATAGACCATTATCCTATGGTGTTGTCAGTGCCAATTTAACATTAATAACACTTTTAAATCTTAATTCTTCATATTATAACTCACTACTCATGTTCTTTTTAACAGTATTGTAGATTTAGAATAAAGTAAATCTTTACTTCAGCAATATTTCCAGCTTTAAGATTTCTTATCGTGACAGGCCTACATCTGACGAGTAACTCGATCTGCTTTTCTCCATGGATAAATACGTTTAATGCTGTACTGTGGCACTTTTTAAGCAATGGAGTACCTTTCAATTGTATATTTTTATGCAAAATTGAATGGACGTTTTGACTTTTAACCAATTTCCCCCATCAGAAACAAAATTATGATTATTAAGTTCACGGTATAATCATCACAAAAAATACTGATGACTTCAGAAGCAAAATTAAGTCAGTTTAGTTCAAGCTCTAGTCCAAAAACTTAAACCGATATAAGTCTGTTTATGTCAGATTAACTTTTTAAAGGTTCTACATTACTCTAAATTGACTCTTGTGAGCTTTAAGTCATGTTATAATGTTGTTACCTCATCAAAAACAGACCTAGAGTTGTTTTTTGCTTCATTCACACAATTGAGTAACACTTTATTATTAGTCTGTCTATGTCGGAAAAGCTCAAAATGCTCTGTTCCACCTTGTGATGTCATGAAGCAACTACCTTTTACCTTTTGTTCAGTAGAGATTGGCAATTCCAGGGCTGGGTTATACAAACAAACCAACATTTTCAACAACATTTTCAGTCACTCTCTCATTTTTTTATTGAAAATCGCCTAAACACCTAAACAGGATGATGAATTTCTCACACAGGCTTCTGAAAATGTGTTGTTTACATTTATTTTGTTTTATATTTATTTTTTCTTAAGTTTTCGGACAATCTATAACAATTTTTTGGCTATGTTTTCTAATGTATGTCTTGTGTCACCATGGTAACAGATGAATATTCTGCCAGACACATACATGCAGAACACCCCATGCGTGAATAAACCTTGTAAACACACGTTCTTTCTGTGAGCAGCTTCTCTCTCCGCTCCACAGATCTGACTTGCAGCTTAGTCTTCTGCCACTGCCTGCTCGTCCCCGTGGAGATAACTAACTTTAATGCTCTGTTTCGGAACATTCTCGGCAAAGCATTAGCCCAGTCTCCACCAAATTACAACTAACGGTCCATTAATCTGAATAAACTTTGGTCTTTTTATTGGTAGTTTTCCTTAAAGAATGAAAATTAGTTCACTGCTTTCCCACATAATCGGTACGACTTGAATAATTTATTACACTGTGGTGAGCCCTCAAAGACTCGGGCCATCCAAAAGAAACCTTCACATTTTAACAGATTGCACTTTAAAATATGTCTCCTCATGCATTTGTCACAGACCAGCATGATAAATGAGCGGGGGAGTATTCAGCACATTGTGAGAACTAAAATCACTACACACACCTAAGTCCTTTATTATTAGATCAAGAGCATGATTAAAAGTTCAGACATGGGATAAAACAGATTAAGGGTGAGGGTTAGGTTAAGGTTAGGCAAGTGTTTGTAGTCATTTGTAGTTATTTGCACATAAAAACCACAAATTTCTCCAGAAAAATTGTCAGCATAATTTTATTTAAAGGTCTGATATTGTGCAAAACTGAGTCATGTGAGCATTTTGTTGTGTTATAATGTTGTTTCTTCATCAAAAACAGACCTGGAGTTGTACATACAGGAAGTTCTCCACAAGTTCTCCACTTCACTACAATGTTTTAGATCACTTCAGCTCTGGAATTTTCAATATCTATTAATCAAAAAGTAAAATTTTGTGTGAAACTTAATGTGAAAACTGTTGCTTCATGACATCACAAGGTGGGATAGAGCGTTTTGAGCGTCTGACTAAAAATAATGGATTACTCGGACATGTATGAACAGAACAAAACACAACTCCAGGTATGTTTTTGTTGAGGTGGCAACATTTTGACATGGCCTAAAGCTCACAAGATTACATTTTACGAAATATAGGATTAGGTTAGGTCTCTAAAAATGGATTTAAGTCAATGTAATCTCTCGACTAAGCATGGAAAACCTAACGCGTGTGTCTGTGTTTGTGCAGGTGAATGTTTCCACGGCTGGCTGGAGCCTCTGTTGGCCCGGATAGCGCAGAACTCCACAGCGGTCGTTTCTCCCGACATCACCACCATAGACCTGAACACGTTTGAGTTCGTGAAGCCGTCTCCGTACGGACAGAACCACAACAGGGGCAACTTCGACTGGAGCCTGTCCTTCGGCTGGGAGAGTCTGCCCGAGCACGAGAAGAACAGGAGAAAAGATGAAACATATCCCATCAGGTGACGGAAGAATGTGCCTGTGTAATCTGTACAGCTGCAGGTCTCACTGTTCATTTGAATCTTGAATCAGTGATGCCACACGTGCACCAATGATGTTCAGTGTTGGGAAGGTTACTTTTATAATGTAATCCCCTACAGATTACAGATTACACACCCCAAAATGTAGTTTGTAACGTAATCCATTAAAGTACTTAAAGTGAGTAACGTAATATGATTACTTTGGATTACTTGATATTGTCATGTTTTTTTAAATGACATGAATGTAGTAACCACATCCTGAAAATTCTTGTTTGTTGTCTTCAAATTGTCTGAGCCCAAGTCTCCATGAATAAGCAACTGTTTGCTGTAGAGAAACAAAGACCACGATATCTTAATATAAGAGGTTTTGTCTGTTAAAAGACAATAACAAGATAAGCCTTTCCTTAATATTAAAAAATATTATTGATAGAGAAATTATTTTTTATATGAGATCACCTTAAATTATGTCAACCTACTGTTAGGTGTCATGTTGTTTAGACCTGGTTTAGTCCTGGTTTAGTCCTGATTTTTAGACCTGGTTTACTCCTGATTTTAGACCTGGTTTAGACCAGGTCTAGACCAGGTCTAGACCAGGTCTTTAGTTCTGGTTTAGTCGTGGTTTAGTCCTAGTTTAAACCTGGTTCAGTCCTGCTTTAGTCCTGGTTTAGTCCTGGTGTTAGTTCTGGTTTAGAGGCGCACAGGAGGAAGCGCGGTTTACGCGAGAAAACACGGTCCACACGCGGCGCATGTGAGCACGTCGATGTCCACGCAGTAACTATGGAAGGAGACGTGGTCCGCGCGTTCTCAGGTTGATGACGATGATGAAGGTGTTTGTGTGTGTTTGTGTGTATTTGTGTTTGTGTGTCCCCTCATGTCGCAGGCCATTATAGGACAGTGGTGCAGATATTATGAGTCTATGCAGGTTGTTTTCACCGGTGCCAGTAGCTCCGGTTTCACATTTAAGTTGTAGGCGATTTTATATTAGTTTTTTAGTTATATATATCTCACATCGGGAGAAAAATTTCCAAGACACAAATGCGTTTTTACCACTGCACTGCTGCTTCCACTGTGTGACTGACACCGCCAACTTTAACATGACGTTTACATCGCTCTTACTGTCGCGTTCTGTTTGGGTTTCCAGCAATGAGTGAAATTACCGAAATAAAAAAAGAAATAAATGGGATGTAGCACAAAATGTGAAAACAGGAAAATACCGCCTTGTAATCCACTTATTTCAGCAAAGTAACTGTAATCCAATTACCACTCATTGAAACAGTAACTGTAACCGAATACAGTTACTCATAATTTGTACTCTGATTACGTAACGGCGGTACATGTAATCCGTTACTCCCCAACACTGATGATGTTACACGTACACCGCCAATGATGTCACATGTGCACCAATGATGTTCACGTACAACACGTACACCGCCAGTGATGTCACACGTACACCGCCAGTGATGTCACACGTACACCGCCACTGATGTCACACGTACACCGCCATGATGTCACGTACACACACGTCACACACTGATGTCACGTACACCGCCAGTGTACACGTACACCGTGTCACACGTACACCGCCAGTGATGTCACACGTACACCGCCAGTGATGTCACACGTACACCGCCAGTGATGTTACACGTACACCGCCACTGATTCACACGTACACCGCCAGTGATGTACACGTACATTGCCAGTGATGTACACGTACACCGCCACTGATGTACACGTACATCGCCAGTGATGTCACACGTACACCATGTCACACGTACATCGCCAGTGATGTCACACGTACATCTCCACTGATGTCACACGTACACCGCCACTGATGTCACACGTACACCGCCAGTGATGTCACACGTACATCGCCAGTGATGTCACACGTACATCGCCAGTGATGTCACACGTACATCGCCAGTGATGTCACACGTACACCGCCACTGATGTCACACGTACACCGCCAGTGATGTCACACGTACACCGCCAGTGATGTCACACGTACACCGCCACTGATGTCACACGTACACCGCCAGTGATGTCACACGTACACCGCCAGTGATGTCACACGTACATCTCCACTGATGTCACACGTACACCGCCAGTGATGTTGTCACACGTACACCGCCAGTGATGTCATGCTCACACTAGAAATGTCACACGTACACCGCCAGTGATGTCACACGGACGCCGCCACTGATGTCATACACGCGCCAGAGATGTCACACATACACTGCCAATGATGTCATGCACTTTTTAATCTCAAGAGCTGCTTATACAGTATATCTGATCTGATAACTGAACATTGATTTTTGTCACTATTGCCTGGTCCTAATTCAAAAGTGTGGATCTGTTGTGAATCTCAGGACTCCCACTTTTGCTGGAGGCCTCTTCTCCATCTCCAAAGATTATTTCTACCAAATCGGGAGTTACGACGAGCAAATGGAGATCTGGGGTGGAGAGAATATCGAGATGTCATTCAGGGTAAGCTGTTGTTCTCTACTACTACTACTACTACTACTACTACTACTACTACTACTACTACTACTACTACTACTACTACTGCTCCTACTACTACTACTGCTACTACTTTTACTACTACTAGTACTACTATTACTACTACTACTGCTACTACTACTGCTCCTACTGCTACTACTACTACTGCTACTACTACTGCTCCTCCTACTACTACTACTGCTCCTACTGCTACTACTACTACTGCTACTACTACTGCTCCTACTGCTACTACTACTGCTCCTACTACTGCTCCTACTGCTACTACTACTGCTCCTACTGCTACTACTACGACTGCTACTACTACGACTGCTACTACTACTACTGCTACTACTACTACTGCTACTACTACTGCTCCTACTGTCACTACTACTACTACTGCTACTACTGCTCCTACTGCTCCTACTACTACTACTACTCTACTGCTACTACTACTACTGCTACTACTACTACTACTGCTACTACTACTACTGCTACTACTACTGCTACTACTACTACTGCTACTACTACTACTACTGCTGCTACTACTACTACTACTGCTGCTACTACTACTACTACTACTACTACTACTACTACTACTACTGCTCCTACTGTTACTACTACTACTGCTACTACTACTGCTCCTACTGTTACTACTACTACTGCTACTACTGCTACTGCTACTACTGCTACTACTACTACTACTACTACTACTGCTACTACTACTACTACTACTACTACTGCTCCTACTACTACTACTGCTTCTACTACTACTGCTACTACTACAACTACTACTGCTCCTACTACTACTACTACTACTACTACTACTGCTCTACTACTACTGCTACTACTGCTACTACTACTACTACTGCTACTACTACTGTTCCCACTGCTACTACAACTGCTATTACTGCTATTACTACAACTCCTGCTAACTACTGCTACTACTACTACTGCTACTCCTATTACTGCTGCTACTACTACTTCTACTGTTTGTACTACTACTACTACTTCTACTACTACTACTACTGCTTGTATTACTACTGCTACTACTACTACTTCTACTACTACTACTACCACCACCTCTGCTTGTACTACTACTGCACTACTGCTTGTACTACTACTACTACTACTACTGCTACTCCTACTGCTGCTGCTACTACTACTACTACTACTACAACAACAACATATTTATAGCACAGAGTTGCTGTTTGCTTTTTCTAATATCTGAGAAAAAATATCTAGTTTCGTATCCAGTGCTGCCACTGCACTGTTACTATTGATTAGTGTTGTAAAATAAATTGTATTTCAGAGTAGAAGAGGAGAGATGTGATTTTTTTTTTTTTTACTATCAGTACAGGACCCAGCACCAAGAGACACAAACCCTCAAGACACTGTGATAGTTCTGTCCTTTCCTAGTCTAGTCTAGTACAGTCCAGTCTGCCTATGCTTCAATACATTTTTATTATTTTCCCTCCTTTTTTTCCAAAACAGAGTGATAGCTACAACTTGGGAATAGTTTTGTGGACTGGGTGTCATTATTTGCCGAGGACAAATTCTTATGGTTAGGTTACTTCATTTGCCGTTTGAAGTTAAAATTAGAAAAACATGTGTAAAAAGCTCGAAGTGCACCATGAGACATTCAATACAACCACACGAACAAACAACTCACAATCATTATAAACGACATATGACACTGTGAAATAAACACGATACGAAGATTAAGTAGCCAAAATATTAAGGTGAGACTTCAAAGTTCAAAGTTCAATAATAATATGGTTAATATGGATGAGTCTGCTGCAGTTTAACTTTATAACTTTACGAGAGGTGAGTAATAAAGTCCCCAAATTATTTGCCTCTGTCTCTGTTTTATTGGCCGATGGAATTACGGTGATTTTCTGTGGTTACGATATGAAAGAGCAGCTCAAAATCTCACTGACACCACACGCTTGAGCTCAGCGGAATAAAAGCTGCACACGGAGATCCAAAGTCCGGTCACGCCTTCCTGAAATCTGGGAGAAGCAGATTGGGGCTTAAATCCAGCAACAAATTATCCTGTAGTGTGTGTCGTGGGCTTTAGTTATTAAATATTACCACTCGCTTTAGTTTCGCAACTTTCAGAGCGATGACAGAACAGAGTAAAGTTAACAGCAAACTAGCATGCTAATCACGCACTTCCTGATCATCAGACACTGAATGAATGAAAATATATGTTGTGAAATTTTTATTTAGAATTTGAAACATATTGAAAAAGTAAACTTAAAAGTTCTGCAACTAAAATTCTGAATAAAAATAATTCAAACATCTTACGTCTTTCTGTAAGAAATCTTTTTTCAGATAAAAAAAATCTATCTATCTGCGGTACTAAGAGGTCCACTGCTGTGCATGTTGAGTCACCGCGATCACCGCATGTGGCCAACATGACCCGACCCAGAGTCCTGCACGGGACACACACCCCCCGGACCCGTTAATATTCCACCTCTTTGCGGACACCTGCTCCGTGTGCTCGTGCTAGGGGCTCTCTCTATTAAGTCCATGGGTACTTGACCTGGTCCAGGACTCTGACCTGAGCTGCCACAGTGAGAGCTGGAGAGATGCAGCAGCACTTGTTTCAAAGCCAAATGTTACTTCTCCCACACTACACACGCTATATCCACACGACAACCAAGGTACATGTTCATCTGCGCAACAAGCGCATCATCGGAGAGAGTTTTCAGAGCTGCTTGAAATATTATAACTCCAGGGGATGTGGGGTGGGGGTGCGATATCATTGCATATCCCGGTGCTGAACCACTATACCGCACCGCAGGAGAACAGCCCTAGATGGAACAAATTATCTTTGGTACATTCGTGGCTCTGTTTAGGACTTTGATTTTCAACTAAAAGGTGAGAGTGACTAAAAATTGTAGTTCAAACAAAGTCAGGTCATTATGGTCATATTCTGTTAAAATAAATCTCAGATTAAAGTCTCACGAGCCTCAGAAAGAGCAGAGCCTACAGTTAGCATTGCACGCACAGGAAACGTTAATGACATCAGCTGCAAAGTATAAATTTTTACCTTATGATCTGCACTTTGAGTTTCTGCACATGTTTTTCCCATGTGTTTAACTACAAATGGCAAACAAACTAACCAAACCTAACCTTACACAACACATTATATAAAACATCTTTATAACATTTGTTTTTGTTTGGCAGGTGTGGCAGTGTGGAGGTCAGCTGGAGATCATCCCCTGTTCTGTGGTGGGGCATGTGTTTCGCACGAAGAGCCCTCACACTTTCCCCAAAGGGACTCAGGTCATCGCCCGCAACCAGGTCCGCCTCGCCGAAGTCTGGATGGATGGATACAAAGAAATTTTCTACCGACGCAACCAGCAAGCGGCGCAAATGGCCAAAACCGTGAGTGTGCTCTACACTCAGAACATACACTGAAAACTAGAGCTGAATGATTCTGGATAAAATATCTGACTCACAAGGACTGAGATCGTGATTAGATTTGTAATAGATCTTTTTCACAATGGCCTGGAAGTGCCGCGATGTAGGGTGCACATCACTTACGTTAATGGTTTTCTACGGCAAAATATCTGTGTAAATGTCTCACATATTTTCCACCAGCTTCATAAATCTGCCCCATCACCAAATCTTCATCCAACAAGGTCGACAAATTCTGTCCATGAAGAATTTATCCACAAGTATCAAGGTAAGAAAGACGAAAACTTAAAGGCGAACAACGACGAGCGTTAGTGAACTACTCCTGAGCAAAACTAACATAATGGTCATGAATAAAACATAAATAACTTGTTAACTCAGACTGATTCTACAATTAAAATAAAAAATCAATTTCATGATGTCGATATTGGCAAAGACAGAGAGATTTGTGCAGTTTAAATGTGAGACATGTAATCTGTGAACATCTGTCTATGCCAATATCTACATCATGAAACCGAATTTTAATTTTTACTCTAGAATCAGTTTGAGTTAACAAGTTACTTACTAATGAATTACTTATTACTTATGTTTTATTCATGACCATAACATCAGTTTTGCTCAGGAGTAGTTCACTAATGCGTCGTCCTTGTTCGCCTTTACGTTTTTGTCTTTCTTACCTTTATAGTTGTGGATAAATTCTTCATGGACAGAATATGTCCTTGAAGATTTGGTGATGGGGCAGATTTATGAAGCTGGTGGAAAGACATTTCGCGAGACATTTCCACAGATATTTTGCAGTAGAAAAACATTAACCAGAAGTAAAGTTTACCCTATATCGCGGCACTTCTGGCCGTTGTGAAAAAGGTCTATTTATATTTTAAAGGTCCTATATTAGACAGAATTTACTTTTGTGTGCTTTCAGCCAGAATGTGTAATCCCTCAGTCGTCCAGGAACCATAGCAAAAGAGAAATTAAATTCTGTCAACTGAATTAAAGTTTTTGATTGACGACGTTTCGCAGCTCATCCAATCTGCTTCTTCAGTTCTGGTCAGATCACTGGTGGACACTGCCTTATTTGGAGAGGGCTTCACAAACTCAAAGGTGTTCAGGTCTGTGATGGTAATGTCAGGAGACACATCCGCTGTGGAGTTTTGCGCTATCCCGGCCAACAGAGGCTCCAGCCACCTGCACACACACGCACACACAACTTTCAACAATAAACCATGCGAGTAGAACATTATTTAATTCAGATTATCAAGCGTTTCGTTTTTAACCTCACTTGCTACACAGTACATGAAGTTCTAGTGTAATAGTTTCTCCAGAACAAACAGGACTCGCTCTCTGCTCCAACGCTCCACTGCAGCTATTAGTCCTGCAGGCTCTTAAATGGTTAAAGAGGAAGAGGAGGAGCAGGTCCCATGGGTGCCATAAAAGGGTGCTCCCTCAGGCCTGTACCTCGTTCACACACACGCGCTGCTGTCTGTGAGCTAATGTGGCCCCCAGCCGCATCATTACTGTAAGTGCTCGTCCTAATAAGGGCGTGGAGTGGACAGGAAACCTTTAGAACTGCACAGGGACAAGTCACTGCTGCTCTGATTTATTCAGACGAGATGTGGCCATTACATCTACAGCTACAGTACAGTTTAATGACATTCTTTTTGCAGCCCTGTAATACATGCATCACGAATTTTGGACTTCCGGTCACTGCGCAATGCATACTGGGAAGGATTTTCCGAGAATGTGAGCATCAAACTGCCATGTTTGTTTTACCAGTGGGATGCGTCTATTGACAAAGCCAGTCTTTTCAAGTCTTCTGAACCATATCACTTTTGTTTCTGATTCTGATATTGTCATATTTTAGTTTTGGGATTTGGACATCGTAATTGTGTGGTTGTTGGATCCTAACAGCGGAAAACGGCTCGAGAAATGGGCTTCGGAACTCCATAAATGCAAAAGAGAATCAGATCTGTGTGACTGCAAACTGTTCAAACTGTTTCCCTTCCCAATGGAATTGAAAAATAATGAAAGGCGAAGGCGATGGGCAGTACTGATACACAAAAAGGACGAAAAAGGAAACTTTTGGCTGCCTAAGAAATCATCCTGAGTTTGCAGCGAACATTTTGTATGTGGAGCGCCATTAAAGCAAAATCCTGTTTGATAAGCGAGAGGCTCTTTCTTGTTCTTGTGGCTTTTACAGCAACATCCCGTCTTGGTCACTTTGCAGTGGAAGGTGTTTCTTGGCGAACAGCTGGTGCCTTTCGCTTTGGTGTTGACTTTTTAAATTCGTAATCAAGGTTGAGTGAGGGATCGGGATTTTGTTTTGATGGCGCTCCACATATAAAATGTTTGCTGCAAACTCCTTTTACCTTTTTCGTCCTTCCTGTGTATCAATCTTGCTATCGCCTTCCACTATTTTTCAGTTACGTTGGGAAGGGAAACAGTTTGAACGGAAGTTTGCAGTCACACAGATCTGATTCCCTTTTGCATTTATGAAGTTCGCAAACAAATTTCTTAAGCCGTTTTCCGCTGTTAGGACATCCAACAACCACACAATTACGCTGTCCAAATCCCAAAACTAAAACATGACAATATCAGAACCAGAAACAAAAGCGATACGTTTCAAAAGACTTGAAAGGATCTGCTTTGTCAATAGACGCATCCCAGTGGGAAATCAAACATGGCGGTTTGATGCTCATGTTTTTGGAAACTCCTTCCCAGTATGCATTGCGCAATGACCTGACATCCGAAATTCGTGATGCACGTATGGCATGATCACACCAGTGTAGAAGGTACACATGTGTAGCTGAAATATAATCTGTTCATATTTGTTATAGGTGTTATAGGCAGTAGATACACAGTACACTTTTGCTGAACTCATTCTCCTCGCTGCAGAGTGTTGGCCTTTAGTGAAGTGCTTCAGTCCATGAGCCCTCCACTGGCCACAGGGGGGTTAGTGTGCATAGATGTTTTTGCTGCTTTACCTATTTTCCATAAATTCACAATAATTCTTAAGGGTCCATAAATATTGACAGAATAATGCATTTGCTGTATAAGCTCAATGTATCACGTGATGCCCAGACCAAAATGCTTTTATAATCTACTACTACTACTACTACTACTACTACTACTACTACTACTACTACTACTACTACTACTACTACTACTTCTCGGACTTATATAGCACTTTTTTGGACACTCAGAGACTCTTGACAAACAAATAAGTAATAACAGTGTAGAAAACGGAGGAATCATGGAGGGAATGTCAGTTTGAAGTAGTTTACATTCTATCATTATTCAAATAGATAAAGTTTTTAGCTCTGGCTTAGTCCTGGTTTAGACCTGTTTTTATTTCTGGATTAGTTCTTGGTTTAGACCTGATTTAGACCTAATTTAGACCTTCTTTAGTCCTAATTTTAGACCTGGTTTTAGTTCTGGTTTTAGTTCTGGTTTTAGTTGGTTTAGACCTGATTTTAGTCCTGTTTTTAGTTCTGGTTTAGTTCTTGGTTTAGATCTTGAATTTAACTTTTGGATATTTCATGGCACTGTAATCAAAAGGGAAATCTCCCTTTTTGATCCCCGTGTCATCATTACACTCTGTAATATTTGTTTAATATCTGAAATGTGAGTCTTGTATTCATTTGTCAGTGAATTTCTCAGTGATTTGTCAATTCTTCTGGCTTAAAATGTGAACTTTGAACAGATTCCTCTTATAATTGCAGTTAGATATTTTCCCACATCATTCAGCATTAACATATCCACATTAAAATCTGTGTTAAACTTCTCAGTCCTTGATTATTTTCTGTGTCCTCAGGGTGCGTTCGGTGACATCTCTGAGCGCGTGGAGCTCCGTCAGAGGCTGCAGTGCAAGAACTTCTCCTGGTATCTTCAGAACGTTTTCCCCGAGGTCTTCATGCCCGACCTCCACCCTCTGCGCTTCGGCTCGGTACGTCACCAGCACAAGCCCGCGCCCGCCCACCACTGTTCATTTGTTCTGCTGAAATCATAGTTAGTCATAGTTTTTGTCATATTCTTGAGCGAGCCCCAAACCACACCATAAACAAACTCGACATCTAAGAACTAGGACCTAAGAACTTGTCAAAAGTACCGAAAATCAGATGCTCAAGACTAAAATTAGGAGCAAAACTAGATACTTATTTGAGTAAGTACTGATATGAAAAATGTTGAAAATCACTTTATATTGTCTAAATAAAGAGTATTTTTTATTATAATTGTGGTATCTGAATCAGTTTTGAGTTTGAGTATTTTCTGGTTGGCAAAAGCTGTTATGGATCTCGTCAACTAAATCAGCATGACAAATCCACAGACTAAAACTAAAACGCGTGGACTAAATCTCGACTAAAACTAAAAAATTGAACTTTCTTGTCAAGATTACCACTGCTGACCGCTGCTCCTCCAGCTCCTGCCCCAGACCACCACAGCCCTCTGGAGAGCCGAGGTGTTTGGACAGCTTGCAGTGGATGTTTTTCTTTTTTATTTTCAGTTTCCTCTCTTTTAAATGCCTCTGCCTGTTCTGTGTAGGTGAAAAACGTGGGGAAGGATATGTGCCTGGATGCCGGAGAGAACAACGAAGGAGGCAAACAGCTGATCATGTACCCCTGCCATGGACTCGGAGGAAACCAGGTTAGAAACGGTTAAAAGTTATGCCTAAACAATTTGAGAAAAAATTTATTATTGTGATTTTATTTTATATATTTTTTGACAAGAATTGCAACATATGTGCAAAAGAATCGACTACAAAATTAAAGAAATGGTCCTAGTTAGCCCACTACTAGTCACCACATTCCAAATAGGAAGTGTTCATGGGGGCGCTTCCGGCTCCAACAACGTTTCCAATTGACTTTACATTGAAAAATTTGCAGTGAGGCTTATTTTGGTCTTAAAATATGTCCGTATTAACCCACTCTGAATGATCCTGGTGTTTTTATTGTGCTAAATTGTCTGTAAATAAATTCCTGTTCCTAAAATGAAATTCGTTTTCAGATTCACAGCGTACGGGAGGAGACACGTCCTGGTTTTAGACCTGGTTTTAGACCTGGTTTAGACCTGGTTTAGACCTGGTTTTAATCCTGATTTTAATCCTGATTTTAGTCCTGGTTTTAGTTCTGGTTTTAGACCTGATTTTAGTTCTGGTTTAGTTCTGGTTTTAGTTCTGGTTTTAGTTCTGGTTTTAGACCTGGTTTAGACCTGGTTTTAGTCCTGATTTTAGTCCTGATTTTAGTTCTGGTTTTAGTTCTGGTTTAGTTCTGGTTTTAGTTCTGGTTTTAGACCTGGTTTAGACCTGCTTTTAATCCTGGTTTTAGTTTTGGTTTAGGTTCTAGTTTTAGACGTGGTTTTGACCTGGTTTAGACCTGATTTAGACCTGATTTTAGTCCTGATTTTAGTCCTGAGTTTAGTTCTGGTTTAGTTCTGGTTTTAGTTCTGGTTTTAGACCTGGTTTAGACCTGATTTTAATCCTGGTTTTAGTTTTGGTTTTAGTTTTGGTTTAGTTCTGGTTTTGACCTGGTTTAGACCTGATTTTAGTCCCATTTGTAGTTTTGGTTTTAGTTCTGGTTTAGTTCTGGTTTTAGACCTGATTTAGTCCTGGTTTTAGTTTTGGTTTAGAGACGGGGGAAACGTGGGAGGAGGCGCAGTCCACACGGCGTACGCGAGAAGACAAACGACCCACGGCCCAGGGGTTGGGGACCCTGGTCTATAGGCCTGACAAATAAATACAATATTTCAGAACATGTTACAGATCTAAACTACAGGGTTTGCAGTTTTTTATTCAGAATGAAACAAGAGATTTTGTTGTTTGTGGAGGAAATGATGGTACTTCATTAACTGCATCCTTTGTGATTTGCGAATTTCTTCTATTCAAACTGCGATTAATCCTCCAGCTCTAGTGGAAATTCACCTTATAATTCTTTTTTGGGATGATTATTATGAATTTATAGCCTAAATCTTGGCTCAAAACGCTGACAGACTTTTAAACAATTCTCGATTTTTAAGTCCGGTCTGTACAAGTCTAATTCTAAAGCGTTTAATTGCACAAGAATTAGGAAGTGCACTATTAGGATGCTAGTTGTTGTTAGCTTTAACCTCAAAGGACTGGCAAAACTCCGCTCTGGCCTCCGAAAGTTGAGAAAAGCCCTGTAAACTCATAACAGTGAATACTTAGGACGCTCTGAATGCATAAGGTAAGTGAGGAATACTACTACTATTACTTCTACTCGTGACTGGCCTTTAGTGCTAATAGTCCTACTGCGACCATAACTTTAAATAGTACAAAATGGTTAGGATCGTCTGAGGATTCCTGATTGGTTTAAACAGGCAGTTCCCACCATTTGTTCCTCTCGTCTTGTATAATGTAAACTTTGAGGTTGTCTAGACCACAGGAAATATTCAGTTGCACAGTGCTTCCTTTAGTGCTGTGTGATTTTCAGTACAAATCAAGAGTCTCAGCTTTAAGGGCTTTTCTGGGGTTTTGATGTCAGCTTGTATATAGGGTTACTTGGGAGTTGACAGTGCGTTTGTTGCTTTCTTGTGTGGCATTTTGAAAAAGCAGAGGCCTGATGTGACCTCTGTGTTGCCAACTTTCAATCAATCAATAAAGTATCTGTTTATCTATATTAATACTACAACAAATCACATAAAGAGGAAGTTCCAGGATAATATCATAACTAATACAAGACCCTATGCCAGCATTAAAGCGAGAGTAAGACACCTGCATCATTCCACAGAAAGAGAAAGTTAAAACCATACTTTGGAACACTCTCCATGGAAACAAGCAGACGGCCAAATGAGAGTCAGGTTTGTGGGATGCGAGCCCACTCACAGCTAGGACACATGTTTTTCATTGTTTTCAGTGCAATAAAAACATCCATAATAAAAAAAAGCTTTTATTTTAGTTAAGGCTGTATTGATTTGTGTGTCAAACGATCTCCAAGCTCATATAATCGAGATGAAACATTTATATGAGGCCATGTGCATTTAAAAGAGCTTAGTTTATTTTGGGATATTTTTTATATAAATATTTTTTATATATAGAGATTGTAGAACGGCTGGATATATAGTTTATTTTGGATAGATTTATGTTTTTCTATGCCTTATCTCATGTTCAAAGTATATTTTATTCATTTTATGTTTTATACATCGCATAACTGCTCTAAGGTACATATTTGTAGCCTATATTTATTTTGCATAAATTATCATAAATTATCAATAATAAAGTGTTTTGTTTTGGGTTTTTTTGAGAGAGAGAAATGCTGAATAAAGGCATCGTGTAACAAAAAAATAACCATTTGAATAATCATGAGTTCAGTATTGACCAAAATAATCATGATCATGATTTTTTTCATAATTGAGCAGCCCAAATTTTTGTTAAATCTGTTAAAAACAAAAAACAAAACAAAACAGAACAAAAAGTTACTTACTATGGCTTCAAATATTGTCTAAAAAGTAGAGGTGGGATGAGACACAATTTTCACACGACAAGACACACCACAAGATTAGGTCCACAAGAAGAGACAAGATGAGATTTTGACATAATTTGTAATACATTAGTAACAATAGTAGTGCAATCAATTTCACAATTTTGGCTTCACTATTTTTATTAATTTTATTTAATACTGATCATTGTACTATAGCTTCTCAAATTGTATAACTCATGAGCTCTTAACTTTTTTTTTTCGCCCAAGCCAAATGTAAATTTGGGAGGAAAAAAATCTCACAAGATAATTTTTCTCATCTTGTGGTAACTTTGTCTCGTGAGATCTCGTGGCATCCCTACTACAAAGTGTTTTTTTTTTGGTTTTTTTTTTCATTATTGTGGTATAAACTTCTATCAATTATCAAGCCTTGCCTCAGTGTCAAAATTTAAATTTTGTCAAAACGCTATATACTACAGCACTGCATTTTGTTGAATTTGCTGAACATATTGTGAAAATAACATTATCCTCTTTATAGACATATTAATATTCTTATTCCAAATTAAGCTGGTAGTGCTTCACCCGTCAATCTAAATGTCAGCAGTCCAATCCCGACAGTGAGACTGATGGAAATACAGGATTAAGGGATCAGTTCCACCCTTTTCCGCTCTTTTCTTTGGATTTTACTCAAACTCTAAATACATCAATCATCAGAATTTGTCCACCTGTAATTAATGTCCCTTTTGCTTGTGTCTTACTTACTGCAGTATTTCGAGTACTCCACCCACCGCGAGATCCGGCACAACATCCAGAAGGAGCTGTGTTTGCACGGGGCGGACGGGGTCACGTTGAAGCTGGAGGAGTGCCAGTATAAAGGCAGGGACAGCGCTGTGGGGCTGAAGCAGAAGTGGGAGCTCAAACAGGTCCACACTCTTATTCTGATTTGACAACAGAGATGCTACCAGTTAGAAGTTTCGACACACACTCTCATTTTCTACATTTTTGTACCACTTTCTATTTTGGATACAAACAGACCAAAAACAAAAGTTAGAACTCTACTTAATAAACAGTGAAGGAGAGGGTAAGTCCAACTTCTGATTGGTAGTGTGTATTCAATAGTAAAACATATTAGCTTGTTTGTTTTGTTCATTCATGTCACCACAACCACAACAAAACACAACAAAAAACATAACCACAACAATCACAACCACCGCCACAACTACAACAACAACCATCATGACCACAACAACCACCTCAACGACAACCACAACTACAACCACAACAATCATTTCAATAACAACAACCACAACTACAACCACAACAACTGTCACAATAACAACAACAGCAATAACAACCCCAACAACAACCATCACAATAACAACCGCAGCCACAACCACAACAAGCACCACCACAACAACCCACAACAAGCATCACCACAACAACACAACAACCACAACAAACCACAACAACAACACAACAACACAACAACCACAACAACCACAACAACCACAACAACTACAACAACCACAACAACCACAACAAGCACCACCACAACAACCACAACAACCACAACAAGCACCACCACAACAACCACAACAACCACAACAACTACAACAACCACAACAACCACAACAACCACAAACAACCACAACAACACAACAACCACAACAACACAACAACCACAACAACCACAACAAGCACCACCACAACAACCACAACAACCACAACAAGCACCACCACAACAACCACAACAACCACAACAACCACAACTACAACAACCACAACAACACAACAACACAACAACCACAACAAGCTCCACCACAACAACACAACAACCACAACAAGCACAACAACACACCACAACAACCACAACAACCACAACAACACAACAACCACAACAACCACAACAAACACACCAACAACAACACACAACCAACAACACAACAACCACAACAAGCACCACCACAATAACCACAACAACAACCACAACAAGCTCCACCACAAACAACCACAACAACTACACAACAAGCACAACAAGCACCACCACAACAACCACAACAACTGCAACAACTGCACAACAAGCACCACAAGCACAACAACTGCCACAACAGCCACAAGCACAACAAGCACAACAAGCACCACAACAAGCACCACCACAACAAGCACAACAAGCACAACAAACCACAACAAGCACCACCACAACAACCACCACAAGAACCGCAAAAAACACAACAATCACAACAACTGCAAAAAACCCACAACAACAACCACCACAATATCAACAACCACAACAACACCACCACCACAAAACCAACACAACAACAACAACATCATGATCCCAACAACCACTCCAACACACTTCAGTTATATAGTGCTATTCTAAACACTCAAAGACGCTGTACTAAGACTACAATGTTAAAAGTTCATATTTTGGGTGGGTAGAGAAGAAGTAATAAGTACTTTAAAAATAATATTACTCAAGCGGAAGAACAAAATAGTATTACAAGTAATTACTCATGTACGAGGAAAGAGGAAAAAGTACTACTTGGGTCCGTGGTAACAGTTAGGACGTAATATATTTGTATTTGATATCTGAGTTGTTGTTTTTTTTTTAATGTATTTTATTTATGTTAATGTACTTAGACTGACAGAATGAAATAAGAGATTCCAGGAGATAATTTTGAAAAAATACATCATTATGTGAAAGAGCAGTTCAAGAAACACAAACGTAATGTAAACCAAATACAAACAAATACTCAAGCAGAAGTAAAAGTAGAAAGTAAAAAGTAAAAGTAAAATTATGGTGTCTGAAAACATTACTTCAGCTCTAATGATGCCTCATGTCGGCCTCATGTTGACGATGCCCATTCTGCTCATGTATCTTTATCCCCCTCTACTGGCAGCTCTGGGAAACGCATCATCATCCAGTCTGATCCAATCCAATTCCTAAACTAAAAAGATGAAGTAATAACAAAAAGTGTGTTAGATTATTTTCAGCTATAGAGGTTGAAATACTATACTAGTTACAGGTTACAAAAAGTATTCAACAAATCCAACATAAAGCATATTAAAGCTCATTAAAGGTGCACTGTGTAACTTTTTGGTTGAGGGTCCATCACCTGCTTGTATCTATGGATATGTCATTGCTCTGCCTTGAATGTTCCACAGTATGGCATTACACTTATTTCTCTCTATGGAGACAACAGGTGACACCACAGGACCAAGTTACACGTCAGATCTGTGGAGAGGCGAGCCCACTCACAGTAAGAATGCATAGTTTCAGGTCAATAAAAAAACATGGATGGACACATTTAATGCCATACTGGGACATTCTAGACAAAACAATAATATCCCTATCCTTTGAAAATACTGGGATCTCTGCATTATTTAATTTTGTCAGTCTGATTACATTAAGTCAGAAATGAACTCAGATTTCAAATATATACCGTAATTTTCAGACTATAAGGCACACCGGATTATAAGGTGCATTAAGCGAAAGAAAACAGTCAGATAAGTTAAACTTTATTCAACTCATTCACAATAACTCTCAACATTATTCAGTTGTAACACATAAAATACAAAACAATACACTTTTTCAGTTAATTTTTCTTTCACAAATCCATCAAATTATTCATCTTCAGTGTTTGAGTTTAACAGTTGGGCGATTTCAGCATCAAGCCCGGATCCCACTCTTCATTGTCCGAGTCAGTTTCATTGCTGTTACTTAGCTGCTCACTGATGGTTCCGGCCTTCGTGAAAGCTCGGGCAACTCTGGAGACTGATACTACTTTAGCCCAGACGTTCACTATCCATTGGCAGTTAGTGGTGTAACTCGCCCAGCGTTTCCTTCCTGTCTTGGTGAATGTGTATTACTCTGCGAGGTTCCTGACTACGGTGGCTGTTAAGCTTCGACAATCCATCAAGCGGTTCAGCTTCGTAGTTTACCAAAGTCATACTAAAACATTTTGACAGATTTTTGAGCACCATGTACCACATAAAATCGGTTTGAGGTCAGTAAGCACAACCGGAATTAATACACAAGGCAGATAATAAGGAGCACTGTCAATTTTTGAGAAAATTAAAGGATTTTAAGTGTGCCTTTTAGTCCAAAAAATACGGTAATTATATTTTATGTCCAGACTGTTACTGAGTACTCAAGTAGTATTTTACCTCTAGTTTTCCAGTTTTGTACTTTTGCTTCAGTAATTTTTCACTTAAACAGGGTATCTCCGGGTTTGACTACCCCAAATTTAAGACTGCTTTAAGACCTTTTCAAGACCACTTAAATGAAAATTAAGACCAACATCACACCCCTTATGCGAACGAAAAACATCAGGTCTAATTCTAATAATGACCAACCAACTACAGTACTATATCTAGAATCTAAGGCTATGTTTATATGATGACCGGTCTGAACAGAAGACACAAAAGTGGTGTAGCATCTTCACTTTTTATTCCGTGTTTAGACGAGCGTTTTCGGGAGGAAATCTGCGTGCATACAGTGACGCAAAAGTGTGTGGAAATCGATCGAGTATGCATGTCAGGCGGCTCAGTGGTGATGTATGTGACGTAAACACGTATGCGACGTGAGCAGATCTGACCAGAGTTTTGCATCTTGGGCAGTGTAAACAGAACTTATTGTGTATTCATTGCCCAAAAAACCAAAGTATTGTTTGGGCATACTCCAAATTCGATGTTCATTCACTTTACCTTATTTCATGTTGTTTTTTTTTCCCTCCCTCCATTTAAGATTGCCCTGCAGCCCGGTTGAGTAAACAAAAAAATAGGCTAATAAAATTTAAGACCTTTGTGAAAAAAATGAGACTTGGACAACATAATTTAAGAACATGAAAGTGAAGACCTTTTTAAGACTTTTAAGACCTCACGGCTACCCTGTTAAAGTAACGTTACTCTTACTCAAGTACGAATTTTGGCTCCTCTATCCACCTCTGTTGGTTACACATGCTTGAATAAAACAAACTGGTTTATATGTTTCACTTTTGACCAGAAAAGTTACACAATACGCCTTCAAGTATCATATTAATTTGCTCATAAATAACCCATTATTTTGTTTTTGTCTCTACAGAATCAGCTGTTCTTCCTCCCCGGTCTGAACTCGTGTCTCAGTGCGCGACACGAGCACCCGTCACTGGCGCCTTGTAACCCTGATGACCGTTTCCAGCAGTGGCTATTCGTCTGAACCACCCGAACGAGAAAAAGCTGTTTTTTAATGCAGATTTTTGTTTTGTTTTTTAAAGATTGAAGACCACTCTTAACTTATTTTTATACATAGAGCGAAACTACTGGTGCATGGAGGACAGAAAATGGACTTTACTGAACTTTACCTGTTGTGCCTATGATGGTGTTTTGGATACAAGAAGATCAAAGTGGGTCCACAACCACATTTCCAATAGATCTGCGAAACTGGGCCGTACCTGACTAAAGAAAAGAGAGAAGAAAGAGGTCTGGGGTGGGCTCTGGGATTATATGGGCCGGTGTGATTGGTCCAACAGGTATCCGCAGTTTAAACTCCGCCCCTTCAGCCTGATGTTTGTACTCAGAAAAACCTGGCAGTCTTGTGTGATGTCACCAACTACTTGAAATTGCAGAGTAGCACAAACCTACATCGATCATTTTAACCATAAAGCTGCAAATTTACCTAGTTTACTCAAAATTTGCCAAAAAATGACTAGAAACCATAAATAATGCTTTTAAAAAAAACACAAGGGGATCTAGTTTTTAGTTCCACTTTTAATGTACAACCTGCTTTGAAGTTTTAAGTTTTAACAATTATGTCTCAAAATTATAATTATTATAATTTCCATACACCTACATTTGTACTGTAAACATTTCACCAAAGAAAGAAAATTTTATCATGTCTGAAATTATGTAAAATGTCCCCTTTAACATAGCAAAGTGCCTTTAGTCCCATTTTGTATTGTCAGAATAATTATGTTTATGGAGATTGAATGAAAAATATGTTTTGTTATCGAGTTTGGGTCCAATTTTATACAATAACTGTGCCAATGGAGTGCCTATATTAAGTCTACTGAAGGGGCCTTATTGCAATGCAGGGGGACGCCTCTGCTGTTTCCTGGTGCAGGCACTAGTGTTACGATGGATGTGGGAATGTTTGTTTTTGTTTGTGGTGTTTGGAAGTCTGTGAACATTAAAAGACGCTGGTTAGTGATGAATTTTGTTGGTGATGTTTCTTTTTGTAAATGCATTTTAAACAAACAAGGTTATGAATTATTTGCACTCCGAAATAGGCTTAATTTTAACTTTTGTTTTCTGACCACTGTGAAACAACAGTTTTACCACCCACAGTGAAGTTAAGTGTACATTTTGGTATTTGATTTAAAACAAATCACCCCTGGATATATATATACACACACTAGGAATCCATTTATTTTCTTCTGCTTATCCGGGGCCGGGTCGTGGGGGCAGCAGTCTAAGCAGAGACTCCCAGACTTCCTTCACCCCAGACACTTCCTCCAGCTCCTCCAAGGACACCCCAATGCTTTCCCAGGCCAGCCGAGACATAGTCCCTCCAGTGTGTTCTGAGTTTTCCCCTGGGCCTCCTCCCGGTGGGACATGCCCAGAACAGGCATCCAGGAAGCTTCCGGAACAGATGCTTAAGCCACCTCAGCTGACTCCTCTCGATGTGGAGGAGCAGCGGCTCTACTCTGAGCTCCTCTTGTGTGACTGAGCTCCTCACCTTATCTCTAAGGGAGCGCCCAGCCACCTTGCGAAGGAAAATCAATCTTGTCCTTTCAGTCATTACCCAAAGCTCATGACCAGAGGTGAGGGGAGGAAGTTAGATTGACCGGTAAATCGAGAGCACACTGTACACAGTATAAAGTTATTATTTTATTTATTTACTGTTCTAAAAATCGATTAAACCTAAAATTGATTTTTAAAAGTTTCAGTTTTTAAAAGTCCAATAGTAATATTTTTGTTTCAAGGACACAATAAACTTAGTTCTTCAGTCAAAGGTTCACTGTGTAAATTTTCTGGTGGAAGGTTTGGTGGAGACAAATTAATGGTCAGATCTATGGAGAAGCAAGCCTGTACATTGTAAGAACTTGTGTTTTTCCAGGTATTTTGAGCTCCAAAACACCTGCAGTTGAATAAATGCAAGGCAAATATGTTTAATGTCATACTGTGGAATATTCCATGCAAAAATACACCACCATGGAGACGAGCAAGTAGTGAACCCCCCACCTTAGTAGTTACTTAGTGCACCTTTAACTATCAAATAAAATGTGGTTGCATAAATGAAGTTCTGCAGTATAATCTTGTGGCCACCAGGGGGCGCACCGTGCTTTGAGTAGAGAAAAGCTGCAGGCTAATTCACACAAAGAGATCATCTCCGGTTTCTCTGATGTGGCTCATGAATGAGAATGAATCACACAAAACTCATTCAGAGCAAAGTTTTCATCCAATTTATTTCCAAAACATGGTAAAAATCAAACAATGGAGTCGACTCAAAACCGAACACTTAAAAAAACTGTACCATTGTGCAAAATGCGTTTCACAGAAGTCCAAATAGAAATACATAAATCAGGCACATGAAGCTTTTACAACTCACAACCAGCATAGAACGAAAGACAACTCGAAGATAGCGAAGCGTACAGACTTTTAGTAAACCACAATAAATACACGTCTGAATATATTAGTCCTCATAAATATTGGAAATGAACTGAACACTGATACTTGGATTCCTGCTTCTTCTTCTTCTTCTTCTGTATATTTGGCACAATCATCTGCACTGAGCTGTGTACATGCTGCCAAACGCCTGAGAGCACAGAGACTGAAACTGTCAAAATGATACCACCTTTCTCTTCTCTTTTCTATCCTGTCAGGTAGAAAATGTTATACAATCCTTCCAGATGTAAAAGCTAACGTTATTGCCCAATTAAGTGATCAAATCTGTGATAATGCTATTTACACATATTTGGTAGCGTTCCCTTTTCACTTCTTGACATCAGTAATGGCTTTTTAGGAGCATGTACGGTGGCCCTGGAGGGACAAGTCACAACAAAAATTACAAAACAACATTTTGCATAAACATCATTGCATTCCCTGCATTTTTATACATCTTAACCTGTTTTTATTCTGCTTTTTGCTATTTATTTTTGCTTCTAGAGGGAGCAGTACACTCAGGGTATTAATCGTTAACACATAAAATATTCATTATTGTTTTGAAAAATGCTATATTCACGGAAAACGACGTGTCAAAATGTGTAAAATTAGTTTCAGTTTTGTTTTTGATGCTCCAAACTCCCCTCCTCTTACTCCCCTGCAGAGTCCAATCACAACACAATGCACATCGAATCAGGTTTGTGAAGTTGTAGTGTATTTATCTGGATCATGCATCTGTGTAATTATGGAAGGAGGGTTCGAATAGGGCACTCGAGAGATCTAGTGCCGCTGCTCAATTTCATTTCTCTCCAGCGACTAGGTCAGGAATCAGAATACACTAGACGGTTTGCAAGAATCCTGGAAGTTGTAGACCGCGCACACCGGCCAATCAGAGAAGAGCTGTGAAGCCATGACGTCAAACTCAACCGTCTGTCTGGGTTCCTTTTTGTCGTACAGCACAACAGTAAACAAAGCGTCGAGATGGATGTAGACGAAGCCGTACTTTCTGTGTTGGCAACGATTCCCAAGATCGAGGATTCAAAGCCGGAACAAAGAAAATGTTTGGTGAATTTTATCAAGGGGAAAGACATTATCGCCCTTCTTCCTATGAGATTTGGTGCATTACATACGTCAAGACCAAATAGCAGCGATTGATTAAATGAAAAGTGCCAACGAATCCTAATGCTGCAAGGTCAGATAGTTTCCACGAAGTGAAACCGTCTCAAAAGTGTCAATTGTTAACACATGACATATTTAGATCACTATGTTACCTATTATTGTTTTGAAAAATGCTCTACTTGCGGAAAACACAAATCAAAATGTGTAAAATTTGTGTCAGTTTTGTTTTTGATGTTCCAAACTCCCCTCCTCTTCTCTACTCTCCTTGCAGAGTCTAATCATAACGCAATGCACATCGATTTTGTGAAGTTGTAGTGCATTCTTTCCCAAAGACTGGGTCGCAAGAGATTTTTTTGGGGTTGCCTTGTCACGATCTGCATGTAGGTCTGCAATATACAGCTCTGACACATGTTGAAATGTTAAGTCATGTTTTGTATACTTTCATCATCTTTTTTTGCAATTATTTTATTGACTATTTTGTTCCAATATTTCTGGTTCAATTGAATGTTGAAAAGAAAAAGAAATGGGATATATTTAATGTCCAAATAGGCGACTTATGGATCCTTTTATTGCTGCTTTAGTGACTGTTTTTCATTGTTTAAAACTTGAGTAACACTAATTGTTCAGAGAGACACAAAAAAATATCCTCATTAATGTTCAATAATGGTCAAATCCACTTATTTTATGATTTACGAATAATGTCTACTGACTTTGGTTGCGAAGGTTTGTGACTTTTAAAATGAGTCCCCAGAAAAAAAGTTGTGTATTTATCTGGATTACGCGCCTGTATAATTATGGACAGAGGGCTCGAATAGGACCCTGGAGAGATCACTAGATTACTCAAACATGCATGAATGACATTTAAAACCACTCCAGGCATGTTTTTGATGAGAGAACAGCGTTATAACACGGTAGAAAAGTCAATTTTGCATAACACCCTCGATTTATTTACATGTTTTTTGTGATGTATCCTTCAGGGCCACCGTATTTCAGAATTCATTATTGTAACTGATTACGTAACGATAACATTTGATTGTCAACATTAAGCGTGTACTTACTTACCCTCTTTATTCCTCAGCGGTGGCGTGTTTCGAAGATGAGGCTTAAAGTTTATTCTGACCATTTAAAATCTAATACACTTTCTATTGCACTGCACAGATCCACGTACATAGACATCTTCATGAATCAACTTTAAAAATCAGATCTAAAAATACTAATATTATGGACAATTTCAGGTTTTTAATCACAATTCTTATCAAATATTTGTTGTTGATGATTTTTGAAGATATGTAAAAGTGCTGTTTTGTTATATTCCCGTATTAAGTCCAAGCCTCCGTGATGTAGTGGTACCAAATTTTCCCACCCAAAGCTTTTAATACAGCGATCCAAGGATTTTCCAGGCCATTCCATGCTTTTCCAAACCCGAAAAAGCAAAGAAAAAGAAATAGTTACAACACATATCATAGAAAACAATGGCGATTCCCCCCGAATGTCTGTGAGGTTTCCCAATGGCATGCTTATCAAAACATTTACAATATAGAATTATCCACGTATTTCCCTAACAATAAATAAACCAACATTATTTTTTTTGCACATTTGACACTTACAGTACATAGAAAAGTTCCATTTACAGTACAATATCTGTCTCAAACTAGAACCTTACATTTGAAATTACAAGATACATTGGACGGTGATGTCTTTTTTTGACTGAAGTTGACTGGAGAAGCTTCAGAAGTTTAAATTATTGGTTTTGAATCTATGGCTTTGTATTTACATATGAGCAGACTGGTCCATTGCTTTAATATAGAGGCGTGTGTGTGTTTAACCAAAGCGTATTTTTGACAATTTATACACTGAAAGCGCTGAATTCAAAGGTGCACTACGTCATTTTTCTACTGGAGTGTCCGTCACATGCTTGTTTCCATGGAGATGTTATTGCTGTCCCTGGAATGTCCCACAGTGTGACATTAGACATAGTTTTTTTCTATGGAAACAAGCAAGTGATGCAACTAGGCCAAGGTACAAAGCAAATAAGAATGTATGTGTTTCAAGTAGGGATGTAACAATAACCAAAATATTGTGATATCGTATCGTCAAAAGTCTCACAATAATATCGTGGGCTGTCACGATATATATATATATATATATATATATATATACAGGTATATGGAATTACAAGTTTCTTTGCTTGTTTTATAGAAGCAACATCTTATAAACATTGGCTTCATCCACACTAGTACGTATTCGAGTTGTTTTCGTTGTGGATGCAGTGTACGTTCACAGTAATTCGATGGAAAAACGGCTCCAGAGACAGAACAATCCGGTGCCACCAGCTCCCACAAATTCATCTGAGTATGGATCTGATCGGGCACTGTGTGGACGCCTGAAAACGTTGATACGCTGACATAGAAAATCTAG